CGTTTCATAACCTTGTACTACTTGACAGATTATGTTTCAATTAAAATGCCTTTGTCAGATTGTGACGAAATGGAGCCGACATGAAAATTTCCATTTACTCACGGTGACTTCTTAGAAGCCCCAACCCCCTTTTCAAGGTCAGGACGAGTTATTTCTCCTGATTACCGTCTACCTCACGTGAAAAGTCAATGAACTGTTAAATATTTCTGACCAGCAGACTGAACCAAGAAAAGGGTCAAGGACCGAACCAAGAAAATGGTCAAGAAAACAAAAGCCGCCTTATGTCGCGCTTTGGGTGAGCGATTCTATCACGCATCAAATAATTAAGTTCATTGGGCTAGAACATCACATGGTCATGATTGTCTAATAAGCATTTAGAATGAAATCATTAAAAAAGCCGTTGCAGGACTTAAAAATCTTTTTTTCCGAGATCGACTCTTAAGTCAGCGGCCAACTTAGAGCACCGTAAAGTCGTCTTTTTCTAGACCTAATGAGCTGTACGAACATTTCCATTTCATTTCTTTATTTCAATATTTATATTACCATGTACATAGCTAGTTAACCATTTAATGTTTGATGTATGTATTATCATTCTGATTAGAATTAATTTCTGATCGGAATGAATTTAGTTAATTCATTTGTACTTTATATTTTCTCAATGTTTGACAAGTGCCTTCATCATAGGACACGTGTCGGCCATTTTGAGTTTTGATTATCTAGACTTCATCCCATCAGTATGGATGGTGATGTGGCCACTGGATAGTTGTTAGCCATTATGTTATCCATTACAGTTGATTGGATATATCATATTATTCCATTCTGTATATTATTAAGTCAATGTATAACTATGTATGAAAAGAATCGTTACCACGTGTCGACGTTAGCCACCCAGGCTTGCGCCGGCTATGGTGAAGACGAATAAGAATCTCCGCAATGGATTTAACATTGTATAAATTGTAGCTCATTTGACGTCTCGATCTGAATTCGTTGCCGTTGTTGAGGGATTTATTAGCTCAAGAATATTGGAAAAGTTGTTCCCTTCTTTTCTTTTATCATTCACATAAAGCCTGGTTGCTAGATCGCCGTACTATTGCAGTACAGTCAACTGCACCCAAGCAGCTTAATAGAGGAATCAGTGTCCTGAGGCATCAGTCTACGAACCCCGCCCAGGAGCCACCTAAGGAAGACCAATTCATCGCCTGCAACCAAAGGACCGCGTGCCGATGGACTTTACTTCCAAAGAGAAGTCTTATATACATCCACCACAGCGTACTGGGGAAGAGTAATCCCAGAAGGTACAGTTGTGACTGGTATCATCCACCTGCGTGAACGCCCTGAAAAGAGGTAAAGAATCAAAGAATCCACTCCCACCCATGAAGTAATTCTACTGCATCGCATTGCTTTTCGTCCCTTTGCGTGAACGCCCCAATCAGCCACGAAAGACAGGACCCGAGAATCCACTTCTACGTTGAAGTGATCTCACTATTGTGCAAGATCTAACCAGATCATCGGAGCTGCTGCATAGACTGCCGCTCTGTCAGCCCACTTACGTGATCGCCCTGAAAAACCACGGAGTGAAGAATCATGGCAGAGGAGCCACCTCTACATACTACTAGTGACTGATCAAGTCAAATGTTCAAGCCAGATGATAAGTCAGTTAAGTGTGAAAGGTCTGAGTTTTACAATTGACATACAAAGCAAAGCAAAGCAAAGAATGCTCATTCCTGCCCAAGACAATCAGGGACTGGAAGAATCAGGGACTGGAACAATCTTTCAAAAGGAACGGTTGAGGCGACAACACTAGACACGTTTGTGTCTATTGCCTCAAGCCATCAAACCCCTATATAGTGCATGATTCCCCCACAAAGTGGCACTGGAAATCAGTGAAATTTCCTCATCAACACCAGGAACAGAAACATTGCAAATCCCATCTACATGCATAGGAGCCAAAATGATCAATAAATTGATCGTGGGCCCATAGGATATAGAAGAAGAAGAACCTTTATGATGATACATAGGCTATACGGGAGGCCATTGTTCATAATAGACTAGAACTTAGATAGATTCCAAATGAAAGTTGTTTTGAATGTGATTTACTATTATGCCATATACAAGTAAATAAATTAGTTATTTCATTTACTAAATGGTGCAGCTGTGCCACTTGGTAGGTACCTTGCAACTGTGCCACTGGGTAGGTACCATGCAGCTGTGCGACTTGGTAGGTACCATGCAGCCATGGGCGCCCGCAGAAAACTTTCTAGGGGGGGGGGGTAAAAAATCGATTAACTTTCCAGGGGGAGAGGCAAATTTTTTTAGTAATGTTTTAATGTCGTTTTAATTTACTGTAGCGTATTTGTATGGTGAACGAACGGACAGGACATCAGCTTAGTTACTTTCTCTTTATTTTCTCTTTACTTTAATATATTTTTTGTCTATTTTTGTCTAAAAATTTTTTATTGAATCAATCCAGGGGGTGGGGGGGCAAGTCAAGTGCCCCCCCCCACTTTCCCCCCTGCGGGCGCCCATGCATGCAGCCGTGCTCTTTCAAACGCTGATGCCATGCAAGACCTTCGTCTACATGGTGATAGTGCTCTCCGGGTCGCGCAAGGGGGGGGGGGTCGGTGGCAGCGCCTCTTAATAACAATGCCATATTGGGATGGACCTAGGCGACCAGAGCCCGGGGAAGTTGGTTTAGACTGTATTTGGGGAATAATAAGACAATGATTATGACAATTTGAAGATCCCTGCGGGCGCCCATGCATGCAGCCGTGCTCTTTCAAACGCTGATGCCATGCAAGACCTTCGTCTACATGGTGATAGTGCTCTCCGGGTCGCGCAAGGGGGGGGGGGGTCGGTGGCAGCGCCTCTTAATAACAATGCCATATTGAGATGGACCTAGGCGACCAGAGCCCGGGGAAGTTGGTTTAGACTGTATTTGGGGAATAATAAGACAATGATTATGACAATTTGAAGAAAAAAAGTTATTCATAAACTTCTTGATAAGTTATGTATCAAAATTTTATAAATAAAAATTAATCGGGGATCTTCCCTTCAGTATGGAGTTGGGGTGCATATATTATAACACCATTATAATAAGATATAAGATTTCCATTGACCACCCCCTAGTATTATTTAACAAATTACCATGACCCCCCTTCCCAGAGGCGTAGCGAGGGGGTGGCAGGGGGGACAGATGTCCCCGGGCGCCAGCAAGTAGTGGGCGCCAAAATGTGCTTTGATATTATTTAATTGATGAAAATAATGTGTTTGAGAGTTGAAAAAAAGAAAAGAGGCGCTTTAAAATGGATCTTGTCCCCGGGCGTGAATCTTGTCCCCAGGCGCCAAACACCCTCGCTACGCCTCTGCCCCTTCCACCCCCAAGCAAAAAAATTTTCAAGCAAAAAGCCATAAATTATTACTTTAAAAAAAAAGCTTAGGCCTATTATTGTAAGCAAAAAAAAAAAAAAATACATTTGAGCTATTAATAATCCAGGCTTGTTTAGTAAAGTTTAAAAGCAGAAATGTTGCTGCTTTAAACTTTCACTTTGAACCTTTCGTATCAAATTTAATTGCAAAACGTATCTCATGCTCATACTCCATTCCTTTTCAAGTCCAAGAGCCTTGACTGACCTGAATAATTATCCTCTTAAATTCTAATCAAAGTCTCAAAGTTCTCACTTAATTTTTAAATTAAAAGCAACTATTTAATTAGCTCTTGCTCACAACGAACAGTTATAAGTTATGGATGTATGTTTTCATATGTTTATCCATTTGTCCGAAAGTTATAAAATATGACTATTAATTATTAATTATAAATAGTCATTTGTAATAATCATGCATTTTGTTAATGGGAGCAAAGTTTGGTTGTTTTATCTTATATATTATATATATATATATATATATATATGTATATATATATATATATATATAGGGCCTATATATATATATATATAAATGTGTCATTAAGTGTCGGAAACCAATTAGGCCTAACACTAACCGGTTTTTTTTTTTTCAAATGTAAAAATTAAAATAATATTTTGATTGCACTGACATTTATTAATTAAACCCTGCAAAATAATATTTAATCTTTATAATTAAATAATAAATCTAAAAATTAAGTTGGTTTTAGTCATAGTGACCGTTTATGTATTAAATAACTATAACACAAAAATATGAAATTTTTACCCCCAGCCCTTTATTATTATTTGTTTTACATAACATTATAGTATAGCCTATCCATTGTTGACTACTCCACAGCCCATATTAAATAGGCTACCATTTCTAGCAATGGGTAGCAACAATCATTTGAATCATAGCCCGATAAAACTCAATTTAATTGCCAATTAAGTAGCCTACAAAAATAAAAATTAAAAAAAATAATAATAATACATTTTAAAAATCAAGTTTCAATCAAAAAGCCGGACATTTTTTAATTTTAAATTTAATTACCGGTACTAATTTTCTTAAATTTGAATTTTTTTTAAAATTTCAAAATGGTAGTGTCGTGTATTTTTCAAAATTAAAATAAAATAAATAATGAAATAAATACAATTAAAAAGTATTGTATAACATTGCTGAGTTGCTCTCTTAGCTATCAGTATCACTATCACCCTACCCCATGCCATAAAACAAAATGTAACTTCCCCCCCCCCCCCCAACCCCCTTCCCCCAATTAATTTTTGCCCAGCCCCATACAAATCCATTTTCGGTGATGGTGTTGTTTTTTTTTTGTGAAAAGGGGGGGGGGGGTGGAGAGAGAGATTTCCGAAAGTTTCGGGAATTCCCTGTGACAATATCTTGGAAGTTCCAAGAACTCGAACCACATCGACTCACATCAGGATTCTGACTCCTTCTGACTCAGTCACCAACTATCATTTTCTAAATGATATCCAAATGATATGAAATGAAAAGACGACTTTTACTATTTCGGGAACGACAAGGTTGGCGAATTTCCCTAATATGACACATAAAAGCTTGAGTCAGTAGTAGACAATTTCCTCGTAGCCACTTTTGTCACTTTGTGAATTTACTTTAATACTTCTTATACTTTATACTTATACTTATAATAAATTGAGATAGACGCTTAGATATTAGCTTTCTTACACCAATAGGGCCTACTTTAACTTACTTTGCTATAACTAAGTAACTTAGGTTAGACTATTAGGGCCTACTGACTATTTACATTTAGTGTTATAGAATTTTCATTTTTCGCGTCTGAACTTAAGTGTCTCAGCTAATCTGCTTTTCTCAATTTCTCTGACTACTGCCCTTTGAAAAGAAATTACTCTAAATGAGTCTAGCTTGACTCCCCTCACTAATATGTCTATTTAAATCAAAAAAATTTTTAATAGAAAGTGAAGATTAGAAACTAAGTCCTGCCAAAAAAGAGAAGTGTGTTACTTCGTTACTCAATAACTCAGTGTCAATATTTTTTTTATTACTCTGGATTGCACACTTTAAGGTACAGTCATATTAACTAGTTTGTTGAGGGAAAAAATACTTTTCCAGTATTATTAAATTATAATTATATCATGATCGCTACTAAATGATGTAGATTTAAGTCTTATTTGTTTTCAATTGTGCTTGTTCTCCCTTGAAATTAACTATTTATTGTCTATTTTTAAGCCAGGCTATAATTTAGTATACCATATCAGTTTAGGCATATAATTATCAATCTATAGTCTATACCAGGCCTGCACAACATAAGGCGAATGCGGCCCGCAAGCACCCACTTTGCAGCCCGCAAAGTAACGAAATATTGTTTATTCTTATTATTTTCTTAATAGCTTTCCCCTCTGTCCGTATTTCTTTTGGCCCGCACAAGTCCTGTCCTATTTTCTTTTGGCCCGCACAAGTTTTCATAAAGTATTACAGCCCCCCTTACATTTTGAGTTGTGCAGGCCTGGTCTATACAATACTAAGGAATAATAATTCTCTCTATATAAACTCTATCACCCTCCCTCTCCCACATTTTTAAAAAAAGTAAATACACAAAAATAAGATGTCCTTCTCATGAGAATTGTGATCTTCAGGGTAAAGAAAATAGTAGGCAAGTTAATGAAATACATTCAACAAGTATTTTACCTTAATTATATAATGCTGGGTAGCAGAGCCATCTAAACTGAGTCAACCCAAGCTTATGGACTGGAGTTCATTTCCAGCAAATGCCCAGACAAGCCCCCCTCCCCCCCAAAAAAAAACAACAACAAACAAACAAACAAAAAACAACACCTTCTCCAGTGGATAAGATTCATATTGTATCTTGGATGAAAACTCATCTAAGAGAAGACCAATTCTGAAATGAAACATTGACACGATTAAACTCCTGAAATGGATCACATAAAGAACAAGGTGAACAAAAAAAAACAACACTGCTGGTCATCTACTGCATCCTGGACATTTTTTTGAATAAGTTTTGCCATTGGATCAAATAGGCAAGGATAAGAATAAGAGAGTAAGCTTGATAAATTGAGCAACTCTCCCTCACTTTAAACAAAATACTACTCAAGTCAAGGCAACTACTGAAGTCGAAAACTAACTTGGTCATCTTTGCATGTGAAGGACAAACAATAATGGGATGCTAATAATGTTAATGTTATTGAAGCTCAAATTAAGGACGAGGGAAGCATCTTTCTGTACAAAAATTTTATAACTTTAAACTGATCTGAATCTTCTTTTCATTTCTTTGCAGTACTGATGGCTAAGTCTCTGCTTGATACTTTTATCTGACTCTATTCAGCAATATTATACTGGCAATGCACTAAGTATAAGCCTAATAAGTAGGTCCTAAGCTGTATTTTTGAACTGGTAATCTCTAAAAAAATATAAATATGGCATCAGAAAGAGATGAATCTATTTCAGAATTATTTGGTAAGTATTGGTCAGAGCATAAAATTTAAAAATAATTTATAGGAACATAACTAGCTATGATTAATGGTGGACTATGCCTTATTAATATCAAGATTGTAAAAGTAAAACAAATGCTGATTTGAATCTTTAAAAGTCTTTTACTTCAACTTTAACTGACAACAGAAATAATTATACACTATCACTATCACTATATTTATTTTTTGTTTATTTTGACAAATATAGTGACTGAATTGCACAAAATTCAAATGAAGAGTCCATAATTTAATGTATAAAGTAATATTGGCTTATAAACATTTTTAAAAAAAATGAAACAAGTATAGGTGGTTTAAAAAATAAAATGAATACAATATCTTCTCAGCAACCATAATATTAAGTGAAGATGAATGCAACATGCCGATTTGGGAACACATCCTTCATCATAATGTAGTAGACTCAAGTCTTGTAAATGTTATAGACAGTCAACAAGAACAACAAATTGTAAAACCAGATGATGAAAATCAAGAAGAATATTTTTCTGACCAAGATTTTCCAAGTAAAGGTGTGTTTAATTTAAAAAGAATGTGATAATTTACAAATATTTCTATTAAGTGACTATGATTAGAGAGTGGTGTGAACTGTGGAACTCTCACACTCTTTAAAACAAATAGTGGAACCACTTTAGGTGAAATGAATAAATAATCAACAAACTCAATTTCAAGCTTCAGTATTTAATTGATAGCAAAAATTTACATTTCACATATAATTTGATAGATATGAAAATTTAGTAACTTGAAATTTGCGTAAAATTTTTTTTCCAAATAAGTGAACTGGCAATCTGATTATTTTTTTTTGAATGCGCTAAAATTGCATGCACAAAAATACAAAACTTTAATAATACTGTATTTTAAGTAAATTTGTAATTTTAAACATATATATTAGACAGAAAAATGCTTTAAATGCCAAAAATATCCTAGAAAACATACATTCACAGAGCTTGAATGGAATTTGAATACAAATAATCATAAAATTATCCACATAAAATGTATATTCAAATAACTTTTAAATATTTAGATGTTCCTAGAGCCACAGTAGTGAGTGGCATACCATCTCTTGAACTTAGGAACTATCAAAGAGAACTTGCGGAAAAAGCTCTGCAGGGTCTGAACACTGTCATATGTGCACCAACAGGGTCAGGAAAAACAAGAGTGGCAACTCATATTATACTTGAACATCTAAAGAGTAGACAAGGTAAGTAGAAGTGAAAACATTCTTTGGCTCAAGACTCATATATACAAATTTGTATTATTTTATTTTGAATTTCATATTCTGTATTTGTGTTGTCTTTGAGCCATTTTTTAAATTAATAATTTACCTAAAGATGCATATTTTCATTTTTTTAGTTAATTTATTTGTGGTCAGCAGTAGGGCAAGTGCGAATAAGTTAAACAGTTAAGTTAATAAAGAAAGAGAAAAATAAATAAGCTGGTGTGAAAAGTAAGTAAACTACCATTTCAAACACTACACTTCAAAAACAAAATACATGTAACCAAGTAGTCCCAACAAAAAAAAAATGCATTTCTGAGTCATTTTAATATTTTTACAAAAAGTAATAAACCCTATTGAACTTTGAGGGAATGTCTCAAATTCAAATATTTAATCAAAAAACATTGAAAAAGAGTTATTGTTTTTACTAGTTTACTACAATATTGTGATGATTTGAAAATAAAACTAAAAAAGATTATTTTACTTTTACCCCCTTATGAAATTTAGCATTCTGTATCTTTCCTTTTTTCCATTTACTTAATATTACTCATCACAGATAAAAAGAAAGTGGCATTCCTAGCTAGAACAGTACCACTGACAAGACAGCAATATAAAACACTTAGGAAGTATCTTCCTAATGAATTTAAGGTAATTTTGATTGTTAACTTATCTTTAAAAGATCTAATACACGGCCATCTGCTATAATCAACTAATCTTCTGAAGACATTTTTGTGTTCAATTTATTTCACTTTTAAGTTTGTATATTTTATAAAGACGCTGGAAGAAAGTCATACTTTGTTAACATTGTTAACTTTTTCCCCCCACTATTAATATTGTTTGTTTCTGCTAAATGTTTTTAGTTTTAAAAATATACTTTTATATAATTTGTATAAATTATTATACTAAACTTGTATTTTGTAACTTTTAAACATTTATTAATAGGAATTAAACAATATTTAAATGGACAATCCTAAAATAATTTTCTTTAGAAAATAATGTTTTATTTAAACTTTTACTCATAAATAACTTTATCATGATTAATAAAAAGGTCACATACATCACTGGTCAGTGTGAAGACAGCATGAGCTTGAAGATGTTGATTAAACATCATGATGTTTTTGTGATGACTCCAATGGTTCTAATGAACAACTTACAGAGAACAGGCTTGAGATTGGAGAAGTTTACCTTAATAGTTTTTGATGAATGCCACCACACTCGCAAGGATGAGCCCTATAATTTACTTATGTTTGAATACCAAAAACTGAAACATGGTGGACGTGATAAACCTAGGTCTAACTTACCACAGGTAATGTAAATAATAATCTGTTTCACTTAACATTTTGAATGATCACACTGCTAATTTTCACCATTCAAGATTCAGTCAAAAACTTTAAAGATGTTGAATAATAAGTTGTAGTTTTATTTTCATTGATTAAAATTATTTTTAAAAGGTGCACAAAAAATGAATAAATTTGCTGGGCTTAACCTGCTTAAATAAAAAAGACAAAATGATTAAGGATTTTAACCCTTTCATTACGATTGTGCTGTTTTTTTCCATTCTGTGTAGTCAAGCCATCATAAAAAATATTAATATTCAGGTACATTTCTTCTTCTTCTTCTTCTATATCTTAAGGGCCCACGATCAATTTATTGATCATTTTGGCTGCTATGCATGTAGATGGGATTTGCAATGTTTCTGTTCCTGATGTTGATGAGGAAATCATGCACTAGGGGTTTGAAGGCTTGAGGCAATAGACACAAATGTGTCTAGTGTTGTCGCCTCAACCGTTCCTTTTGAAAGATGGTTCCAGTCCCAGATTGTCTTGGGCAGGAATGAGCAGCTCCTATACTGGCTTCTTGCTGGTATGAGCCTGAATTGCCTGTCATGGCCTTGTCGCTGTCTATGGGGGAGAGGGACGAGTTTCTGTTTAATACTGGAACAGTGGACCAGCCCATTATTTATCTTGTACATCATGGAGAGCCTGGATTGTCGTCGTCGTTTCTCCAATGGTGACCAGCCTAGTTTTTCTAGCATGCTGCCAACATGCACAGCATGTCTAATTTAACTGGCAATAAATCACCTACTTTTTACATTAGTAGCAGAAATAATGTAGGTTATATTTTATAAGTTATTTTTTCATTACATTTTCACTGCTAATGATTACAAACAGTAATACAATCAAATCAAAGTAATTGTATGATGATTTATTGCTTGTTTACAAGCATGTATACTAGTGAACCAAAAAACCAAGAAGATGTGTAATTTCCTGAAATGTGCCCAAGTATTTAATTTGCAATTAAATAAATTCAATAAGCCCGAAGAATTAAAAGGGTTGAAATATAGTTGTATTCTGTCTTGAAGAGCTTCATTGTTACAAAAATGTAAAATTTGAATTTTTTTTTTATTCTCATTAGATTGTTGGTTTAACAGCCTCTATTGGTTTTGAAAAATCCAGGGGAGCCCAAGGCAGTGTCCTTGAATTGTTGGGTAATCTCGATGCTCCTTATTTGTCAACAGTAAAAAAAGAGAAATCTGAGCTTCAAGCTATTGTTCCAGTGCCAAATGAATGTAAGAAAATATATTATTAATTATGTTCACAAATAAACATTTATGAATCTGTTTCTGTTAGAACAATAATTGTTTTTAAAAATTTCTGGGAATATGTTTAAAGAGATTTTAATAAAAATTAAGCTGAAATTAATCTGGATAGTAGTGCAAGACCATCAAAAGTAACACTTGCCAAAAACAAGGATCAGAAGCCAAGATTTATATGTTGAAACTGCTAATTTAAGCCACATAATTAATGAGGTTAATATTAGTCAAAGGCATTTAAAAAATCAAAAGCCTGACATCGCTACTACTAAAACATTTTTTTGTATTTTTAAATTGTTGTACATAATTACTGACTATCTAAAGTGTAACTCATATATCCTATTTCTTTTAATAAGATTTTAAAGAGCTCACAGCAGTTCAACCTGATGAGTGTTTTCAAATGATTATTACAAACATGGATAAGCTTGAGAAGGCAATTTCCAAACATGCTGAAGGTAACATATTCAGGCTTTTGGCAAGTAGATGAGTTTTCAGGGCACTTACCTTGTACTTTTTTTAAAGTAAATGAGTTTACATTTTTTATTTTTAATTTGAACATCAATTTGTGATTGATGTGTCTAATGAAAAAAACTAACATAGTATGATAACTAATGTGCATCCATTAGTCCATGTTATGTTTTAATAGTGTGAAACTATTTATATTTGAAAATAATCTAATATAATAATGGCAACTTCTGATGCTCTATAAAAAATATTGCAAAAACTATAAGGCCTAGGAATTTAACATTTTGTAAGTCAAAGAACTTAAATAGCCAATTTTTTTCCTTGGAGGTGTGATAGCAGTAGTCCCCAAATTTAGTCCCCATATTTACCATCTGTTGAACTTGATTGGTTCATTAGAGTTCTATGCTAATTTTCATATTTAATAATACCTTTAATTTTCATATTTTAATTATACTAACTGCGTAAATAAATATCCTAATTTATAAAATATCAACTGAAACTGAATTCAGAGTTAGTTCAAGTGGATTTTGTGTGTGTATGGTGGGGAAAGGTATAGAGGGTAGGTAGGGAAACAGTATTAGAGGATAGAGAGGGCTGTTAGTGAGTAAAAGCGTTAAGGGAAAAGGTGGATAGATGTTTCAGAGGGTAAGGGAAAGTGGTGGAAACTTCAGGGTTCATGGAATAAGAGGGGAGAGCGTAGGGAGTACGAGGGAACAAGCAGGGGGTTGTGTGAATGGTTTAAAGGGTAAACATATTGTAGGGTTAGGTGTAAAGAACAGTGGAGATTGCATGAATGGGATGGTGAGAGAGTGGCTGTGGTGGATAGGCTATGAGGTAAATAAGGAAGGGATTGAATGGTGTAGGAAGGAAGTGGTGGAGGGATTTGAGAACTAGTGTAAGGGAGTCAAGGGTAGAAGGGATTTAGGGATGATGATGGAATTGGGTTTGAACACAAAATTCTCAAAACCCAGACTGATGAAATTTGGTAGTCAATTATTATTTTTCACTCCAAAATGAAGTAGATGTACTTTGGCTGCCTTTTATTCTTATACCTTGCGCTGCTGATTTTTTCAACTTGTTTTAAGCTAATAATAATAATAATAATAAATGACAGTAGGAAATGTTATGTTGTTAAAAATTTTAGGGGTCACTAAGATTTAGTTTTATTACAGCTAAGTAGTAGAATAAGGTATGTGGAAGCTTAAATTAAAAGACAGGACAATAAGATAAGAATGTTTCAGCAAAGAGCCTTCCTTGTCAGACAGGACAAATGAAAATACAACAAGAAATAGAAACTATTTAAAAAAGTTAAGTGATCGCCATTGCTATTGCCAGAAGATCTTATTGTCTTGTCCTTTGATTCAAGCTTCCACATACCTTCTTCTACTATTTATTTCACAGCACAGTTTGAACGCAGTCCTTCATTTATTATCCTTTACAGCTAAGTGAAGGTTTTAGTGATAACTTTTTAAGTAAAGGGTTATGAAGTTTTACAAGGGCCAGTTCATCTAAAATGGCATAAATTACTGTGTTTATAAGCTGACCTTGCATTGCAGCTGTATTTAATATCAAATATTGCTATGTTTTATACTCCCAGGGATGAAAAATAATAAGTTGCAACAATTAATGGCTTTTGTGCCAAAAAATAAGAGGACTCAACAATATGAACAGTGGGCTGTGAAACTGAAGATGGCAATCAATAATTTTACTGCAGATTCACAACTCAAGGAAAATAAATTATCAATCATGGTTTCAACAACCATCTCAGATTTCTTAACGGTAAGAATACCAATTTGGTATGAAGAATAATAAATAATTAGGTGAAATCTGATTCACTTGTAAATAATTTAACCTTAAAACTCATCATATTATATTAGTAACAACTTTGGTTATGTTATGAGGCTTTGATATATTTATCTTAATGCATTAACTCTTGTACTAATTTTTAAAATATTATTATTTAGATTTTTAGTTGATGATTAATAATGTATTCTTTTAAAAAGTAAGTAATAAAGAAAGTAAATGTAAACCATTTATACTGACACAGACTGCAAGACATGCATGTATCTATTTTATATCTTCTTCTTCTATATATTAAGGGCCCACGATCAATTTATTGATCATTTTGGCTCCTATGCATGTAGATGGGGTTTGCAATGTTTCTGTTCCTGGTGTTGATGAGGAAATTTCACTGATTTCCAGTGGCACTATGTGAGGGAATCATGCACTAGGGGTTTGAAGGCTTGAGGCAATAGACACAAATGTGTCTAGTGTTGTCACCTCAACCGTTCCTTTTGAAAGATTGTTCCAGTCCCTGATTGTCATGGGCAGGAATGAGCAGCTCCTATACTGGCTTTTTGCTGGTATGAGCCTGAATTGCCTGTCATGGCCTTGTCGCTGTCTATGGGGGAGAGGGACGAGTTTCTGTTTAATACTGGAACAGTGGACCAGCCCATTATTTATCTTGTACATCATGGAGAGCCTGGATTGTCGTCGTCGTTCCTCCAATGGTGACCAGCCTAGTGTTTGAAGCATGCTGCCAACACTAGAGGTATTCCTGTAGCGGTTTAGGACAAAGCGTGCTGATCGTTGCTGGACCGCCTCCAACCTGTCAATGCTCTTCTGGGTAAATGGGTCCCAGACTGAAGATGCATAATCTAAAACCGGACGGACAAAGGCTTTATATGCTCTTTCTTTCACACAGGAGTTGGCAATCTTTAGATTTCGCCTTAAGATTTGCTTTAATTTGTGACTAAAATATGTGAACCAAAATCTGAGAGTTTTCAATTTATTTGGACATTAAGTGCACAAATAATAACTAGGTATGTTCGTTTATGTTTTTGGAAGGCCAGAGCTTATCTTAGTGTAGTTTTATAATGGACAGATTTAAAATAATTTTAATATAATGATAATATTTTTACTTTCAGGCCTACAATTTTGCCCTGCAGACCTATGATTTGGTTGAGTCTAGAGACATGCTTACATATTTAACAAAGTTTTTTGAAAAATACCTCCAAAAAGAAGACATGACTGAAGAAGAAAGAATTTTTTTGACTGATTTTGAAGGTAATAATTTCCAAAAACTAAAAAAAATATTAACCTTTTTAACTGGATAAAAAAACTGTATTGTTTACAATGAGACAAGTTTGCCCAACACTGTGGTATATACTTATTTGTTTGATACATACATTTTGTCTAAAAAAGTTGAAATAAAATTGTTTACGTGAAATGAAGTAGTGTGCCAGGGGAATCTGTATAAAGGCATCAAAATGAAATATTTGGTTGAAAATAGTAATAAAATAGAAATATATAATAAAAATAACATTATATAGGCAATATTTAAATATGTAGATCTAATCATTTTTATCCCTTAGAGATAAGCAAGAAAATAATTAAGCAAAAAAAAAAAAAAATACATGCCCCCCCAGCATGAAAAAATTATTTTCCTTGTCATATTTTTTTGTTGCCTTTTCTCATTTATGGTAGAGACATTCATTAATTCATTGCTATTTATGTAATAAAGATTCACTCTTCATAATTTTTTTAGAGTCCTTTCTTGTAATTTCATGGTATATTCGCAAAGACGATAAAAATGTGATAAGCAGTAAAAGATTATCTGAAATGCAAAATAAAGTATAACATAACAGCCTCATGTCCAATAAAGTTTAAAAAATTAAAAACTTAAAATTATGGATGCCTGTTATGTGAGAATCCTCTATAAAGCACAATAAGAGATTAAACAGTTTAAGTTCAAAGTTGAAGTTCTTGTTTAGAACCTTGAAAGAACTCTAAGTTTTCAGCTCTCAAAATAAGAATAATAATAATTGTGCTTGTTGTCAAAAGATTTTTAAAAAAAAAAGTGTTTTTTTCTAATTAAATTTTCTTATAACATCAGATAGTACATGAGGAATACTTTGACAGATTGATTACCCATCCACCTTAAATAAAGAAAATCTAATTTATTTATTTTGTCTATTTTCAAGTGGTTGAATAACTAGAATTTTGAAGCAGATTGAAGCTATTCAGCTCAAGAACTGCTCTGGCTTCTCTCAAAAATCATAAAGCTATTGCCAAGCCTGATAATAGCAAAATATCTTCATTATAAAAGCAGTTGCATGCATCATCATTATTAGAAAACATAGAAAATGTGACAAGTTATTTATTGACACATTTATTTTCAACAGCTTTAAGACTAAACATTTTACGAGGTCAGGATAAAAGAAATCCTAATTTGAGAATTTTAGCTGATACACTTAAAACATACCTGGTGAACAGAGGCAGTGGTTCCCGGTGTATCATCTTTGTGAAGACGAGGGCATTAGCATTAGCATTAACATCTTGGCTCAATAGATGTGACATTCCTGAGATAAGAGACCTTAAGGCCTCCATGTTTACTGGTGTCAATGCTTCTGGGGACAAAGGAGGTAAGCACTTTAATATATTTAAAAAATAAATGTTATCTAGAATTCATTAAATTTAATTTTGTTTTGGTTTCTTCTGTAGATGGTTATTGAATACTAATTATTTTGTTTCCCCTATTTAAAAAAAACAAAAAATGAATCATATATTATCAACTATGTAAAACAAGCGATTGTCTTTTTTAATTTTCTAAAATGGTTCATCAATGCATACTTCTTTAAAATTAATTTAGGAATGACACCAGCTAACCAAGAACAAATTCTGCATAACTTCTCTTCTGGACAAACTAAAGCTTTGGTGGCTACCTCAGTGGCAGAGGAAGGATTGGATATTCCAGAATGCAATTTGGTTATTAAATACAACCACATTGGAAATGAAATTACCAGCGTACAAACTAGAGGTCAGCTTTTTTATAAATGCATTAACTTGTAAAGCCTATTCATTATGTATGATGACAGACGAATCCACATGGTAGCATTTCTGGCAATGCTTCAACCCATAGAACATAAAAAGGATATCCTGTCAATTTGATTAAAGCATAACAATAAGTTATGGCTGCAAAAAATAAAACTGTCATAAACATTTGATTATTCAAGTGCATATTAACCTGTGCTTATATTTGTATTACAATGGTGGCAGCAGTGCCTAAACTTCCATTCTACTAAAGTTACTTGATAAAACATGCATAATTCAAGTAATGCACTCTATAGAAATTTCAAAAAGAACTTACAACGCCCCTTTCAACGCCATCAACTTAAGCATTCACCCCAACGGAACAGGTACTTTGAGTTACTTGAGCTATTTTAATTTTTATATTATAATGTCCCACCCCTAACCCCAGATATCACATCAAACTTAAACAGACACAATGTATTTTTAAGAATCTCTTTTGAAGCGGTTATCAGGAATTTCATTTTGCATACTATTGAACTCACCCTTATACTAAACATACCTAGAGAATTATATTGTTTGAATGTTGTGTACTGGTACATTTGTTCATTTTCATTTAAACTAAATCTAGATTTGGATAACCTATAGGAATAAACTGGTGTGTTGATTATGAAAAATGTAAAATATTAAAGGCTTTGCAGTCCATTTCATTTTATATTCTTTACTTTACAGTTTGTCAGTTAGAAGAATTTTTAAAATTAAATTTAAATGAATATACCGGTAACTTTTTATAGTTAATAAAAATGTATCAATTTTTGGAATTTTCTTTGCAGAGCCTTCCTTTCTTAGTCTAGAAAATGTAACATTAGTTCACAGTAAAGATAAATTAGGCTTGCAGTTTCTATTACCCATATATTTTTAGGAAGAAGCAGAAAACTTGGTGGTGTTTCCATTCTTCTTGCCATGGCAGATGTTGTGAAAAAGGAAATGCTCAACCATGAAAATGCAAAGATAATTGATAAAGCAACAGATGAAGTAGCTACCATAGAAATATCTGTAATAAAACAGCACATAGAAAACCAGCAGCTGGAAATCTTGAGAGCATCTGAGGAAGCTGAAGTAAGAGCAGCAGTTCGAAGAAGACAATCTCAAAGTGTCCAGTTTAAAATGGTGAGACATAATTATTTAGTACACATTTTAAAAATAGATGATGAAAACAATCAGAAAGAATTGTTTTTAGGTCAATTTGTAGAATTTAGCTAACAGAGAAACACTATTAAATTGTCTTATTTAATAAGTTTAATTTTGTTTTATATTGTATAGAGCATTGTTTAATGGAAAATAAATAAGACAGCATGAAATTCTTTCCTTAGATCATAAAATTCATAAGGGAATCTTCTGTTAAGTATAATAAAGTTTTAATTTATTTTTGTTTAGCAAGTGTCAGGAAGGTTTTCAGTTAATTAATCATTTAAAATAAATTCAATATAAACTATATTCATAGATTTTAAAATTTTCATTTTTTCGTGTCCTGTCCTTATTTTCATTATATGAGAAATTGATTTTTGAAATTCATATCTTTACCATGAGAATTATTCATTTAATAGAGACCTTTTAATAAAAAGATTGTTCTTTTGAAAGTTTAGTGAAGTCTCATTCAAATAGATTTTTTCATAAATGCAAATCAAACACTTTGAATAATATTACATTACAATGATTAATTGATGTTCACAGATGTTAATAAACAGGAGAAATAAGATATTTATTTTGGCATTGCAAAGGAAAATTGTTTTACCACGATGATGAGGACATTTATATCAGTCCTCTTGATTTCTCAACTATTGACTTGTATTTCAAGATTACGACTATTTTTTATTAATTAGTAGCATTACTTTCTACTAAACATGAATGCACTAAAACCTTAGATTAGGAGTAAATAGAATTGCAAGTATTTTGAAAGATCAGCAAAACTTAAACAAATATTTTGGTTCTGGTAATGTTTCGTTGCTGCATTTATTTATTTAGACATTTTTATATAGCGCTTACCTTAAAGCTCTAAGCGCTTTACAATTATTAAAAACATGTAAACTAAGTAAGAACTGGCATTTTTGCAGCGGTTGGGGGTATGATGTTGCTAAATGTTCTGTATCTATAACCACATTAAGAAAGAGGCTGAAAAGGAAGGCAAAAGCAATTGTCATTGGATAGGTTCCTTGTCAATGTCATTCAAAAAGAAACAGTATTTAGTGAGCCAACAGATAATTGTGATGGTCATCCTACACAATAATTTATAATCCCCCTCCTCATCTCTCTCATCTGCAATGATTTAAAAATTTTGACTAATTTATCTTAAGATTAAATTTAATAATTTAAATTTAAATTTTTGTTTTGTATTATATCATTTTTTATATGAATTGGGTTGGGGAACAAATCAATCATTCCTTGTATGGAAATTTGCTTTGAAATATGAGTGTTTTCAATTATGAGCACACTTCTGGAAGGAATTATGCTCTCAATCTACATTTCTACTGTAAAAGCTTTATCAGCCATTATTATTTCTTTTATTTCTAGCGGTGTTCTCGTTGTAGATCTCTTGAAATAATAGGTGCAGACTTGAGAACCATTTATGGATCATACAGGGTTGCTCTTGACAGGTAAGAAACATCCTTTTAGCCTTTTGTAAAATACTATATTTTTAATTGACAGTTTTCCTCTTGACTTAGCTATATACATATTATACAACATTTTCAGTCCAATTGTTACCCTAACATATGCCTAAAAGCATATGAAAATCTATTTCTGAATGTATTGCTAATAAATGTAATTAAAATGTGTTCTTTACAATATAATCTGTTGATAAAAGAATGCTTAAAATAAAGGAGAAAAAAATTAATGTTAGGAATTTAATTCTTTTTATTCAGTTTATATTTCATAATCAATATAAATTGTAAACTTATTAATTTTGATTGCTTTCCTGGCCAGAAATTTACTGGATGACAAACATATCAAATGTAGACCAACAGACGTTAAACTTTTAGATGGGCTTGAAATATTTGGTGATGTCATTTGCTGTGGTGAAGGAAAACCTGGAATGACCTGTGGTCAGAAACTGGGCAAAATGATAAAATATTCAAGCATTCCTTATTTTGCTACAAGTTGTGATAAGTTTGTATTTTGCTCTGGTGACAAAACTGAAAACTTTAAGCAATGGAAGAAAGCTTCTGAAGTATATTTCATTGATGAATTAACCAAAGAAGACATTAGAAGGTAACTTTTATTCTAATCTTTAAAAAAACAAAAAAAAAAAAACAACAAAAAACATGAATTATTTACATTTTATAAAACAAATTTAAAGCTAAAATAATATAAAGAACAAAGGAATGAGTTTATTTAGCCAACTTATAAAAAGTTTTTTTTAAATCATATTTTTCACCATTTAAGAGTCCATAAATGTGTTAATTTTGATGGTTTTAATGAAAGAATACATTTATTTTGATCTATTCCATGTACTTCATTCATATTTTTACATTTAAAAGTTAGCCAATTGGAAAATTTAATTTAAGCTTATATTATTCTATTCAAATATCCCAGATACATTCAAATGGGTAATGAAGAAGTCAAAGAATTTGGTGACAGTGATGAAGGAAGTGACAGTGAATAAAAAAGACAAGAGTTACTTTCCAGCAAATATGGTTTTTAAAAAATCTATTATAATAATAATGCATTTTCTTTAACTTCACTTGCATAGATAAAAAGAGGTTTTTGATTTGATGCTTGGTAATTTTTGGATTTTTGGTTTTGGCTTACAGAGCTATTGCAGCTGACATAACTACACCATCTCTGACTTCATTAAGCAAATTAATTATTCAATATGACGTAACTAATTTTTAACAAAGTATCCATTCTACATCAGATTGATGATAACTATGAAGCATATAATTCTGATGAGAATAACTTGAAATCCAATAAATTTATAATCTCTACTCCATTCACTTGAAACTATTTACATAATTGGGACCTCTATTTTTTGCAGTGACATCTTTTTTTTTTTTTTTTTTTTTTTTTTTTTTGAAAATTAAAGTTGGCACATTATTCAAAATACATGTTATTAATATAATTTTGTAATGTTCTCAAAACAGGTTTAAACTATAAGCTGTGACAACTTTTAATTTTCTTTTATACCGAGAAATAAGAAATAAAAATTATCTCCACCTATCTAAGACTAGAATTTAGTTGTTCATTCTTATACAGTATTGAGAGCCACTAGCACATATATTCTGGTGAAGGTCTGAGATTACTCTCATATGACCTTGGCTAGTACATTGGCTACCAGCTCCATCTGCTGAGTCATACAACATTTTCCTTACATAGGGCTCTCCAACCCCCCTGGTTTCCCTGGGACATATAGTGAGGGACATTCGGTCAACAGGTGCCCTAGTGTCTCCAGGACCAGGCTGCAATGCCGGCAGGTAGGGTCCCTATTGTTATCTAGCCGCCAGAAGTATGTGCCTATGGCGCAATGCTCAGTGCACATTTGCATCACTAAACTCTGCTTCCTGTGTGCTAGGAGTGGGCAAATCTGAAAAAGATGCCTCTGGCAGTTGTATTGCCTGCTCGTTGCCTGTACCACTTCAGCCTGAAGTGGTCTGCCAGTCAGTTCTTTATTCCCAAATAAGTTAGTGGTACTTCTGGCTGAGGCTAGGCAGCCCCGGTTTTTGCCAGTGTGTCTGCTTTCTCATTGCCACTGACGTTGACGTGACCTGGGATCCATTGCACTGTCACCTTGCCTCCTAGTTCACTGATCTTGCACATGTCATCAATGATGACATTGAGAGCCACTATACAGTTCAATAAGAATTAAATGTGGAATGGAAAAAATATATAAATTTTAAACTTTGATTGTATTACCGGTGCCTCACAAAAAAATGTTGTTATGTTGACAACAATGCTGTGAACATTTCTTTTTGGGATATGGTACTTTTATTTTTTTAAGATGACTCACTTACATATTTACTATATTTTACAAAAATCTGAAAAAAAGATTATATTTATTATTTATTTTGAACTTTATACATTAAGCCAGTATTGCTCTCATTTAAAATTAAATACTTGTAGGTTTTCGTGTATATATATTCAATCAAATGATTGATCATTTAAACTAGGACACAATTTTTGTCCATTGTTATTTAATTCTTTTATTTTTAACTGCCAATATTTGTTTCTAATTAGTTTCCTATTTCTGTAATATAAGCTAAGAAAGTTTAACAAATGTTTATTACCGGTACTCAAAAGCATATTATTTTGCAATATTGTATTTTTATTTCCAAATTGAGCTTGGATGTTTAAGAATCTTTTACATAACTTTCAAATTTTTTTGTATTGCATTAATGGAAGTATTAGTATTAACCTTTAAACATTTGAGTGGCTTTGAGGCTTTCATACAAAAATTACATTTCGTATTAAAAGCAATATGCATCTCATATATTGTGTGAAGAATGATAGCCAAAATGGATTAACATAATAAATAGCTTATTTTGTCAATGCTACAACTTCTCCAATATTGTGTAAAAGTAAACTAAAATAAATGGGGAAAAAAAAAATGAAATTTATTATGAAAAAAAAAAAAGGTATGGTAATTTCACTATTTTAAATTGCATACCAAAATAATTAAAAAAAATAATCAATTTTCAGGTTGACAAATTTATGAGTAAATCTTAAATTAAATATTTTATTAGATAGAAAATATAATAAATAGCTTATTTTTTCAATGCTAAAAATTCTCCAATATTGTGTAAAAGTAAAATAAAATAAATGGGGAAAAAAAAAATGAAATTTATTATGAAAAAAAAAAAAAGGTATGGTAATTTCACTATTTTAAATTGCATACCAAAATAATTAAAAGAAATAATCCATTTTCAGGTTGACAAATTTATGAGTAAAGCTTAAATTAAATATTTTATTAGATAGAAAAGACATTGCAAATCTGAAGGCGGATTAATTTTCACACAATGCATAAAATTGTTTCATTGGTCATCAATGTCAACATGTTTCACTCATATACATTCTTTAGACAAGATAGATTAATCCTTAACATTTCAAATATCTGGTTTTTATAACGAGAGCATCCCCACTTATTCACAACTCCTTTAAATGATCCTGAATACTTGATTTGATTACGTCATGCACATGAAGTTCAATTTTAAGAACCCATAAAAATCAATTTAAAAAACCGAGTGGAAAAAATATGACATCATTAGGACCACGAGGTTAAGAGTTGCACCACATAAACTTTGCACTAGAACAGCTCCTGAACGTAGGCAAACTTGTGGACTAAACAGCACAACAATAAGATTTGTCATTATACTTGATGTTTTCTCCTCACAAGACAGTAACTCTTCCCACATGCACAAAACTTTTATTTCCAAATGGCTGGGGAACAGAAAATGTCAACAGTAAAGTGAAAGTTAATCATTAAAATTTCGTTGAACAACTTAATGCTGCCTAAGATGCAGTAATCAAAGTGAGAGTGTTTCTGTGTTTCTGGCATTGAGATGTGAGAGGCCATATGATTTTGCTTGTAGCTATTCATTAAAAATGTAGGCACGCAGCTGAACAGGCGTGTTAGTTTTGTTTTTGTTAGATATGGTTGTGCTTAATATAACAAAAGAAATGTGCCATGAGCTTTAAATAATTGAAATTAACTTACTTTTAAGTATCATGGAGGAAATTTAACTTGTGTCTTGTGTAATTTGCTTTCATGTTGTTTTTTTGGTTTAAAATTACAGGACATTTTAAAATGAAAGAAAAAAACTAGAGTAAAGTCAACATAAGCTCCACTATTTTCCCATTGGACAACAAGTTACAGAAGGAGTCTCAAACTCGCAGCCCGCAGGCCATTTGCGGCCTGCAAGATGATATTTTGCTGCCCGCTACATGACAGCAAAGTTTAGTGTAGCGGCCCATGCGTTTTCCCCATTCTCATATCTATAATGTGACCCTCCGCAACGGTTTCAGTGGAATCTCACCGAATAGTCTAATTCTGATTTTTATTATGTTTGTATATATTTGGATGTTGATTACACTGGTAAAAACTGTTTTAAAATCATATTAAAAGTTTTTATTTTAAAGCATTTTATGAGACAAACATGGCCAAAGTGCGATTTTTAGAAAAGTTTTTAAAAGTCAGTTAATGGGTAATGCGCAACCATAATTGCGTAAACCATAACAATCTGACACAGCATCAAAGAATCCCTATTAAAATTGCCAATAGTATTTACGAGTGAGGGAAATTCCGAGCCTGTCAGCTTGATCACTTTCGAAATAGAAGTTGTACTCCTCTACACTACCAATACGAACTGCACGGCCATATACTTGAGCAAGTTTCCTCCGTAAAGTACCTGGGTGTTACCATTCAAAGAGAGGTCTGCTGGGACGAGCATATTAACAATGTATGTAACCAAGCAAACAAGATCCTATGGTTCTTAAGGCGAAATCTAAAGATTGGCAACTCCTGTGTGAAAGAAAGAGCATATAAAGCCTTTATCCGTCCGATTTTAGATTATGCATCTTCAGTCTGGGACCCATTTACCCAGAAGAGCATTGACAGGTTGGAGGCTGTCCAGCGACGAGCAGCACGCTTTGTCCTAAACCGCTACAGGAATACCTCTAGTGTTGGCAGCATGCTAGAAACACTAGGCTGGTCACCATTGGAGAAACGACGACGACAATCCAGGCTCTCCATGATGAATACCTCTAGTGTTGGCAGCATGCTAGAAACACTAGGCTGGTCACCATTGGAGAAACGACGACGACAATCCAGGCTCTCCATGATGTACAAGATAAATAATGGGCTGGTCCACTGTTCCGGTATTTAACAGAAACTCGTCCCTCTCCCCCATAGACAGCGACGAGGCCATGACAGGCAATTCAGGCTCATACCAGCAAGAAGCCAGTATAGGAGCTGCTCATTCCTGCCCAAGACAATCAGGGACTGGAACAATTTTTCAAAAGGAATGGTTGAGGCGACAACACTAGACACATTTGTGTCTAGTGTCTATTGCCTCAAGCCTTCAAACCCCTAGTGCATGATTTCCTCATCAACACCAGTAACAGAAACATTGCAAATCCCAACTACATGCATAGGAGCCAAAATGATCAATAAATTGATCGTGGGCCCTTAAGATATAGAAGAAGAAATAGGGTTAGTCAAAAAGGCCTTTTCTACGATAAAAAAAAATCAAAATTCATTCTCCCTACAACAGCATCTTCCTTCGCATCAATAATTCATAAATATAGCCAGCTCCTGCCTACTGTTTGAACATGTTTTAGTCTTCATGGAGAAGGATGGGGTGGTTGTTCCTGTACTAAGTGATCCCAAATGGCTCATGGGGTTGGCTTTTCTTGTTCACATTACACAGGCGCTGAATGTACTCAACAAGAAGTTACAAGACCAGGGGTAGCTTGTCAGTGTTGCCTATGACAATGTCAGGGCATTCTGCACAAAACTTTTGTTATGGTCCTCTGCCACTTCCCAACATGCAACGTACTCATGGACTCAGGCACACCATTCAGTAGTAGTTACACTGATGCCATTGCAAAGCTACAGGAAGAATTGGATCACATATTTAGACTTCAAAATACACAGAGCCACTTTTCAAATTTTTGCTGACCCTTTCTCATTTAATGTGGGAGATTCGGGGGGGCCCCCCCCCCCCCCCCCCCCTAACAACGGCTTCAAATGGAGCCGATTGATCTTAAACTTAAATGCAATTTTGAACTCAAGTCTAAGTTCAGGGAGGTGAATGGACAAACGGACAAGCATGGATAATTTATGAGAGCATTGCCCTCCACCTTCCCTGAGATTTCCAGGTTGTTCAAAGGATCATGTGCCATTTTGGGAGTCCCTATCTGTGTGAAAAGTTCTTTTCCACTATGAACTTTAATAAGGCAAAGTTCAGGGCAAAACTTACTGATGAGTATTTTCAAGCTATACTGAGGGTCTCAGTTGCTTCCTCACTCAAGCCAAATGTTTCTAAGCTGTGTAAGGAGTGCTGACAGGTCTCTGGCAACAAGGAGTAGGAAGAAGAAAGTGAAGTCTAGTTCTTGAGAAACCTTAATGTTTTTATTTGTTATTTATAAAGGTTGAGCAGATTGTAACAGTTGTACTTTATTGAATTTGTAATAGCATTTTTGTGGAATACTTAATGCGGCCCAGTCTCACTCAGACTCTACCTCCTGCGGCCCCCGCATGATTTGAGACTCTTGAGTTACAGTATGTCTGTGTCACAATGGCTCATGGGCTCATACATAATTTGGAGTCTTATTTTGTCTGCCTCTAATGAGTCACTTTCACTCGTGAGAAATTAATTTCAGATTTTGAAATACATCAATGACATATGTTTAAAGATATGATCTAGGCTTCTAAAGAGTTAAATGATACTATGAGAGTACCTGCATTTATCCAATGCTCCATAAGTCCATGGAGTATTCTTCATCTTTAGAATCGACTTGACTTCCATTTGAATACACTGTGAAACATCAGACATGTGCCCAAGTAAACACTGTCTATTGATACCTGTAAAATGCATCTACTATTTTAAAATCACTAACACGCAGGGATGGAAGATGACAACCAAAAAACTAAATACACGGCTTTGTTAAGAGAAGAACAAACAGATGAAACCATTAAAATTAGAAACCACACTTTGAAAAATTAATTCAATTCAAATAACTAGGATTAGGATCCTTTAAAAAAATGAATTACTAACAGAAATAAAAAAAAGAAAATGGCTGGAAAAAGGGCATGCTTCAGTAATCACAAAAAGTAAAATCATTATAAGAAAAAAAACTATTTATAAAACAGTAATCAGACCACTTGTTACATATGCAAGTATTAACAAAAACGGCAGAAAATCTATTAAACACATGGGAGAGAAAAGTTTTCCAGAAAATATATGGACCGAGAAATGATGATTAATAGAGAATACAAACCAACCAGGAATTTTAAAGTCTATATCAGGATCCCACGCTATTAGCAGAAATAAAAAAAGGGAAGGCTACACTGGGAAGGACACTTAGAAAGAATGACAAGAGGAGTGAAGAGGGGGCACCACCAAAACCAAAGGCAGACCTAGACTTGGATGGATGAATGATGTGGAAAAAGATCTTTAGCAGCTGGGAAGCCAAGCATGGAAAAGAAAAGCATCAGTTAAGTCTGAGTGGAAGTGGTGAGGCAGGCCAAAGCCCTACATGGGTTGTAACACCACAGGGGTGGATGAATGGATTTTAAAAAGTTTATCAAACTATTAGCAACATTCAAATTCAATGTTTTTTTTAGTCATTGTGCTACCGCAAACTTATGCGATACCATGCCAGTTCAAATGTGCTGCAAAATGAATTTTAAATATTGAATCCTTTAAAGCAGTGGTTCCAAACCTGTGATCAGCACACACTTCTCATTAGCTCATCAGATGCTCCAGGAAACTCCTAAACACTATAAACTGGTAAGACAAATGTAGGCTTAAAAGGCCTCCCATAAATATATTGACTGTAAAAAGAACTCTAATAGTCAAAAAGTTTGGGAACCACTGATTTAAAGCATTATGTAAATTTATTTATGGTAGTATACAATTTATAGGACTAATGTTTTTTCAGGTATGAGGTCATATAAGAATATTGAAAGGTGTGCCACAAAATTTTAGAAATTTCAAGTGGGCTCAGTACAGAAAAGTTTTAGATAGAAGGGATATTACCTCACAGCTAGTTCTCAGTTAAATCCTACAAATGTAGAAACAAACAGAATTTGGTCACCATTACAAGATCAGCCTCTTCTGTATTAACTAATCCTATCATTACTTGTGTCTCACATTTAATTATGGATGATAATTTTTACACTAACATTTCTGTAGGATTAGTCACACAATTTTAATTACTCTTTACATTCCTTGAATTTTTCATATTTTTAATGACATATCTAGGTTCCTTACAAAAGTGTCAATTACTTTTAGAATCCATGTCTAAAGTTCATAAAGTTGTAAATAAATTTGTAGAGAAATGCAGGAGGCTTCTATAAATTCTTGTTTTTAAACATATAAATTAAAAACACTTAGAAGTTGTGAGGATATTAATGAATAATTTTTTAATGAAAATGTGAAATGAAACGTTTTGATGATCATATACAAGAAGAAAAAACAAACAAACACAGACTACCGTGAATGTTTTCATAAAATCAATTTATTCAAAGAGAAAATTCATTTTGAATTTCATTTGAAGAAATCAGGACAATTTATGAACATAGGACCAAAATATATTAGATTTGTTAAAATGTGTCCAAAAAAAATAAATTTAATGATAATTTAAAAAAAAAAAATTTCACCACCCCTACACACAAAGTGTTCAAAAATTACTGGTTATTATTATTTTACCTGTTTAAAATTACACACAACAAAACATATCAGTAGACAATTTTAACTTTATGGTACTCAGACAGTTTCTTATTTGATTAAAACAAAAGTTAGTGTCACATGTGCTACATTTGATTGTGGATTTTTAAATATTTTTTTTTTGAGTTCGTAATTTATAGCACACTTGATAATTTCTTTTGAAATCTTTACATTCCAGAACTATTGGATGTATTCTATTGTATTTGGTGTTATTTACATCTGAGGCACTTGGAACAATAAGTTCCTGAGTGAAATCAATTTGGAGTTAACAATTATGTAGCTTTAGTTCATCTATGTCAGGATTCAACCCTCCATAGCTGGCTATTTCAACAAAAATAAAAAATAGGGTTTATCCAGTACTGTTTTGTTTTCATTAGGGTGATATGATTGTTCGTCAGTTGGGAGTCGACCATGACCACTTAAATCATCAGAGTTTGTGCTAGTTCTGTCTGTGGGTACCCAGATGGCTAATCAGGCAGATTCTGGCATGAAATTCTCTTGTGCAGTAAGTGCAGGGGAATGATGGCGCATATCCGGGAGCAGAGTCAGACTGGGCCTTCCTGGCATGTCTCTTGCGCTCAGCAGCCGCTGTTCTGCCAACTTCATGTTGCATGGAGCTCCTGTGTAAAGTGGAATGCCATGAAGTTCGATCCTTTGCTTTTTCCTCCGTGTCTGATTTTATGTTGAATGCTTTCAGTGAGGCTTTTATGTTGTCTTGAAAGCGTTTTTTCTGTTCGCCAGCAGACCGCTTTCCTTGTTCAAGCTCACCATAGAAAATTCTTTTGGCCAGACGGTCATCTGACATTCTCACAACATGTTCCGCCCAGCGAAACTGGAACTTCCTTAAGATTGTGAAGATGCTGGGGAGACCTGCCCGTGTGAGCACATCAGTGTCTGGGACCCTTTCCTGCCATTTAATGTTGAGGATTTTTCTGAGTCTTGTTGCATGAAAGTGGTTCAGCATTCTTGCATGGCATTGGTATACCGTCCACGTTTCACAGGCATAGAGAAGCGTAGGGAGAACAGCCGCCTGATATACTTTCAGTTTAGTTTGAGTGCTGATAGGGTGATGAACAGTCTAACCTACTTTTCTCAACCTCGTTAACTTGCCAACCCTGTTATGTCAACATTTTTGAAGTGGAACAGCCAAATTCTATGACTTTGCATTTTCTCCTCGGTTATGTCGATTCCTTTATGTCGCCAAACCCTGATATCTCGAGCACAAAAGGTGACCAAATTAGCCACTTAACCTCGGTTATCTCGATCCCCATGACGAATTGCCGGCTTTTGAAAATTATATACAACAGAAGCATGCCTATTTCAAGCTGTAGTAATTGAAATGAAATAACAATATTGTTGTGCACTCAATTAACTTGAAACAGCAAGAAGCTAGGAGCGAGAGGCTTGCTAACAAAAGGTCGCAGTACCTGTTCTATTTATAGCGAACCCGCTTGACACTTAATAGGCTTTCACGCGTTCTTACACGTTGATTTTGTTTAAAACCCAGAATCCGTATTTGAATAAACTGAACTGACCTATCCGGAGCGGGAGAATATAAAACTCGTGAATCCGGAGCTGAAAAATATTTAGCCTTACAAACCCGGAATTCTGGGATAATCCGGAAAAGTGGCACCCCCACATATGCCTTGTGTTGTTAGCAAGCATGTATGTACATTTTTATAGCATGCCGATCGCTTCATCAAACAAATTGATGTGCATGTAGCCTACATCTCATTTATAAAAGCACATCATGTACATAAAAAAATTTCAAGCATATGTTAATATATTTTGCCGCCATATTAGTTTTCATTTATCTCGATCATCGGTCATCTCGACGCCTTTTGGCAAACCCCGAGGCCGGGTTCTACTGTATCCATTTATCAACCGGTCAGCATCACACATGAATGAATTGTATCATTTAAATGTATGAATATTTGGCTGTCTCACCAATAACTGCTTAATACACCATCAGTTTTGGTTCTGTTCTCAAAAGAAAATCCATTTTCTGTAATATAATTTGAAATAAGAGAGACTATTTTATTAGCTCTCCACTGAACATTTATGAGTTCATTATCTGTTTTCCATCACATATCCCCTTGCTTTCTTTTATTTTTACATTTTCTTCTGATAAAGTCAGAAATTTTGTATTATAGGCATAAAGGCAATAGCCCAAAATCCATGGTAGTGTTAAAGTTGACCAGTATTTTTGTAAACCAGGGTCCTATACAGTTGTCATGTACATCAAGAGATCCAAGACATTTGTATAATACATCTGTTTGTTGAAGGTTTAGAAAGTTTCATGGTAGAAGAAAGCAGGTATATTTTCATAATTTTTCAACCAAATCAAGTGTACAAAATATCTTGAAAATGTCTTCAGGATGAAGAAACTGCCTCCATTGTATCCCTTGTTGATATTTTTTCCTGCATATTTCTGGCTTTCTTCCTGCAGCTGTCTGGCTTTCTTCCTGCAGATTTCTGGCTTAGACAAATTTAGGAATGGGAACTGTTGGGTCATCATCTTGAACATCATATGAGTTTAACCTGTGAATGTAAAAGAACAACTAATATAATATATGATACTGTGAGGGATGAAATGAATAAGAAGTATGTACGCTTATGTCTACTAATACTTGAATTGACTAATATTTCCAGTTTTCATAGCTCCCAATGTTGTGTAAATACCATTATGACTTTCAAATTAAAATACACTATGATTGAATATTTATAATTTACAACACACAGATGTCAAAATTCATATTCTTTAGGATGAAATATATCAGCAAAAGTAGCTCCAAATGCATCATTTACATTCTTCACTATTATCTAATGTACAGTACTCAAATATTTACACATGAAATGATGAAATTTAAGAAATTTCACTTTAAAACGACCCGTAAATATTTTAATAAGCTTAAAAAAAACAAAAAAACTACACCAATACATTTATAAATATTATAACAAAACTCAGAAAACATATAATGATGAAACAGTTGAAAACTAACCTTCTGGCATTCACTAAACGAAGGACTGCAATGGGAAATTATCCTCAAAATATGGGTTCTCAATTATCTTCCTCAGAAGATTCAGATAGAAATTGATTCATATTTTGAACACTAATAATCATTTTCATGGCGGTTGCATCTAAGAAAAATGTGCCCAAGACTCTACTTTAGCCATGTCACAAGTTTCTCAAACTTGCAAAACAAATCAAAATTATTAAAATCTTTTAATTTTTAAAGCTTTTTTAAAAAAATTCTTCCAATTGTATGATTACAAAAAAATAGAATACTTAAAAAATAAAAACTACTTAAATTTTATGAGTGAAAATATAGTGAAAATAGGTATATAAAATTACACTCTCTGTATAAGAGAAATGAAAAGAGTTAATGAATGAGGACATATTCATTTTAAATTTTAAAACACATAATAATCTTAGTTCTAAATCATAACTGGCAAAATTGTGACATCATAATGGCAATTAAAGAAGCATTATTCTATATAAAAAATTTTTTAAAGTACCAAGAACTTACTGTCATTAGTAGCACACAATTCTCTAATAGTTTCAGACACTGCATGAAATCTGGGTAAAGTGTCTATGTCAAATTCCTTCCCTTCATCCTGCATACATTTCAGGTGGTCAACAAGTATGGAGCAGTATAAAATCTTTGTGTAATGGTATCTACTTTTGGCATTTCTAATGAATTTGAAATAAATTTTATTACTTCTTAAAGAACTGAATGTTGGATGAAAAAAACTAAAGCAATGCCAGGGGCCTAAATTTACATTTATTATTATAATAATTTATAACTTAGAACTCATTTTCAGCAATATTTATAAAAAAGTAGAATAATATTAATACTAGTCTAACTCTAAATCTCTTTGAAAGGTTTAAAATTTCAATAACATTGTTTAGGCAGCCTGAAAAATAATGTTTATCGTCTGATTTCAGAGACTAACAACAATACTTTTTTAAAAAACTTGATTGAAACATAATTAAAAGCTCATGTTATGTGGACATTATCTTCTTATCATGCTGCTTACTCACAAAAGCTGCACCACTTACCCACAAATGTGTTGGTCCAGCTGTTTCAAAATAAACTTCAATAGTGTATCAAATGCTGATTCCATGTAAGTACACAGAGGTTTAGCTTGAGTTAGATTTGCTACAAAATTAACACAGTAATGTGTTGGATTTTCCTGGCAGATGTATACAAAAATTTTGTTTAAAGAAGTGGTTTCTGATAAAATAATTTTAAAAATAAATACATTTCCATTTGAATGTGAAATATTACAGCCTAAGTTATTGATATAATCCACAGCATGGATAATTTATTTTTATGATTAAAATCTCACCATAAGACTAGGACTTGCTCTGGTGGTAGAAAATAAAGGGCTAATGGCAGTTGGAGAAATGTTGAAAACATCCAATGCTGTGAAAGGTACACTCGATGAACTATTTATATCAAAATCAGATGCTTTTAAAAGAGTAGTTGAGTTGATGAAAAGTTGCAATTCTAGATTAGTCTCAGCAGCAAAAACTTGAAGGGAAAAAATAAGAAATTTGTTAGTAGACTGTTCTGCTTAAAAATATTTTTTAAAGATTTTCACAAGACTGCTTTATATACAAGAAGAGAAGGATGAGCACAAATCTATGGCATAATAGAGCCTACAGTGCTTTAAAATCTTAAAGTTGTGAGAGGTGTTAAATTAATGGAACATAGAGGGGAAGTAAAAGATTGAAAACTCAAAGATTATCCTAACCACAAGATCGTATGACTATATAGGCTTCATAGTTTTACTGCGCTATTAAATTGTGTGTGCTTTTTCCTATTTTTTAGCACTTAATATTTTATATATCATAAGAGTTAACAGTTTTAGGCCATAAAAATAAAATAAAATAAGCATAAAAATGAAATGATCGGTTCAACAAGTGAAGACAATCAGAGACTGGAACAAGCTTTCAAAAAGAACAGTTGAGGCAACAACAATAGACTCATTTGTGTCTATTGCCTCAAGCCTTCAAACCCCCAGTGCATGATTCCCTCACAAAGTGGCAATGGAAATCAGTGAAATGTCCTCATCAACACCAGGCACAGAAACATTGCAAATCCCCTCTACATATGCATAGGAGCCAAAATGATCAATAAATTGATCGTGGGCCCTTAATACATAGAAGAAGAAGAAGGTTTAATTGCTATAGATTAACCCTTTACGCTGCAACATATTGTATACCCTGTCCATTGCGACTGGGTGTGGCACACCCGTACACATTATAATGGGAAAAGGGGTTTCTGGCAATTCCTGGCAACTGGTTGGGTTAAACCCATATTTCTTATATCACAGTAAATGGCTCTCTTTATGTTAGGAAATGGGTAAAACAAAGTAAGGTCAAACCTGAAAAAAAGAAATGCAACAAAACAACGAACGTGTCAGCAGGAAGCCTTCATCAGCGAACAAACAACAGTAAAAACAGAATAAAATTGTTTTACTTTGTTTTACTTATTTCCTATTTTGCTAACCCAGTCGCAGTTTCTCGGCTTATTATCTCTTTATGTTATTTTCTTTTTTACAATGTGACATGATTTAGTTGCATTGTAACCAAACTCACTTCACAGATCACGCAGTTTCTCCCACTGAAGCATTTGTTCTGTACATTTATGAAAAATGATACAAACAATAGCTGACTGCAACAACAGGGAAGGTGAGGAAATAAAAGAAAAAAAATGGCACGGGACTGTTTACTACACACTCTTTTCAGTGGAATTTTTATTCCGCCCTGTCGATTGAAATCCTCTTTTTCAATGAAGAGATTCAGCAATCTTCTTATTCATACTGACTTTGACAACAAGTATGCTAGATCAATCATTTCTGGCTCATTACATCTTTGCTCCCGTAAGAGATGTATGAGAAGCATTCCCAAGTAATTTGGCAGGTACTTTTTTCCTGGAGAGAACTTCACAGTAGGTCAGCAACTGGTTGGTTTCAGAGGTCAGTGCAGATTTATTCAATATATGCCAAGCAAGCCAGACAAATTTGGAATAAAAATCTTCTGGGCCTGCGAATCATCTACGAACTATCCTCTTGAAGGCTGCCCATATCTCGGCAAAGAAAAAGCAAGAGCCCTGCCAGCAAAGATTAATGTTGGAATATCACCAGAGACTGTGATTTCTCTCACAACGGACTTCCATGGAAGTGGCCACAATTTCAGAACAGACTATTATTACATTCCTCTACAACTTGCAGAACCAATGGCCAAAAATTGACTAACCTTAGTTGGAACAGTGAAATGGAACAAGATGTTCCTACCCAAGGGATTCGAGCAAAAGAAGGCTCTGCCCCTTAACAACTCAGTGTTTTTGTTCAGACTAGAAATGACCTTGTCAAAAACCAGAGCTTAAAGCAGAAAAATGTATTGCTCTTGAACGCAATACACCATCGTCCAGATATAGAAAGTGAAACTGAATGCAAGAAACCAGAGGTTGTGCTCTATAGTAGTATAACAACAAAATCAAAGGAGGCATATTCACCATGGACCAAATCACGAAGGTGTTCTCTGTGAATACAAAAAACTAAAAGTAAAAGATGGCCTTTGGTTGTGTTTTTCAATATTGTTGACTTGGTATCAATTGCAGCAAGAGTGGCATTTAAATATAAATATTCGACAACCTATTGTCTCATGAAGACCACAGGCAGTCAATATTGACGTTGCATATTTCCTCACCCCTCCGTAAGTAGAGACGATCCGACGCATCAAGATATTGTGATGCAGAACATCGCCAGTGTTTTAAAATCTTTGCAAACACTTCAAACAGCTGCCCAAAACACTTCAACGCAGCAATTTTATTAGATATATTTGCAAAGAACATTCTGTTCTTTTATGTAAAAACTTTACAAACTGAACTGCAAAGCCGCTATTTTCCATGAGTACGTGTGACTGTTTTGCTTTGAAATGGTTTGTCAAGTTGAATTTGAATACATGTTATTATTGTTGGTGCCCCGGTACCCAAATCCATTCAGAATATTTATTTATTATCAAAATTTAAAATCTATTTATGGCAAGCATTACAGACTCAAATAATCAACAAACAACAACCAAACCAAAATGTTCACAAGTTTAGTTCTTTTCTCTCTATTAAATTACGGGTGTGTTACACACAGTTGCTACGGACAGTAGAAAAAAAGTTTAGGCCCCAAAAAAATAAGTCACTTTCACATGCTTAATACAAATGTTCATTCCAACTACCTTGTGGACTAGGTAGAGTATGAGAAATATTTTTAAAAGGAGACTCAAGTATCAGCAATCAAAGTCTGTCTCCGGGTGTATTACACACAGTTGCGGCTGAAAGAGTTAAATTGGGAAATAATTTTGTGAATTTCTGGAAAAAAAAATCCTTTATCTGTTAACAAACCTCTTCCATCTTCATGATATCTAGTTACTAGGTTAAATAATAAATATTATTACATATTTTAATTATGTATCTGTCTGTCTTCCCAATTAAAAATGCAAAAAAAGATGTGTGCACTTTCTCAGCTCCTTCTGGTTTTTTTATAAATAAGAAAATTACTTGTTGAAACAGACCGCTCTAGTTAGAAATTATATTTGCTGATCAAATTTTTAAGATAAGTAATATGAAATAAAGTGGTCAAATGATTCTTCCTCTGGCTGACCTGAAAGTTTGCCTGAGTTAATGACACAGAGTTACAGCTCTAATATCCTGTGTCATGAGGAGGGAGGAGATGGCTGGGGTAGTGAGTGATGTGTAAATAAAAAAAAGGTGATAAAAAAAGAAAGAACAACCCCACCCATGGGCGCCCGCAGGTAGGGGTAAGGTGGGGCACTTGCCCCCCCCCCCCCCCCCCCCCCCCCCTGGATTGATTGGATAAAAAAATTTAGACAAAAATAGACAAAAAATTTATTAAAGTAAAGAGAAAATAAAGAGAAAGTAACTAAGCTGATGTCCTGTTCGTTTGTTCACCATACAAATACGCTACGGTAAATTAAAACTACATTACAACATTACTAAAAAAATTTTGCCCCCCCAACCCCCCAAAAGTTAATCGATTTCTTTTGCCCCCCCACCCCCTAGAAAGTTTTCTGCGGGCGCCCATGATTATTACTGTTATTCAAAATATATCTAGGTTACTTAATGTCTAAAAAACCACACCGAGATTTGCATGCTTTCTTTGCTCCTTAACCTATATACACAAATAAATAGGTGTGTGAAATCATATTATGCTTTTCGTCTAACAAATTTAAAAAATCACAGATGGGGCAAACATGTTATATGTATTTAAATTTAAATGCACAGAAGAAAATAAATCAAAAGCAAAGGAAATGACAAAAATTATCTATGGGGCAAACCTTACTTAACTATGAGTGTGTGGGGGGAAAAAAGACGGAAGGGGTGGGGGAGGGGGTTGGGTTAAAAAATGTGGACCCTCCCATTTCTATAAATATAAATAATAATAATATATGTGTGTATAGGAATATATACTCACAGGGGAAGATTAACCTATAAGCTAACAGGCAACAGCTTAGGCCTCACAATTAAGATTTAAACAGCCCATTTTTAAAAATGCTTAAATTTGAAAATAAATTGTATTTTTCATTTAAGGTTTAAAGTAATAAAGGTACAAAAACACACAAAACTGGTTTTACATAGACTGCTTAAATTATGGGGTCATTGACTGGAAAGGGAGCCATGAAACCAACCATTAGTATAGTGAAAACTTTAAATAAAATTGTTGCCTATATTATGGTATAGTTAGTTCTTTGTTTTTTTTAATAAGAAAATGAAATGAAACCATGATTGCATTTATTTAATTATAAAATATGCTAAACAGAAGAATTTTTTTCTTTTTAAATATTTAATTACTTTTTTTTAAAACAATTTGAAAGATGAAAGTTTTAAACAAAATATGTTTATAAGATTCCACATGATTATAAGGTGATAAATAATACTCTTTTTAAATCACACAATAAGATATTTTTAATAATAGTCTCAATATTTCATCGTGTCTGTATTTCATAAACAAATCAATTTTTAAAAAAATGTATTCATCTAAAGCATTTTTTTCAAATACACAACAATGTTTGTTTTTTAAAATTCAAATATTAAATAAACATAGTTATTTTTAAATAAGGGAGTTGATTATTTTAATAATAAATGACAATACCAACTAAAAAATTTGGTTACACAACATATACTTCAATTTATAACAAACTTATTTTGAAAAGGATATGACAAATTAATTTAAAGTACTATCAAAAAAAACATTTGTATTTACCTGTTGAAAAAAGACAAGTCACTAAAAAAATCATGATGAAAAAATATTGCCTTGAAAATTTTTTAAAATCCAAATAAAAGTAAGGATCCAAAAAGCCAGAGCCTAAAAAGATGCACTGAAGCAGCAAATATAATTTATCAAAGCTGTCTTTTCTTGGTCACTGGTACCATATTTCAGTGAAAGGGAAGATGAATGGTATTTACCAGTTGTCCATGACAGAATAAATTACAGGCTACTGCATTATGTTTTATTTGGAGATTTTTTTTCTTCAAATTTGCAATGAGCCATTGAAATTGATTGTTCAAGAGAATTATTTTTCTTTTAAAACAAACAAAGATCTTGAGGAAAACAAAAATACAGTTTTGTGATGAAATAGAGTAGACAATAAAAAATGGGAGGTAACAACTAATTTCAAAAGCACCATCTGTTTCTTCCCAACACAACTGTAGTACCTATCATCTTATTACACGTTGCTGGCATAAAAATCAATATCTTTGTATTTATAAATATATTTTTTAAACTCCCCCCATATCCAAAAAAAAAATAAAATAAACAAGATTAATAATATGTCCATGGGCACTGCATTATCATACTTGCATAAGACATCAAATAGTTGGAATGCCATTGAGAGGGTTAAAAATAAAGTAGATAGAGCCAGATAATTTTTTAAATTATTTACGTAGCCAACCTTACTTTATTATGAGTGTGTAGAGAAAAAAAAAGGGTGGGGGGGGGGGGGATGTTGACCCTCCCACTGTGTGCATATATATATTTATGTATATAAATATATACACCAATAAGCTAATAGGTAACAGCTTAAGGCCTCACAATTAATATTTAAATAACCCATTTATAAAACTGCTGACGTTTAAAAATAAATTGCATTTTTCACTAAAGGTTTCAAATATGTCCTTCCAGTAGCATAATCTAAAAAACATTATATATACTACATGAGGTAAATAAATTATCATACCATCAAAAAGCAATGTCAGCTCTCTTCAGTTTTAAATAATTGAAGCACAATTTATTTGAAACCTTTCAACTTTTTGCCATTGACTCATAATCAGAGACCACTGTCTGTAAGGTTTCCAAACTTTCATTGAAAACTTCCTATTAATAAAACAAATACCTATCAAATGCAGTTAACATTAGTTTCAATCCTAATAAATAAGTCATCAATTTTATAAGGAAATACTTTTCTTGTTGAATAAAAATTTAAAGCATTATTGAATGGTAAACTGAGATTTGTTTTTGTTTGTTTGTTTGTTTAGCATGTGATTTGCTGCATATCTTTTTTAGGCAGTATATTTCAATTACAATAATTATGTACAAAAAATGTTAAAGCTATGTTTTCCAAAGTGTTTACTTTGAAATAAAACTATAATTAATTTTGCAAAAAGTAATTTACTTAATAACAAACAAAAATGTTACCAAAATACTGACTAAGTAAGTTATAGATTAACACATCAAACCAAAAGATAAATATACTTTTAAATAAAAGATCCCTACATTTACATAACACGTAGAATCATTATCTTTTCCCCATAATTCTTCACCATGGGAAAAGGTCAAAGGGCACATGCCCAAATGTTTACCAGATATGAATAATTATTCACAATGGTCAAAGTTGATAATTTCTACTGAAATTTAATTGTTTATTACGTTGCAAGTATAGGCATTGTGTTGTTGTGAATCTTTTATCTTTAACTGATAGAATCAATCTTTGTAAATTAATACTTTAATTTAATATGCATCCTTTTGGTTAATAAAATAACAATATTTTAATTCTTCATTTATTATTACTGGTACTTACTTGTGAAATGCCATAGCGATGGTACCAGTGCAGGTAGGCTCCTGAATCGAGTTTAAGACGAGAACGAGACAAGACCGTATTCAAGTGGTCTAAAATATTGGTAGAATTTGTTGCCAAAGTTAATGAGCGGCTTTCTTTGGATCCTATACTGTTAAATTTGGCAGTCCAACAATCTAAGGGATAAGGGTTCCAATTGATGAAGTTAACTCCCTTTCTTATTTTCCTGTCTAGAGATTCTTTCACTGCACGCATAAATGAATTTTCTCTGTCCCCTCGAGCTACAGCTACAGCTGATAGAGAATGTGTTGGGTTTCCTGCACAACTATACCTCAACTGGTAATCTAAGACTTTTGAGGACAGTCCTTCCCAAGATAAAGTTTTTGAAGTATGCTGTGTTAAGCTAATAAATTTTGTTGTCGGCATTGGTGTTAATGTTCTAATCAACTCCCACGGTTCTTGTCCCAGTGTGATACCCCTTGACGAGGAGAGAGTGTCTGTTGGGAGGAGCACTCCGCTGAGATTGTTGGCAATGACAGAGTTGATGTCTTTAAATGAAATGTGACTGTTACGTAGAGATTCATCAGATTCCAGAAGCTGATTTAAATGTGTTATATAATAGTCATTAAGAAGAAGTATTACAGCATCTGCATAAGTTTGAAGCCAGTGAAGTGACAACAAAGCATTGAAATTTTGCAATGGGCTCTCACCGCTTACACATGGGGCTACTGCACACGACAATATTTGATGACACGGATAATCGTCTCGTAGCATTTCAACCAAATGTGAACCCAAGCCTGATCCAGTCCCACCACTTATACTCTGATACACAACTGCTCCAGAATAAATGTCACATCTCTCAACTTCTTTCCTTATGGCTTCCATACTATTCTCTAAAAGTTGATCATCCCCTTGACATTTTATTCCATGGTAACCTAAGGCAAAATTTGTTCCTCTTCCCCTTTTACCAACTATGACATTTTTCTCCCTCACTTTAAATGTCTTTGGTAGAGAGGTTAGAACTTTGGATTCACTATCAATATGGATACTTCTATGCCATCCATCAAGAGAGCAAAATACTGATTCGTTGCCAAAAGTTTTACAATGAGTAAAGTTTTTCCAGAGAGGTACACTCAGTTGATTGCCGCATTGGCCAATGTGGATATGGATTGTAGACATTCTATAAATCTATTTAGGACTTTTCTGTTGCTAAAATGTTAAAAGATTGAATGAAGAATAATTTTAAAAAACGTGTATATTAGACCCAAAGATAAACATGTTATATAAAATTTCTCTTTCAATACTAATACATGATGAAAAGATACTGAAAATAGTAGGCCAACTGACATTTACTTTTTTAAGTTAATGTGAAAATGTTTATATGTCAAGCCGGTCAAATTAAGCTTGACTGTTCCCCCTCAGAGTTTTTTTTTCTGGATGAGTGCAATCTTCTTTGTTTTGTCATGGATTTTTCCGAATAAATTTAAATTTACAAATTTTCCCAACAGTGTGAAGCTGTAGCACAAGAACACATGGTTTTAGGGTTAAGGCTAGGTGGATTGATATATTTTAGGTTTGAAGTTTTTTTTGCAAAACAATATTTCATTCAATTTGAATGCTTTTTGCTAATTGTCATTTTTAGGCACCATGGGATTCACAATACGTCATTAAAAAAAAAATGTTTATCCCCCCACCCCACCCCCCATATCGGGTACTGTACTACTTTTTTTTTTACTTCTGCTGTCGTGGCAACAAAGATGGCAGATGTATCAATAAAATAATACCAAATACGGGGAAACAGTTTGAGCCATCAAACGCAACTTTACTGTCAAGCCTTATATTTGTTGTATCCCGAAATTTGTATGCAAGAAGATTGTGTGAAAAGAGGTTTTTTAGAAATTCACTTTGTTAAACGAAGATTAATTATTTTAAAAAAAATGATTTTAAGGGAATGTGAAAATGTAACATTGTTAATGTAGGCTAAGTGTCTTCTGTCACTGAGTCAGAGTGGTATAAAATAAATGCTAAATTCTAGGCTAAAAGCTAGTATAGGCATTATCATTAAAATAACGCTAAGACTAGGGAGTAAGCCTTTAGCCTTTTTATATGATAGATAAGGCCTAAACTTAAGTACAATAAAAAATGCACTACTCACTAAGACTGCAACTCAATGTCATTGACAACAGTGTACAATCTGTGCACTACTAGTAGACAAGACACTAGTTATCACTGCACCTAGGATCACTAGGGTAATTATTAAGTTCAGTGTCACAAATTATATTTTTAAAATTACTTCTTAATTTACTTCCTATTTATGTGATAAAATTGACATAATCACGAGGAGACCACGTGCACCCCAGAAAATGAAACCATTGGGATAGTTACCGACTGCTCAGCAGGTAGAAAATGAGGTTTGGAATTTATCCTCTTTGATACCAGAAATAAAAACAAAAGATATGTTTATATAGTTGCTAGCTAAGCTAAGGCTCATCAAGAACACTTTACTTTGTACTTTGTACCATTTGCCTGCTTCATTAGTTGTTTACGGACAAGGACTGGATGGTATCAGATGGTCAAGTCTTCAAAGGTAGACCTCTGAGCCTACATCAAATTGTACTTTCGACCTATTGCTGGAGCAATGACATGCCTTAGGGCAGCGGTTCTCAACCTGTGGGTCGCGACCCCTTTGGGGGTCAAACCACCCTTTCCCAGGGGTTGCCTAAGACCATCGGAAAACACATATACTTTACAGTTATGAAGTAGCAACAAAAATAATTTTGTATTTTGGGGGGGGGGAGTTTCGCCACAACATGCGGACTGTATTAAAGGGTCGCTGCATTATGAAGGTTGAGAACCACTGCCTTAGGGTCTAATTACACATATAAGTGTTACTGATGTTAAAACTGTCATATATCTGTTGTAAGGAATGCGAGGCCTACATTATTTGACACCCTGATGAAATTAGGTGATCCATTTTGGTGTTGAAGTAGATAAGAGTAATAAGACAAAGAAAGTATTTTCATTGCAAGCACCATCAACGTCAGTGGCCTTTTGTGTTTGGGAATTGAATCAGAATCAGGCAAATGCTTCCTGGTGGAAGAAAACTATCATACTGCTTTTACTTTTGACAGATGCATTGTTGCGCATATATTGCCTGGATCAGACATTGTTTCTGACAGTTGGGCAACTTATGTAAATAGTTATAATATTAACAATGGTATTTACACTCATTCTGTTGTCTACAAAGTAACTTTTTTGATCCACAAGACAGTGAAGTCGAAGTGCACACACAAAATGTAAAAAACATGAGAAGTCATGAAGGCGAAAAGAAAACTTAACAATCAATTTGGAACTAGCCATTCCCTATTTCCTTCATATCTGCACCAATTCATGTTCAGGAAGGAATGCATCAATATGTGATGGTAACGTTTTCGCTAAATTTCTGACAGCAGATGCGGAAAGTTTTCTTGTGTGAACATTTGACAAAATTAATGTCATAATCATAATCTGTAATAAAATCTTTATATAATTTGGAGGAAGTAAAGTAATAAGTAATTGATAAGTAGTATATAAATTATATATACATATAATAATATAATTTGGGACTCCATGATAATGATTACCATCACTGGTACTTAAGACTAGTACTAAGCAATGCTTACTGGCCTTACTAACAGAGGTGTAGCCAAAACTAAGACGGGGCAGTAGATGCCACCGGACTATTTGGGGCACTAAAATGGGCTTTAAACTAATTGTATTTAGTATTTTAAAATTATATTATTGATGAAAAGAAAATGAAAATGGGGGTTGGTAGTTGAGGGGGCCGTGCCGTTACTAACGCCGTTAGCAACTTACTAATAATAATAAACTTAAACCATTTCAAAGTTACAATGGTTATTAATAAAATGTGGTTTACCCTAATCAAATTTCACTAAAACGTTTAATATCTCATTTAATGATCGAAGGCTTTTAAATTTAGCGATACCGGTACCAATCTGGTTGTGTTTTAGTAGCGTTTCATCAAACTAGTGGAAGTCTTAGTCTCAGATGCGGGTATGGGTGTTTTTTACTGCTAATAACTGCTCTGTCTCTACATCACAACTGCTACTCTTGGTCACTGGTAGTGGCACTTAAATTACTACGACCTACGGTACTAATACTCTTACACTCAGTCAGAGATTCTGAGAAATGCTTTGGATTTGAAATGGACAACACGTCACATGACATTAAAATGTTCCAGGCGCACATTAATAAAGAATATTATATTTCTGTTAATTAAGTCCATAAAAGTACATCTGTCAGTATTTTGAAAAGGAAGGGAAGTGACTGACTGGGGATTTCGGACTCACCTGGCCAATCGAAAATACCACTTAGTCCAATTATGAGGTATCTCAATACTATTGAACCTGAACAGTGGAAGGTATATAGTATATGAGTAGAAATGAGGCAGTTTGGTGGATCTTAAGCTTCCTGATTTATGAACACCACCCGCCAGTTGTGCGTTCTTTTGAATGGCCAAAAAACTTGGCAAAGAGCGTACTTTACTAAAGTACTGTCTTTACAAGTCAAGTGATAATGATAATAATGCCTTTTTTACTTAACAGTTTCTGCTGAGCCATTTACACAATTGATGCCACATATTTCCCACAGCCGCCACTATTTCCCACAGCCGCCACCGTTTTTCAATTACTGGTATTTCAAAAAGACCCATCTACATTTGTGAAGACATTGTCATTGGTGTATCCAGAGGCTCTATAATCTTAGTATTACACTAAAAATCTGTCTAGGAAAATCTTCTCAAAAAGAAAACAAGGAGTACCAGTTTCCAGGTATAATGCAGTTGGGTTGTATTGTTGTATACACTACTGTATGTTTTTATCTTAAAATGTTACTTCATGCAGTTGGAGGAGTGTCTTTCGTGCCGCTGAAAACTGTAAATGGAGCATATGTCTGACTTAAAGAGAAGCTTGGCAAAAACCAGCTTACTGGAAGATGATCAACACCGGGATATTAAATTAGGAGAGGCAGCATTACATTCTTTGCCAGAGCAAATAAAGAAATCTCTCTGCCATATTCCTTATTACATGCAACCAGTCTAACCCTAAAAGTTCTTGGGATAAATATAGAGAAAGCATGTGTAAGAATTTACTCATCAAAGATCAAAGAGATAATTCTACTATCGATTTACCCTTTTCACCAGAAATTTTTAATGAGGCCCTTATATTGATAAAAGAGAAGTGTCTAATTATCAACATCAAGTCATTATCACAGCTATGAATACAAACTTCAGATCGTAATCAGCAGGAGCTTCCAAATACCTATTGAAATTGAAAAAATCACTAAAATTTGTTGATTCAAACAAGCCTTTGTTAATCCAGAATCAGAGACAAGATATGAATTTATTATTGATTAACTTAGATATGAAGAAGGTTGAATACTTTTCCTTGATTAACCGGCAGAACTGGGAAAACAATTATTAATAAATTTACTGCTTGAGAAAATTGGATCACAGAATGATGTGGCATTTGCTATTGCTTCATCTGGGATTGCATTGACACTTTTGGATGGTGTGATCAGTTACAGAACCAATGAATGCAGTTTATAAAAATAAAGCAGAGCATTTACAAAAATCCTATGTGGCTATGTGAGAGAGCTATCATTGTCTCTAAAAATCAAAGTCATTTATAAAAAAAACTATCTTATTCACAATATTATTATTATGTCAGGAACCGTAAATGAGTACAAATCAATAGAGGCAGTGGTGGATGTAGACAAAGCAGTAAACTATCCCATGGAGTTTCTCAATTCCCTCTGTATTCCTAGGGGACCATCACACAGACTGTGGCTTAAAGTTGGGTCCACTTATCATACTGCTTTGCAATCTTGACCCACCTATATTATGCAATGGTGTTGACTTTGCATCAAGATGATGCCTAATTTTATAGCATTGACAATATTTATGAGGAAAGTAAAGGAATGTGACATAGATATTTCCCTTATCCATTAAGACTGGCATTTCATATTACTATCAACAAGGCAAAGGCCAGTCAACAAAGTGCTGTGTTATAGACTTGGACTCACCATTTTTTCCCACGGCCAATTATACACAGCTTGTTCAAGAATAGTCTCCTCAAAACATTTGTTCATCTGTGCTCCAGATGGAGAAATGAAAAATGTTGTGCATAAACAAGTTTTGTAATAAAAATGTGATTCATTAAGGATGACATACAATACAACACTGTGTGCTGTCTTTTGTGAATAGTTAAACATGAAGACACAGCAAATGCATAAGGACAAAGGACACATTTTCTCACATAAAGGTTTTTCTCATACATACATTCTTTTGTAATAAGTTAAATTTACTAGTTTTTATTTAATTTAAAAGGTTTTACTACGAATTGAATTGGTTCTTTCCTTTATTAAAAAAAAATATCCATGTAACTAAATAAAAATTTATAAGAAATCGATAGTTCATGATGCAGCCTTAGCAAAATGACTCAGTAGGATAAGTCCATTTTCAAAGTGCATCAATTGCACCAAGGTTAATCCAGCCCTGCCCCAAGCATACTGTTACTATTTTCAGGCAATCTCAGACCCACAGGTTTAGAAACATTGTTATACACACCGTGACAAAAAAAATCACTTTTGATGTTTTTTATAATATGCCATCTTTTCACTTTAGGATCCTTTGAAACAAAATTGTATTCAGAATCTTGTGCAAACATCTATTGATAAAAATATGCAATCTCTTGGTATTGCATTTGGTTGTTCTATATGTTTCACAGCCTTATAAAGTATAGAGCAGCATTCCCCAAATGGTGGTCCGCAGACTGGGTGTCAATCCCTAAACATTAAATTGCCTGTCTGCAAGAAACTGGGGAAAAGTTACATGTCTGAGTCGCGTTTCAAAACAAACTTCGAAAATTGAGATTGTCTTAGGCATAAAAATACCCCATGTTGTAAGCATTAAGAAGAACCGGGTAAGCTGCCATTATGTCCCAAAATAATAATTTTAAGAAGTGTAAAACCTATCAATTAAAAAAAACAAGGCCAAACCAATTTAAACTTATTTTTGAAAGCTCTTGCCTGTAGAATCTGATTATGAACAATGAGGTATTTTTATGGAAATTAAATTTCAGATGTGACATTTCACAACCATGACATCTCTAGAATCTTTCACTAGAATTCATTAATCATGTTAAAGCAGAATATCCTGAAATTGCTAAATGATAGTAGTAGTAGACTTGGTAGTTAATTGAGTCTGAATGAATTAGCTGATTACAGATTGAAAAAATATTTAATGACATAACTAAGGTCAAATAAAAAGACAAATAATTAATAAAACTGGCACCTGGCCATGGTGCAATGGGAAACTTGTCCACCGGTCTGCCAAACTGAAAAGTTTGAGAAATGCTGGTATAGAATACAGAGATTTATGCAATTTATTAAAAAGTTATTTCATCATTAATTTTTGTGTGTTGTACCATATCTAATCCAGAGTGTTGAATGTTCTTCTAGCTCTTTTCTGTTTCTCATTTCTTCATTGTTGTTACACTTCTTGTTAATGATGCTTCCAATATTTGTCAACAAATATTAATATACTTCCACAAAGGGAATATCTTAAATGTTAAATCTGTTCTGTAATATGTCTTAGGAAGCTGGCCACAACAGTGAGAATTTGGAAGTGTTTTCAAACCTTTGTGCTTACAGCTAGGGAAGTGAAATTGTAAATCCCAGTGAAGCAAGAGATTACGAAAAGTATACCTATCAATTTTATGGATTAGCGCAAGCTTTAAATGTTTGAGAGTTAGATCAATGTTCACTTCTGTTTCTTCAACTGGTTATTGTAATTTCAAGTGTTAACTCTTACTCCCTGTAACCCAAACAGCAGTTGTCTAAATGTTATTATTATGAAATAGTATAAGGAATCACTTAAACTTTTCAAGACAGTGCTCATTTTCAAAACAAAATACATTAAAAGCACATGATGAATTATATGCTGCTAAAATTGTTTAAATTGTCCAGTTAGCATGTCAGTGCAACTCTTAGACTCTATTTCCATTTGAAAAATTAAAATTTAAAAGTCTTCTCTTCAGTTTTTTAACATTGTAGCTGGAAAATTTTGTCTTAGTCATTGCATCTATATTTTATACAAATTTTAAAGAAAACTAAATATTTTAATTTTGATTTAGTGTGTTCTTATGATAGTAATAGCTTTAAGGATTTTGTTATTTAAAAAATCAATGTTAATAACTATTTTTTTTTCTTTCAGATTTGCAGAATTTACGATGTCTTCACCTAGGCCAGAATTTGTTTGTGCATGTTTTTTCAACAAAAATATCTTCCTCAAGAAATATAAACTTCATATTACATATGAATGTGATAGACAATTTCAGGAACAGTACAGAGATGTATGTAGAGATATTATTCTCTTCTGGTTGAGCTTTTGCTTCTCAGATCTGTTCAGCTAAACCATGCAATTGTTATGATTTTCTTTTATTTTTGTACCTGGTTTTAGCTTTTTCTAATATATATGTTCCTTACATGATAATGTTACTCATATCCTGATAATTTAGTTTCAAAGAAAAAAGTGCACATTTTCAAAGTTCAAAATGAGGAACCTTGAGATTTTCTGTTTTTTCTTCATTTTTTAATAAATTAAATATTTCATTTCAGGCCCTTCGCTTAAAAGGCTGTTCCACGGATAAGCAGTATGATAAGGAACTGGCTGAGGTATTCAAAATTCATTGAAAATGGTTATTAAATTTTAAACAGATTTTCATATTTTACTCTTGGTTAATCATTGAGTTTTTAATTTTAATTATTTTCAAAATAATATACCGGTCGGTCTAAAAGGAATACTGCTTTTTAGCTACCAAATCTTGCATTGATGCTAACTAAAATGTCCCTCAAGTAAATGTTTAGACTTTTCCACTGATTTTTGTATTAGGCTTAATACAATGACTCCAGCATCCATTTTTAAAAGCATTCCTTTAAAAAAATACTTAGGAAAAAAATGTTATTGCTATTTGTTTTCAGATTCACCAAGAAATAACTAGAAGGAGGAACTACCATGCTACATTTCTTGACAATTACATCACCATACAAAAAAAGTATAAAAAACTTCATCCACACATTTGGAAACTAAACTTTAACATGCTAGATTCCAGATTTACAGCCATAGCGCAAGAGGCACAACAACTTTTAGTACTAGAAGGAAACAGACCATTGAGGAAAGAGATGATGTCTCATATCATAGATAATGGTGGCAACATCACAGGTAGCATAGTTGTTTGGTTATTTTAAAATATGATTCACTAATTAAACATTTAACATACTAATTTAAGAATATCTCTGCAACTACATGTATAATCTATATACCGGTACTCCTTATTTCTTGATTAAATTGTATTTTATAAAACCATCAAAAAAATTTTATCATGCTGTAAATTTTATTTCTACTGAATGCCTCTACATTAAATCATTTCATTTGAATTTGGGAATATGAAAACAAATAATCAAAGTTGCCTTTTCTCTTTTTTTTCATGATTAAATGGGATATTTAGAAAAATGATGGTGCCCCTAATATGAAACACTTTTTAACTGCTACCAATATCTTGTTGAACATAAATTTGGAGCATTAAATAATAAATGTAGCGGAATGACACAGATTTATTCACCTCAAACATTCTCCATGGCTGTTCTATAATTTTTTGGGAATGATTTAGCTGTAATTAAATACAATTTTTACATATTATTTCCTTTTACTTCAGATGAATAAATCAATATAAATTTTAGTAAATACCCAGTTTTACATTGCTAGTATTCTACTGCATTGCATATGCCAGGGCAAAAGAATCAGATCAGTCATAAGACAAAATATTTACAAAGAAATGCTTAATCCCTAATTCATAAAACTTAGAGAAATGCTTTGCTAAAATAATTGTTTTATTAAACTGAAAAATAGAAAATAGATTTGATCTAGTTTTGAAACCAATTGTAAAATATTAACATTTGTTTCTACAGATGCTGAGACATTCAGATTCCCAGTATTTACTAAAATCACTTGCCAACAAATTATGGAGGAAATTGAAAATTTTTCAAATTGCTCCATTAAAAAAACTCAACCTAACACAATGAACAAAGGAGGAGTATGTGCTGTTGTTTTTTTTTAAATTTTGTATAACCTTATAATTTTTTAAAATGGTTACCAACAACATTCATTAAACTACTGTTAACATTAAGTACCAGTATATTAAACTATTCTTTCCAAAAAAGAAAATGTAAAAAAAAAACATTTTAAAATAATAAAAGCACTCACATACTTAGCAAGTGTTTATTACCATATTTCAAGGGTCTGGAAACCAAGCAGCCATATCTTTTTGTATGGCCTACAACTACACGCTACGAATGGAATATAATTATGAATTTCTTGAAAAATCTCAAAGAATTTCCTTTAAACTTTATTGGCTTCATATGTGATGTTTCTAATAGGCTGCATTCTCCCACTGCTCTGTTTTTATACTAGGCAGTTTAATTTGAAATTTCCTCAATTTACCTCTGCAATTAAACCTATTACAAGTTTAAAATTTGCTCTTAAAAATACTGTTTGCAGATACTATGCCCCGTTATTTATTCTTTAACTTTATTTTTGAACTTTGACAACTGCAAGTAAAAATGTGTAAAAATTTTTAAATAATTTTTTGCAATGTTACAATTCTTTGCTTTTCACTTACTACAATTATTGAAAGTGCTTTAAAACTTTTGAATATTCTCTAAATTGCTTGTGATAGGTATCCTTGGATGAAATGGGATTGTCTGAAGGACTCATTACACCACTCATCAAAGATTACCTCCAACCAATTACAAAGGTGCTCTTTCCAAATTGGGGAGGAGGTAGTCTAGATTCTTACAAAAGCTTTGTTGTGAAATATGAACATGCTGGTGATACTAACTTGAGTTGGCACTATGATAATTCAGAAATCACACTAAATATTAGTCTTAATTCTAACTTCCGAAATGGGGAGCTGCAGCTTATGAAACCAACCAAAGATGGTGAAGAGGATCAAGGAATAGTAGTTATCTCCCATGAAGTGAGTATGTTATTTAGAGAGTATCCCAATTAATTTTTAAATGATTTCCAAATTCTTTTTCTTATGCTTTATTTGAGGATTTTAATTTATCAAAGGCTAGGACTAAATCATTTATATTATATTCTCTTGGAATCAAAGCTTCTAAAATAAAATTAATTGCATTTGTATAATTGAAGTATAGCTTATCTTAAAAATGGAACACAGTATAGATTATCTTAAAAATGGAAGGTTCTTAATATTGCAAGAAAGTATGTTGGAGTTCAGAATAGTTATGGAATTGATGAATGTAAATTTTATTTAAATTTAAATGTGTTCTTCTCTTTAACAGGAAGGTCATGGCATCCTACACTGCGGGCGCCAGCAACACTCAGCTCTTCCTATCACTGCTGGTGTTCGGTATAACATAATTGTTTGGATGAGAAGTTCCATGATTCGTAACAAGTTGTGTCCAATGTGCCAGGAAAAACCCACTTTAGTTCAAGTCTCCACTGCTGGAGATGGTTTCTACCCCGAAAACAGTTTATGCAACCTTTTGTAACAAATTGAGAGTTTACATTATCTTATTATAAGATTATTATGTTTTCAACACTCTTCAACAAGGACTTCAAAGTCTTCTTCAACAATAACTGGATAAGTTTCTTCAACAAATACTGATCAGGCTTCTTCAGCTGACTGTTTCTTATGCTTATTTTGCACTTTTCATTGCTGAATCATTCTATGGACAATGTGTTTTAGAAGCAATCATTTTGCATTGGAATGTAGTTGCTTTAAACCAGGTGCAGCAATTAAAACCTGTTACTATTAGAGAAATCAAGCTATTTTTTTATAAACAATATATGTTGGAATGCATGTGTTAGTGCCAGTGGCTGCTGGGATGCCAGTTCACACTGTACTCGCTAAATACAGCAATTGTAATGTTAGGGTAGTCGCCCCAGGGACAAATTTAGTCAACATTTGCTTCTGTTTGCTTCGATGCTCTATGGCATAACTTTGTAACTTATTTTTTTTTAATGCATTCTCAACAGCAGTGTTAGATTTTGACATAATTTAATCAGATCTATTAAGTGGCATTTGAAATCTATTTTAAGCAGTCACTTAGTCAATCAGATTTACAATTTTAATATCCCTGTTTTGTTCCTGCACTCCCTTCTCCCAATACAGCTTGTGGTAGTTATTAGACTATAATATGTTTACAGAAAATAAAATCAGGCTCCTAGGTGGCCCGCCATGTTAAATATCATGGCCCGCAGGATGTATCACAAAAAACATATTTCTTCATTCAATTAGTATTAGCGATTATTTTCATTCTTGGCATAATTTCACATTTGAAAAATATATATCATTTTTTTTGTGACGGTAATCAGAATTTCAATGCACTAGCCCCTATTTGGACTACTTTAACAAAAATAGGATGTAATTTAAATAAGTAATAACTTATAAATTATACAAAAAATTTTACTATTTAGTATTTTTTATAACTAATAAAATTGAAGGATTTTTATAAATATGGCTAGGTAAAGGGAACCTGTTTTCCTATTAAATGTAGAATTATGCAAAATTGTATTCAGGTAAACGTCAAAGCCAAAGTGCATCCGTGAATTTGAATTTTTAACAAAATTCTGCTGTGGAACTTAGATAACTTCATTGGGCGTCCTCAGGTTACGCTCCTCCAACCCGTCTTCATCTATCACATTTGCAAAGATGGGCACCTTTTTATTTGCAATAAAGCACTATATATAAATATGTAAACTGCAGTCATCTACTTTCGGCAGAGACCATTAATAGTTATTGTATCCATTATACTGTATCATTAATATTATATGTATGTTAATTTACCATTCCAATATATGGTCTTGTACGATTTTATGATGGTTATGCACGAATCTTAGATGATATTGTACCATTTTAGGAGTTCTAGGGTAAACAGGTCTGCATCAGAAGCAACAATTTCTGAATATTTATATAGTGCACTTAACTTCATGTTATTATGCCACAAGATGGATTTATTAATTTCTTCCTGAACCAACCTGAGATATTTCCGTTTTTGTGTAAACTTTCTCAAACATACATCTACTTTTTTAGTGCCCTCTAGGGGTAGCAAAACCGGTCCGTTTTGCCAAAACTGGTATGAAGTTTACAAATACTGGAATCCCGATATTTAGAGAATTTTTAGTCAAGATTAGAGGTGAGGATTTATCAATGAAAAAAACATTCAATAAAAAATATCACATTTTGATTTGTATAAGCTTTTAACAAAAACACAAATGTTTAACTTTAGATATTAATCAAACAATCAAAAATAATAGTCTTAACTTTTTATTTTAAATAGTTTTATTAATCAGATATTAAAATAATTTGTGTTGTTTTAATCTTTGGTCAAATTTAAATAATGAGATCGTAAAATTGACGTGTCTAATATTTGGTAACTTACTTTGACTGCAAGTGGTTACATAAGTAAGATAACAAGAAAACCGGCTCAGACTCCACATTGGTCGGAGGAATATACCTGAGGCTATCATACTCTAATTTTTAGATACTTTCCTATATTATGAACCACCATTCTCAAATAAAGCCATTTCTATTTTTACCAATGCATCAATGTCTCCATCCGTTGGTCTGGAAGTATTAGCCTAAAGATTCTTTTGTATTTCAATTTCTAATTGTATCTTAAGCGGCAGTGTATCTTCAAGTTCATCATGCTCAGATCCAAGACGTTCAATTTCATTGTTCATACATATTTCCAACAAGGAATCCACTGTGTCACCAAAATGTTGAATATCCACAATATGTCGTCGCAATCTGGCCTTAGAAATACGTCCAAGTAATCACCGGAATGTGCAGACTTTAAATGACAGTGAAGGCCTGAAGTTGTACCTCCCAATGTTTTAAGTGTCTTGTTACATCCAATGCATTTAGCTGAGAGATTGTCCATAGCTTTAAAAAAATAATACCAAACTGATATTTTTGTTTTCGATAGTTTCATATACTTTTCATATTTAGCTTAATTTTTGTCCGGGTCCCCCATTTCTTTCTACCAACCTAAAGGGAAAATAAACCATTAACAAAAATTTATTTATTAAATCGAATTGGTTTGATGTGTAAAACTTTTTTTTAAATGTTTAAATTTTCGTGTAAACGTTTGGCTAAGTACGGTACAGACAAACTGGGACATTCAGCCTGAAAGAAAATAGCTCGAAAATCAATTATGAGGTGAATGTAAATTATTAATATTGTTATCACAAAATAGAAGTAACATAATTTTTCTGTTTCTTAAATTTAGGGTATTTGATTATCAAATTATGGATTTACTCATATTTTTAAGCATGTAGGTTTTTTGGCATAATTAAAAGAAATCAAGCAATCAAACATTTTTGTTATAAAAAGTTGACCCCGTGATTTGAGTGCAACGTGTTATTATTTCCATACAAACTCTTAATGGAAGTCAAAATTCGATCTTCATTCGACTATACCAATCACTTATTTGTCAATAATATGAAGACATTTAATTACCAATCTTGTATCTTCACGTTGCGACTTGTCAGCACTTACACTCAACACACGCACGATGTAAAAACAAACCTAATCACAACACCATGATTTTTTATAAATGAACAGTACACAGGTCTAGTCCATCGGTTGGCTCTCGCTAGACACATGGTGTGAGGGGTTCGCACTTTGCATAAATTATTGATATTTCTTCCTTTAAGTATGACATGGAAACTAAGAAAAACGATAAGTATTTTTTGAAAATGAAATCCTGGGAATTTTGAAAATATCGGTTTTCAAAAATCCAATCCCGTTTTTTTTTAGCATCCGTTAGGGTCTGGTATTTTCGAGATTCAGGATCCCCGATTGCAAACCCTAGTGCCCTCATCATGCTTATTCGATGAAGGGCCACAACAGTTTTGGCATTAGTAAATATCTTATCATTCAGGAGCTGTGCCTAAATTTCTTCAAAGTGATTTAAAGCAGAAAATCATAACTGGGTGTCATTATATGAATGTAACTGTAACAGTGTTTTTCCCATTGAATAGCCATCACACTGTAGCTGACCTCCCCCGTCACATTCAAGAGACAACAGCTTCCTATTATCCCAGCATTTGCCATTACAATTGAAGTCAATAAACTGCAAGGGTAGGAACCTTTCATAATGTGTGTTATTATCATCAAAGAGCTGTGAATATTTCTGAGATTTAATTTCCGCTCCCCTGAACAAAGGGACACAAAATTATATCTTTGGCATATTAAATAAGATCTAGAAAGCGCATTTGAAAAATATAAGTATACAAGCATGCCCAGCCCAACCTCATCTTGTAGCAGTGAGCAAGAGATGACATAAATTTTTGAGGACATTAAACAATACACTTATTCAATTTAAGGTACACTTAAAATAAGTTTAATTTCTTATAATTAATGTTAATAATAGGATATGCCATTCTGAATGGAAAAGGCACTCAATTAATTGCTTTTTGCAGATAACCTATACATCCTAAACAACAAAAAGGTTAGGAACAGCTTCTAAAAACAGTTGTGATATGTATCCTAAATCAGCAAAGATAAAACTGTATTCATGTCATTAGGTCATACCCCAGAAAAAATGGGAGATAACTTAGTGGCCAGCTGTCAATAGTTAAAATATTTAGAAATTATTTTAGCTGAGGTGGAAAAACAGCGAGATAAAAAGAGTGTAGAGGGCAAACACATCAGCTACCAAATACCCCCCTCTTCAAGGTCAGACACCAAAGAATAAATAAAGAGACCAAAGCCAGGCTATTTAACACTGTCTTTATAATTATAGTGACCTTTCCTTCTAGTGCTAGACCTGGGCTCGGAGTAAAATTCTTTGAGAAACACTCTTCACACACTCTTCACAAGTGAGATGAGATATTTAAGGTCAGTAGCTGGTGAAATGAGAAGGTAGAAGTAACCACATTCGGAAGCAGGAAATAAGACAAGAGGTTGGTGCCATTCCAATTAGCCATTATACGGCACATCTTAATTGGCTACCTGCATTGCAAGCCTGCAATAGTAGGCACTCTCAGCTTCAGGGCCAGAGGAAGACCAAGCAGGTGAGGATCAACTGTGTTGAGGACACCCTCAGATTCACAACTTCATTTTCAACAGGCCTCACGCCTAGCAGGTAATTGCCAACTGAAACTCCTCGTGATGCCTCCTCAGTAGCAGTTGGTAGAAGAATATGATTGAAACAAATTATGCTAGAACTACTATAAATCATGACAATGTCCAAGCCTGTAAAATTGTTGACTTTAAAATCATTTAGCATCTTTACGTGATAAGTAGGCCTATGCACTGGCAAAATTAAAACTGACAATAACCTGGTTAATTAAAAAAACGACAAACAAAATTTTGAAAAATATTTTAATTCATGGTTCAAATAGTTTAATAAATGCGTTATTAATATTCATCCTGACTTTCATCATCATCACTGTCAATCTCTTCATTCTTGGCCTCTCTGTATCTAATTAAGGTTAAAGAAAGCAAACAAGTGCACAAACTTAAGGATGCCTCAAAAGTCAAGTGTATTATTAGCTCATACAATTAATATCAGTTAAAAGGTATAACAGTGCAAGGTATGTTCACACTGGGCTCTCAGCTTTCCGTGACTACTTGCTACTCTCGTCAACAAAATTGGTTCATCAAATTTCATTTTCACAGGTTCATCGAGAGTTGCAGTATATTTTCAGCTGAAATTGGAACGACACTGAGCTTACTCTTTTTTAAAAATCTGCAATAGATTTCAGTTCATAGAAATTTGTCAATACACTTATTCTTGTTGGGCAATAGAATGAAGAGAAAATCTTGGCTAACCTTATAAAACAATTTGAGCATACCTTAGACTGTAGTACCGGTACCTTTTAACTGACATTAATGAAGTGTGGATGATGCCTCTATATAAAATCATAAATGCTAATGTAATTTTAAAGAACTGATAATATTAACTTTTGCAGTTTAGGACAATACTTTTTTTTTTTCATGCTTTTGATCTCAGGTTAGTTTTTGGACCATGGTTTTGGGAGGGGTGGCAAGAGATGTGCTGGTTACTTAACATTTACAAAAGGTTCAGCCTTTAAAAGACTAGGAGTTGTTCCTTTAAAAAATTAATTATGTTTGCCTACAAATTTTGTGGGTAATGCAAAATAAAACACGGTCATTTTTCTTTTACTAATTTATTTATTATATTATTATTATACTTATATGAATGCCATAATTATCACATATTTCACTCCTCACTAAGCACTCTCTTGAGATTCAGAGTATACAGGTAGTCAAAAGATAGAATGAGTTCAGACGATGCACTAACACATCCCTCACTTTAAAAATTATTAAGGTATGTCCTAAAAGGATACTGCAAGTCAACATTAGAAGTTGGTCTGTAGGTCATCATCTTTGGTACCACTTGATCTGCAAGTCTTTTTGCTGCCCATTCTGCATTCAATTCCTGCAATTTAGACCAAGAAGATGTTAAATTTAAAGAAGAATAGTAAATTCCAATCTGGTATATCAATAAATTTTAATAAAACCAAAGAGACAAAAAATTTAATTTCAAAATGAGTTTTCAATGTAGTTCTTGTAATTAATATACCTCAGTCTTTGCTCTCTGCTCCCGTATCAATTTGATGGACTCTTCAATGGGTATAATTTTGGCCTCATTAAACTTGTATTGAGGGGGATGAGCTGCTGACTCTTCTTCTTTTTGAATGTGTTTTGGTTTAAATGTGTAGCTTTGTGGAGGTGGGGGAATGTGGTTACCTTTGAGTGTCCTGTGAAAGAAAATGGTAATGTCTCAGTTCAATCACCAGGCGCAAAACTTCTGATTAATAATGAAGCACAGCAAATGGTAGAAGTCCATATTCTATTCTCAACACCTTGTCAGACTTGTAACTTTTGTGTTGGTATTTTAAATGTGTTTATAAATACTGGGACTATAAATATAACTTAAAGGTAAGAAGTGCCCTTGACCTTTATACTTAGTGAGTTATTTTGAGAGAAGTACAATTTTCTTCAGTAGCCTAAAAAGTCTTTCCCAGCGGAACAAATCAATTTTTTTTCACCAGGTAAGGAATTTCAAGGGACACATGCTTTTCACTTTTACGAGGGTACACTTCTTTGCCCTCATTTTACTTGACTGTTTAAGAGTACGGAGTACCATTATTTATATATAAATTGTTCATGAAATAGTAAAGTATCTTTCAGTGTGGTAGTTTTATATCTTAAAATACAATAGTTAAGCTCTTTACCTGTTGGGTAAAAACTTTGTTTTTGAATTAGGTGGCGTTTCTTTGCTTCTTTTAATAACATTTTCATAGCTGTTGATATTTTGCACATGGTCCTTTTTTATGATGGAGTTGCTATCAATGGACATTTGCTATAGACATAAAAATGTTATTAGGCATAAAATTTCTCTATTTTTATTTTATCAAATTTAATTTTAGAACATAACTGCCCATCTTATAAAAATTTGTTAATTTAAAAAAAAAAAAAAATTGTTTGAAATAATCACCTGCAATTCAGAAACTAAATCATAATCTATTAATGATTGTGGTGGTGGATTGGTACCAGTGGCAGATTCACTGATTTTATCTGTATCAACTTCGACTGTTGTAGAAGATTTTGTAGCAATGTCAGATTTTGAAGCAATGTCAGATTTTGAGTGAGAAACATTGGAGAATTGTGAAGTTGTTTTCTGTATATTTCCTATCTTTTCTTCTATGAGTTTCTCTATAAACTCAGCAAATTTTGTGGTCCTCTCGCCCTTGTCAGGTAAGTTGTTTATAAACTGTCTAAACAAAAATTAAGGAAATTATTGCATTTAATTAAAATATTACATTTAACACATTTTAGTACTGGGTAGCTTCACTAATTCAAGAATTTTTAAGTACATACGGGTATACAAATTAATTATAATGTTATTTTAAAGTGAACTAAATGTGTAAATTCTTGCACACAAATTGAAAATAGTGCTTTTCAGAACCCTAATTTATTTGACATGCTGGTAAACAAGAGAAAAATTGCTTGCTTTGCCACATAATTTTTATATTACAGTGCTCTCTCTAAGGCTATTTTTGTAATGTTGGCAATTTCATATTAGTTCAACTAAATGTTATGGGCTACACTGTAAAAATATTTAACTTTGATTGATTATGATTTTTAAAAATAGGTTTAGATCACAATGATCCAGTACCAATAATGATTTTAAAAATCTTAAAATTAAAGGGATAATAAATGAAGGAATGTGTTCAAGCTTTGTGAAGGAAATAACTGTAGTGGAACAAAGAATGTTGAAGTTTAAAATGAAAAGCAGGAGGATAAGATAGAAAGTTGTTTTTTGTTTTGTCTTGTTGGCTGAAGAAGGCTTTTACCAGATACATTCTCTTTTCATTTCAAGCTTCAACATACCTTGTTCCACTATTTAAAATTAAAAGTATTTAAGCTGATACTGATACCTTTTTGTTAATATCTTTTTCTGTCTTTCCAGTAGCTCTTCTAACTGTGGTAAAGTTTTCTGCATTACATCTCCTAAATAACCTTGTCGATCCGGTGTTAAATTCATTGCTGCTGATTGACTGTAATAAACTTTTTCTTTCATTTAGTATTGGTTTCCTTCAGAAAGTGAAATCTTGTGTAAAACACCCACATATTAAAAATGTATTTCTCTGTACAAATTATAATTAAATTTTAGGAAACTCATGTTAAAAGTTCAACTCAACTTTAATTTTATAATAATTTTCAGTACATTATCTGATTGCCGGAAAACCTGAGTGTTTTCAGATAAGTTCTGTCATTGATCAGCTAATTTTATTATAATATGGAGATTGAAAACATTAACCGTCACACACAAAATAAATGATTCTTCTTTTGAAAATGTCTTGAGAGGTTATTGAAAGCACTAAGGACCAAAACTGTGGTGACATAAGTTGAAAGCTTTTAACCACAACTAGTGTTTATAAAAAAGTTCAGGTGTAAACTTTACCCCCTTTTTTGAATATGAGGCCTGGGCTAAATAACCTGTCAGCAACCTATGAACCCACTCTCTGCTTCCTATAAAGAAATAGAAGTAATAAGCTAGAATTTACAGTTGGCAATATTCTCATGGTATGATAAAGTTCCCATTTCTTAGCTGTTTGGACTAATGGAGTGAAAGTAGAATATTCAAGAGAGAAATATGAAACCATGAATTGTCTCCTCCCCTCCCACTAAGAATGTCTCCCCCCCCCCCCCCCCAACCCTGATCTTGCATGATACCAAGTGGCGTAAAGTGACTAGTTTGCACCCCCACATACATCTATTATAATATAATGTTAAGCCCCCCTGATGCTCCCATAGGTTCCAGTAACAACCCTACTAATCGTGTGAAGCATTTTTTAAGTACCGGTATCCTGCTTTTGTAATGTATTGATAGTAATGTTAAAATAAGCTACATGTAATATGCCATTTTGATGATAATTACATTAGAAAAGTGGTTTCTTGCCTTTTTTTACTTTTGGAGCTTTTTTTAGAATCAATTTTTATGATGGCGCCCCTTAGGCCTACCCTAGGCCTTCAATGTTAATGGTGTTTAGGAGTTTCTAAGAAGTGTTTGTGAAGCACTTTGAGATCTTCAGAGCACAGGTTGGGAACCACTCCATTAATTAACTGGACATGTCAATGTCTTTAAGCTTCATGTTTTTTTTTAAATTTAGACATTTGGGTACCCGGTATCAAAATTACTTGAATCTAAATATGCTTGCAACTGCTAAAATGCTGGGCCTACATTTCCAGTAATCAATATTATTATATAGATAGGCCTATGTGACTATGTGTTATGCCAGGGTTCTGCAACCTTTTTTGAGTTAACGGCCATTTTATTATTGATAAATTATATCTGCTAAATAAATAGTTTGGGAGCTGCATGTATTATATGGTTACAGAGCTCCTGGCCTAGGGACCGTCCATAAAAAACACCACACAATTTTTTTCCCCTTTTTCCCCCCCCCCCCCCCCGTCACAAACTGTAAAAAAATCTGACCCCCCTTAAACTACGTCACACTTTCAAACAAAATTTTTTAAAAATTAACACCTAATTAAAATTTAATCTAAAATACACTTCACTATTAAACTGTATTAAAATATAAAATTTCCACTTACTTTCCACTATCACATTATTAAAAGGACTTTAATAGTAGAATAATTAATTGTCAACAGCTGTCACAGTTATTCATTGAAGCAGTAACTCATTGTAGATTGAATTTAAAAACAAAAATTGCAAAAATTAGACTAGACAATTATATAATACACATCATTTATCTGCTGCTTTTTCATTTACGATAGGTGAGGTCAAGTTTTAGATAATCTTGCGATTATGCAATCTTTTTACAAAGTTTAAGAAGTATATTAGAGAAACTTGACCTCACCCACTGATTAAATAATAAAAAGAAACATAAAATATAAATTTTAAAAAATGTGTGACGTCAGTGACGTCACACATGGCCTTCCCCCCCCCTCCCCCATCAACTTTCTTACTCCCCCTCCCCCCTCTGAAGCATGACGTACTTTATGGACGGCCCCCTAGGCCATGTCATTCATTATCATTAATTAATAATTATATCCCAGTGGAGACCATCATCGTCCATAGTTTATAAATTATAGTATAGCCTAATAAATAATATGAAAATAAACTTAATGTCTGAGTCTGATCTTCATCTGAGTCATAGTCATAATCACAGCCAATGTAAGTAGTATCATATTAATAATATATCTTGAGCAGACTTGAATGCAATTATGTTTCATTAATTAAAAATACTCTATCAAAATCAAATCTTAAAATAAAAAATGTCAATGTTCAACTTGTAGAGACAAAACAGTAATGCAATTTAAGTTACCCCTTATTTTATCGCAATAGGCCTAAATTCCATTATCAACTTTTTAAAAATAAATAATAATAACATTATTTCTTAAAGGTCTTAGGGCACTTAGGCAGGGTGAATTCTGAATCAATGAGTTAACAGTTAGTGAATGACGATCACACCACGGTCGCCTTCTTGGTTGCCACAACCAAACCTGAACCCTAAAAAATGTATCCCTAATGGCAACAATTCTCTGCATTAGCCAACAGCCAAGATTTAAAAAAAAAAAAATAAATACAGTATTTTTGTTCGACAACAACAACAGTACCGTACTACGTAATTCGTACTTGTCTTTGACTTGAGTAGCAGACAGAACTGACAACCGGAAACATCGTTTGCATGTTTATTTACTTTCACTCTCCCACTAGCCACTTGCTCTTCATACTATCATACTCTTCACTTTCATACAGTTCACACAGCTTAAAATTGCACTCCAGGCATTGCTCGCAACAAAATAAGAATTTACTTGATTTTTAGTTCTATTTTTTTTTTAATAGTGAAGGAACAAATCGTTACACATTTTCATGAAACATTTATGAATATGAAACTTTATGGATACGACCATTATATTTGTTTCAGTTAAATTGAAATTGTATCAGTTTTTAAATTAACATTTACTGGCTATCAGATTGTCCAGGACCCAGCTGTTACGGGTCAAAAATTGTAACAAAATACAGCTATTATCAGTACCGGTAAGCTATTTAAAATTTAGGCCAAAATTTAATTTTATTTGAATACTCATTCACATTTTGGTAGCCACATTTTGTTTAGTCATTGATCATCATTGTGTCATGCCTTATGCCTTATGGATCAATGTCCAATTGCTACTGCTGTCAAAGTTAATCAAGTTAACTTGACTTAGTGATCAGTGATAGTGTTTTATTTATTCATAACTTTAAAAAAATTTTTACTTCATTTTCATAATGATTCATTTCATATTTATTTTTATTAATTTAGTAATAAAACTAATAAGCATAACTTGAGTCAATAATTGACAAATTATAATTAGTTTTAATAATTAATATATTATTTAGATTTTTATTTTAAAATAGATCAGTATTAGCATTGGTATTAGTCGTCTTGAGTCTTTCCATGTACTATGTCAATGTCATGTTATATGATTTCAATGATTGATATTGTCAATTGTATTTTGTAATAATTATATTCTTTAAATTTAATTTAATTACATAAATAACATGACATAATAAAATAGTATTATATTTTATATATTATATTATATTTATATGTCATAATTTATGTTTTTATTATTGTATAACTTCAGTTACATTTTAAAATAAAATCATATTACTATAAATATATAAAGTAATATACAGTCAATTTATATATATATATATATATTAGTATTAGTAGGCATACTTTGAAGGGTAGTAGACCTTAGTAGTAGTACACTTCTATTAGTCAGTATTATTTAAGTTAAAGTGTTGTAAATATTATATACCAGGTTGCCAGATAACTAAAAATGTAGAGTCTAGAGTTAGATGCAGTAGCATATTTTGATTTTTGTGGTGTTCGTTTTATTTTCATCTCTGTCTTTAACTTCAAGGCTGGACTAAGCAAATTGTCTTTGTCAAATACTATTTAATTCAACAAAACTAACTTCTATCCATCCCACTGGCGCTACAGCCCATGTAGGGATTTGGCCTGCCTGTCCACTTCCTTCCACTCAGACGTGACTAGTGCTTTTCTTTTTCATGCTTGGATTCCTAGCTGCTATAGATCTTTTTCCAACATCATCCATCCATCTAAGTCTAGGTCTGCCTTTGCCTTTGAGCCGTTTTATCCTGGGGTATTGGTGATGTACCCTCTAGGCTCTTGACTCCTCTGTCATTTGTATTTTCTCTATGTGTCCTGCCCAGCATAGCCTATCCTTTTTTTTTATTACTGCTACTAGATTGAGATTCTGATATAGTCTATACAATTTCTGGTTGGCAGGTTGGCTCATATTCTCCATCCATATTTATCCTTTGTTGGTCCATATATTTACTGGAGAACTTTTCTCTCCCATGTGTTTAATAGGTTTTCTGCTGCTTTTGCAAATTTCACCAGCATATGATGTTACTACTGGTCTGATAACAGTTTTATAAACTAATTTACACTGACATAATTTTAAAATAATTGTTTGATTTGCTGTGAATATTATTATTTAAAGTTAGACAATTTGACAATTAAATTATCAATTTTGTAAGTATTTTGTATAGAAAATGATTCACAAAATTTGTATATTTTACAAAAACATAAACCCAGTTCCAAGAAAGTTGTGCGGGTCAAATTAAGCATGTCAGTGGACTGGATATGGTCAGCGGTCATACCTTGCAGACCCTTGAATTATATGAATAACTCTAAGTATTTTTAGGTCAAAACTTATTTTTATTGACAAACTTATTAACTTATCTTAGGAAAATAAAGTGTGTGTGTACTGCAATCAGTTAAGATAAAAGTAAATCAATTTTAAGCATACATCAATTTTTATTTCTGCCTCCTGTGAAACTTTCATGGCACACAAAATAAATATTCACAATAGTTTTTTTGAAAACCACTACATTTATATGAGAACTTTGAATCTGAACTCAAATACTCCATTATTTCAGTCATTGGCTTTTGCATATCCATCAGCAAATTACATTCATTTAAACTGTTGTATAGAAAATTTGCTATGTGATTAATGTTATTTATTAAATAATATTTAATTTGAGCCTACTTTACAATGATCGATGACTGACAAGTCCTAACAACCACATAAAGTTTATGATTGAATGTGAACAAATTTAATAAGGAACACAAATGAAAGAGGGCACATTTCAACAAATATAATAATCATTATTTGTGGTCACTTTGAAAAAAAATGAGTTAACTATTTTAGTTGTTTTTTAAGACAATGTAAATTATTTTATGTATTTTATTAGTCAAAAGCTTCATTTAAGTTTAAAATGTCACATTAACAAATATAAATGCTATATTTGCTAAATAAAGTTAATTTACTAAAAACAGCTTTTTCTCAGAATCAAGCAGATGTTACTTCGCAGGTTTTGCAAGTGAACTCCTCATTCCATGTGCAAACCCCCAACTGAAGTAAATCCTTCTCTACATTGTTGATCCATCTCAGCCTTGGGCAACTGGGGAGTCGTCTGCCCCTAGGTTTCTGCCTGTATATTCTCTTAACCTTATAGAGCATAGTCTTTACTCACTGGTTTAAACCCGATGACTGCATTTACTGTCTCTCTTTTGATTGCAAACCCTGTTCCTAAGATGTCTGTGTTGTTTCCACTGTAGAATATTGTATACTCCTTTACTTAGGATATCCGAGTCTTTCCATCTGACCTGCTGTAGTGCCCCAACCACGATTCTAAATCTTAGCAATTCGTCACTGAGGCGGACCAGTGCTCCCACTCTGTATAAACTAAGTACATTCAAGGTTTCTATCTGTATCTCATATTTTTGTTCAGGCATGGGTCGAAATCCAAAATTATCAGTCTGTTGTTTTTTTTTGTATGTGGTTTAACTTTTGTAACACTTGGATTTTTACGTGACAGGGTCGTCAGCCCTGCACACAACCGTCTGGGGGGATGCCCCTTGCAGCTCTCAGGGTAGCTGCATTTGTATTGGGTTGGGCCCATAGCCTATGTGGATCCCTCCACTTACTACAAGGCAGTAGGTACTGATCTTGGTCCACCCCAGGTATTTTATTTCCCCGGTAGCCGCCATATCTGGTGGGCTTTCCCCTATCAGCCACCTGGGGAGGCATTCGATAGAGAATTCAAAGATATACATGTTTAATTCAGATTTCAGTGAGGGCCAGCAGTGCAGGGACTGCAATGTAGGCCTGCATCCCAGATGGGTGCTTAAGTGTAACTTAGTAATAGATTGTAGGCTTATTCATGATTCATAGATTGCAGGCTGACTCTTGGTAACCAATTTATATACTGCAGGCAGGCACTAGATAACTCAGCTCTGGCCCTGCTTTCAGTGTCAATCCAATTTCATAATTTTTAAAATATCCTAATAAGTTGATAATGATTTAATCATTTAGTTATAGTTACAGCCATATTTTGATTGCAGATTTACTGTCATTGTCTTGAATATCCATTGGGGGAAAGCTACATTTTTTAATACATTTATTATACAGTTTGAAAAAGTTTGTGAGTTAGAGAAGAGAAACAATATCCAGAATGGAAATTCCAGCTCTGATAACCATTGTAGAATGGTCAACCATAGCTGTTACTTTTATCATGATGGGATCTGGAATGTGAGTATTTTATAAAAACAATTTTTTAATAATCACAACAGCTTAATGAAGTGCTCATCCTCTTTGACTTTGACCACCTCTAAAAATGTAAAAAAAAATTCTTTAAAAAAAAAATAATAATTTTTGTTTGCATTCCCATTAAAACAGCGTTTCCCAAACTTTTTTTGCGGCCCAACTATTTTTATACTTTTTCATAAATCACAAAAAATTGTATTACTTACTCTGGCATATAAGTAACAAAACAGAGTTGAATGTCCATAGAGTTTTTAAATATTTCAATTAAAACCATTTAGTCTTAAAAAAATGAAAAGAAAAGAAATCAAACAGAGACCTGGTAAATGATGTATTAATTAGAAGTGTGATGCTGCTATTAGATAAACTTGATAACTTTATTCTCAGATTCAAGTAATTAACCAATTTACCTTTGCCCTGACTTTCTCTCTTGCTCATCTACGGTGGTGTCTTTTGTAGATTAAAAGGTTATTGTAGTGTCACTTTGATTGGCATACCATTGGTTGTCAGTGAGGCAAAGATTGAATGCACCGAAGGCTTCCGAGCGAAGGGAGTGGGGCTCAGTGAGCTCCTCCCCAGAAAATTGTTGATAATTCAAAATGCAATTTGGTGCATACCTGAATTAAATTTTGCATCATTTTCACTTATCAGAGAGCAACATAAGAGATGCTAGTGTGACCCGGTATTTTTCTTTTGTGGGCTGGAATCATGTCATTTTTTGTGGGCCGGTACCAGGTCATTTTTTGTAAGCCAGTACCAGGCCAGGACCCGGCATTTGGGTATCAATGCTCTAAAATATTATTAAGATTTCAATTATTTTAAAAAAAATATCTATACATGATTTTTTTTGGGTAAGGTAAATACAAAAATTTTAATCTGGTAAATAAACAGAGGATTTAAGAACAAAAATATTTTAAATTGCTTCCTTACAAATTTAACTTTTGAAAATAAATTGTCTGCATGTTTTTCAGCCCTTTATGTGTAAATATGTTGAAGAAGAAGACAACTGATAATGTCCCTTATTTGATGTTTTTGATTTTGTCTTTTGTGTAAGTATAGTTTCCATTTGTCTCAAATACTAGTGATGAAATAAAAAGAAATTGTTTTCATTTCCAAGTTCAGGTAGATACTACTATTCACATTTTGATATGTCTTAACAGGACAGTCAGCAGATTAGATCATGCACTGAGACCAAAAAAATATATGTATTATTAAACATTTAATCCACCCTAGTCGAGTTGCCATCTTTATTTAACCTACATTCAGTTAAAAATAATGTTGCTGAGGTCTTTTGCCCAACTCTTTCCTTAACACCATATTATTGTATTAATAGTTGGGACTTTGGCATACCTTTTTGTTTGAAACAGATAAGTTATTGGCCAACTTTTTTTATCATATGACATGCTAACTATTTATTAAAATTCTTCAACCCAAATGAAAAAATCTCAAATCAATTCCCAAACTCTTTATGTTCTAAAACTCTTTATGGGTTAATCTCTTTTTATAACATCATAATTTGGTGACACACCAATTTCTGATCAGTGGGAAAAATTTACAAAAGGAAATAATTACCTTATTATAGATATTAATATTATTAATGTGACATATTTTCATTTTTAGGAGTCTTTTAAGTCTCCAGTATGCATTGCTGATAAAAAACAATACCCTAACATTCATCAATGTAACAGCAAGTCTTGTTTGGGGATTCTATGTCTGTGTATACAACTTTGTTAGCAAAAACAAGGTATTACCTTTCTTTATAGCTTGAATGTGTGTTCTTTTAACATAAGTCTATAATAAGCCCATAAAGAAAGTCAGGAAACATAACATTTTAATTAATAACAAGAAGTAACCTCTCACCATGCCATTGGTTTGCATATATATTCATGAATTCAGATCTATTAATTGATACATTACATTGTGTGTACCGGTATATTATAAACAAATCTTTGAAGGCTAATATTTAACTCAATGGCATTTTATACCTTTTAAAAATAAGTTAAACAACTCTTGCATTCCAATGTATTTTATTCTGTTTCTGATTAATTTATCGTATAATTATAACTATTTTCAGAGCAAGCCATTGCTTCAACTCTTGGTCTTAGCTGGATTGTATTCATCACACTACTATTATCTTACAATTGTGCCACCAGCTGATGTCGTCCCTACTCTTGGAAGTTATCTCTTATTTTGGGTTACAGTTCTTTCACTTCTTCCTGCTTTGGATTTTGTAGGTTCATCATTCCTTGAATTTAAGTTTTATGTTTGTTTATTTATAGATTTCAGATGGATAACTAGTAATAGCCTGTTATTATGTTTATGATAAATTGGTTTCAAGTTAGCTTTTCCTTTTCAACTCTTTAAATTTAAAAATTACTAAAAATTTACTAAAATTTAATATCATGCGATCAGGGCTGGTAATAATAATAGGACCAACTGGGCTGCCTTAATATTATGTAATTTGCGTATGAAATTAAATATCTACTTGCAGATTTTTGTCCCGGGCCGCTAGGACACTTGAGTCCACCCCTCATCATCTTTGTGATTACATGTCTTATCGCTTGGTGTATGTCAGTTACATAATTTATCTGTAATTATCTGTGCCCAGATAACATAGTTGCACCATAAAGTCTTGCCACTATGAGACTCTGAATTGAAACTTATATTTTGCAAGATAGTGAAATCAATCAAGAGCAGTGGAATGCATCTAGTAATAGATGTTTATTGTCACCGTGGGAAAAATATGTGGTTCCCATTAGCCAGGCAGAATAGTTCCTAGTGTAATTCAAACCCCTTAGCTAAAAATTATCAAGAAAGATAATCGCTCTTTGTATTAGATTAAATTCCATCCACCCATGCAATAGCTCTGTTTGAAATTATATTTATATAGCTCATATAAGAAAAAGATAATTTAGGGCCCCCGGCCCCTAAAGGAATATTTCAAAATGGATCACCTAACTCAGAAACCTTTGCAGATGTGTGCACAACAACTTACCAAAGTTTTATCGCAATAGGATCAGTGGTATAGGAGCGCATACGGGACATACATACATTAATATTGGGCAATATGATGACCTTCTGGCGACTGTAAAAAAGCACAAACTGGAATGGTATGGCCATGTGACAAAAGAAATCATGCAGGGCACAATGAGAGGAGGGAGAAGAAAAGGAAGACAGAGAAAATGATGGGAAGATAACATCAAAGAGTGGACAGGACCAAAACTAGGCAATGCTGTGCGAAGTGCAGAAAACAGAGAGGAATGGGAGAGGATAGTTTTCATGTTATCTGTGGTGCCCCAACGGTCCAAGGACTAAGGGACATGATGATGATGATTAATTTTAATTTTATTTCCAACATTGAGAAAAAAACGCACTAAAAAACAACTGATGTTTGGGTTTTCCCCATAATGTGATTATGGTGTAATTCTTTGATCAGAATTTTTATTTTTTTTATTTTTCATAACTTTCAAACACATATAAAATGCTTAAATGATACTTTAAATGTATTTGTAATTTATAATAATTATACTTAAACATTCACTATAATAAAAGCGGATATATAATATTTTTTGAGCATTTAAATTTATTAGATTTCCATAAAATAATAGAAAATAACCGTGATCGTTTTTAAGAATCCGAACGTATTTAAATCTTTTCAGTTCTTTGGCATTACGGTCAGCATAGCTCATTCTTATATTTATTTTATAAATGTTTTTAATGGAAGGGGCAAAAAAGAAATGCAAAAAATGACAACTTTTTTAATATTTATTTTTTGTTTGTTTTCCCATTATTTCATTTCTAACAAACCCGTTCCAAAAATTTCCTTTTGAATAAATTTCTATCCAATAGTTTTCCTTCAAATGAAATTCTTTTGTACAAATTTGCGGTAACTGTCTTACCCTTACCATCACTCTCGGGCAGCATAAGGGAAGGTCAAAGACAGTCTATTATAATTATACTTCTGGTTTGGGGGTTAGGGCAAATGGCCACTTGAAAAAACCACTCTTGCAATTAGAGACCGACCGAAAGTGATTTTCTGATTTCGGCCGAAGCCGAAAATAGGCCGAAATTTTAAAATGAATTTCGGCCGAAACCGAAAAAAGGCCGAAAGTTTAAAAATGACTTTCGGCCGAAACCGAAAAAAGGCCGAAAGTTAAAAATGAATTTTGGCCGAAGCCGAAGCCGAAAATGAAACATTAAGATATTTTGAAATTCGTTCCCGCATACATCGAAAATGATGTGGGAAAGTATAAATATTTACATTCTTTTTATAAAAAAATGAGATAATCGTGAATATTAATAAATAAACATCTAATATAGGGTTCTCAAACTCGCGGCCCGCGAGCCATTTGTGAACCGCANTTTTTTTTTTCTTTCTCTCCATTTATTACAATCACCAAAATGTAAACATACATGTAGTTATATTAATACAAATAAAATCGCAAAGAGTTATTTCCACTCGATGGACTGTTCAAAATCACCTTGGAACTCGCATGTCCCAACCACGGTCCACCTGACATATTCAGCGGCACCATCAGCACCATTCAGGATCTGGAGGGCCTTGACATCCTCCTCCACTGATTTGAGTTTGAGATCCTTGATCTAATGAATACTTTGGATTTTACCATTTTAATATAAAAATAATTTAAATTGCTTTACAATTTTTAAAAATTAGTATGGTAGGAGAAAATTTGGCAAAAATTGGTTGGGGGGGGGGGGAATTAATGCAAAATATTATTTTTTAAACCGGGTCTCTAAAAATTGTGGTTCTAAAAGATCGCTTAATTTGTTTTTTAAAGATCATTTAGTTGGTTGTTATTGATCGGTTAGTCTGTTCTTAAAGATCGGTGAGTTTGTTCATAAAGATCGCTTAGATTGTTCTAAAATATCCCTTAGTTTAATCTTAAAGATCGCTTAATTTGTTCTTAAAGATCGTTTAGTTTGTTATTAAAGATCGCTTAGTTTGTTGTTAAAGATCGTATAGTTTGTTGTTAAAGATCGTTTAGTTTGTTGTTAAGATCGTTTAGTTTGTTGTTAAGATCGCTTAGTTTGTTGTTAAAGATCTCTTAGTTTGTTGTTAAAGATCGTGCAACTTTTCTTAATGATCGCTTTATTTTTTTTAAAGATCGGTTAGTTTGTTCATAAAGATAGCCTGGTTTGTTGTTAAAGATCGTTTAGTTTGTTCTTAAAGATCGCTTAGTTTGTTGTTTAAGATCGCTTAGTTTTTTCATAGAGATCGCTTAGTATGTTCTTAAAGATAATTGATATTGTTCCTTAAGATCGATTAGTTTGTTCTTAAAGATATTTTTGTTTGTTCCTAAAGAACATTTAGTTTTCTGTTCAAGATCGCTTAGTTTATTCGTATAAATCATTTAGGTTACTATGAAAGCTCATTTTGTTTTGATTTTAAAGATCATTTAGTTCGTTAAAAATCGTTTAGTTTGTTCTTTAAGATCGTTTATTTTGTTATTAAAGATTGCTTAGATTGTTATTAAAGATCGTTTAGTTTGTTCTTAAATGTCGCTTAGTTTGTTGTTAAATATCGTTTAGTTTATTCTCAAAGATCGCTAAATTTGTTCTTAAATGTCGCTTAGTTTGTTGTTAAATATCGCATTCACTGAGTATTAAATGACCGAATTCCTGAGTCACTTTCGGCCGGATGGCCGAAAGTCTAAGTCAATTTCGGCCGAAACCGAAGAAAAACCGAAAGTTAACTTTTCTCTTTCGGCCGAAACCGAAATAAAACCGAAAGTCAACTTTTCAGTTTCGGCCGAAACCGAAACTTGGCCGAAAGTGATAAAATGGCCACTTTCGGCGCCGAAACCGAAGCCGAAGCCGAAATTCGGTCGGCCTCTACTTGCAATTTAAAATTATTCATTTATACACTATAAAATAGGAACATTTGAGAGCTCAATATTTTTTTTTTAACAGTCATTCTATTTTTACACATGGCAAAAATAAAATAATGCTTTACTTTAACTAAATATTATAATTATTTTTTAAAAATACTTGTGGGTAGCTCTTGGCAATATGATCATGAAGTGCAGCAGTTTTTTTACAAATCATAATATTATCATACTTACCTTTAATGGCTCTTGGTTCTTGACCCTTGTTACAGATTTACTTGAGACTTTGTATTTGCATCCTCAGATAACAATATTTAAAGAGAAGTCTACCAGATGCTGTGATTTGCCAATGTTACTTGGTGGAACATTAAATGGCGGTGTGTGGTACTTGTATGGCATACTGATGAATGACATCAATATTTATGTAAGAAATCTTTAAATTCTAACACCCACAGCTGATTTGTAAAGATGAAGTTACGCTATTCACCATTTAAACCAAAGCACTATTACAGTATTTACAGTCAAGCTTCGTCTTAACTATCTCATATCATTTTATTTCCTTTAGTGTTTGTAAATACAAAACCCTTATACCCTAAATTTAGTGGTAACGGTAGAAAAATTAAAAAAAAATTATTTCTATTTTCACAAAAAAAAATTTTTAAGCTCGTTTCTTGTTATCAAATAATTAAACAATTAAAGATGAATAACTCCTGTTACTTTATTTGTTTTCAAATTATATGATAGCCACTGAATTTACATTTTAGTTTCCTGCAATTCCTGGCCTTCTTGTAAGTGCTCTGAAGTTTGGCTTGATGATAGTTTATGGACCACCTTCAAAGACTGTCTCTACCAAAGCCTCAGCAAGTCAGCAAGCTACTACTTACAAGAAAAAGAAAACAGATTTACAAAACAATAATTTTAATGAAAGGTCTTCACCTAGTAAACTGCGTAAAACTAAGTAGTCAGAAAATCTAACAATTTTAAATAAAAGTTTATTTTTTATAAGAGCCAATCTTTTTATTTTTTGACTTTAGCATATGTAGGTTCTTCTGCAAAAAAAAAATTAATTAAAAAATGTAAAGAAAACTTATGAAAAAGTAAATAGGGAAGTAGAGGATAGATAAATTAATTACTTAATACATTCCTTTAAACCTGCTGCATAAAAATTAGATATAGATCTAACCAACCCACTGATGCTGATTAAACATTTTGTTTAAAACCTTTACGCTTTATTGGGTTTTTTCTGCAAGCTGTGCCTGCACATTAAATGATATGTAGATAATCAAATTATAATAAGTCTTTTCCCCTTGTACCATTCATTGGAATTATCCTCTAAATAACCAGTTTAATGACTGCAATAAAGTTAAAATTAAATTTTGTGTCTGCTGATAGATCAAATTTTAAAATATTGTTTGTTCTTGTGCTATAAAATGGTGGAAATGCATTATAAAAAAAAATTCTTTATGTAAAAATACCAGCATTGATAATTTAAATAATTGTTGAGGTTTGTTGAGAACATGTCTTTTAACATATCATTGATATTGCTTTGAAAAATAATTTATCCAATGTTTTGTTATACAATAAGCAATATTACATTTTTTAAACATTTATTTTTTTTACTAGGTATAGCCCGCCAAACAATTGCGGCTACAAATTCTGATCTACTAAAGTTACTTGAAAAAACATCCATTTAAGTTAACACTCTTTGTAAGAATCCCATTGTAGTGCTATCCCTACCCCCACCCCCACCAGTCGTACATCACCACACACTTTTTTCATGTCCCTGAATTATATTAATATTCTAATGCCCACCCCTTTTTAAAATGCATATTTATTACACCATATTCAAATTAGGACTATTTCCAAAACAAAAAAAAATTGCTGTTATCAGAAATTTTATTTTGCGAGCTTTTGAACTCACTATTGCACCATACTTTCTTTCATACCTAGAGAATAATATGTATTGATAATGGACTTTTATGTAATAATAATATAATTAATTAATTTTCTGTCCAATGTTTCAGCTGCAATGAGGTTAAGTCTAAATACAAATACAATATTACCGGTACTGCACTTATTTACATTTAATATGTTTAAAAAAAATAAGATTGTAACATTTTGAACCAATTTTAAAAGGTCTTAGAAATCTGATAGTTTTGATAATGTCTATCACTCTGTTTCAAATTTTTTTAAATTTTTATGGTTGTTTTTACTTTTTAAAAATTTTCATTTGTTTTTTTATATTTAAGCAGAATATAATCAGTAATATTTTCATGTTTTGCTTTTAATTTTGCTCTTGAAAGATATATATTTAGCGCTAGCAAATCTTGGTACATTCAATTAGATTATTCTCTTATTATATTCTTCCACTCTGTGATATTTTTATCAGATGCTCAACTTTAAAAGATATTTTTACCATAAATAAGTAAAAGAATTTCGTCTTGTAATTTTTCAATAGTTAATGACATTTCAATAATAAATTGAGTGCTACAGCTTCTCTTTGGAGATTGGTGATAATAAAACTAAAAGACTATCTAGTGATGGATCAGAGAAAATGTATGACTTGTGGTAGGTTATGATTAGACAACTACAATCTCTACCTTTATGTGTCATTATATTTTAGTCTTTGGTGAGCTATGGATGGAGGAACTCTGATGTAGGGTCTCCCACATATTGATTTTTTGTTGTTGTTGGCCAGTAATAAAATCAATCTTATCTATCGCTTTTGTAATTTGTTGTTTAAAGCTGCCTTCTATTTACATATTATATCACCGTTCCTGATCTCCAGATGTTCCTATGTCTTGTTTTTACACTACTTTTGTAATTGGTTTTAACTTAAATTCCACCCATTGTCTTTTAAACAAAGTATTGCCAACTCCATATTAATTGGATCTGAAAATTCACATTTTAAAATAGTATTTATATATGTTATTAACACTGTATAAGTATTATTTATGCATTCACATTATTGCCTACCATAATTACAAATGTTAAGATCAGAGATTAGCACTGAATACAAAATTTAGCATATATGTGCCTTACACAGCTGTTTTCATTATAAAATATACTACTGCACTGCATCTTCTCTTTGAATTCCTCTTAAAATTGCTGCGTAAAGTTATGCATGTGTATATATATAATATTTACATACATACATGCATACATACATACAGTTGAACTCCACTATAATGGAATAATTGGGCTCCATAAATTGGATCATGTTAATAGCTGAGTTTTACAATATTCCTTGTGAAAAGCGTTGTGATTTTTTTAAAAAAGAAGGAAGGTTGGTGATTGCATTCAGATTTTAAAAAATCTCTTTTGTGTAGTGAGCTATATGGTATTGAAGTAGATGTAGTGAATTTGTTTTATGATAATATACCGTATATATTTTTTTTACTTTTTTACAACAAGAAAAAAAAATATACAAAATTTTGGAAGCCATCAAAAAACATTATTCTATCCATATTTGCATTACACATGTTCCACTGTATAGATAAAATTCATTGTGGATCAGTTCATACTTGGTTGTTTTTATTTTAGAATTAAGGTTTAAATAATATTAATGTCTTATACTTATATCTTAAAATTGTTTTTTAATAAGATATTGAAATATTATGCGTTAATTTTTATGAAACAGAAATTTTGATAATCTGTATTTTGTTATATAGTGATAAAGCATAATGTTTGTGATTCCCTCTAATCTTATTTTTTATGTATTCTTTTCTTACATCAGCCAATTTAATGATTCACCATTTATTTAAATTATTTACTCATGCATATGAATGTGAATAAACAGTTTGAACTTGATTTTATATTTGTTTTTGTCACTTTTATAGCGACGTGTTATGCTTATCTCTTGTTACTCTCAACATAGTTAATACCTCTTTTGTTATGGTCTGGAAATGATAAAAATAGCAACAGGTGTTCGGATATGAGATAGGTTATAATGAGATTAAGACAGCTCACATAATTGTGGCGAGTATCTTACCTCTGAATAGTCTTCATTTATTGAACTTTTGATAAATTTGTAAATAGCTTTAAAACAATGCAAGAATCATTGACTTTTCGAACACACATGTATATACAATGGAGTTAACTAGAGTCTAATTTGGCATGGGTCCCAAAACTGTCTGTCACCATAGCTATAACATGGATGTGCTTAGGTAGAGATTTAAACTCTTTTTGTTTTTTTATTAAGATATACTTCCATCTTCAAACCATGAGGTTTCAAATAGGAAGGTGTTATATACTAATATGCCAGTAATGAGTGTAAACTCAACGGCTTCCACCAAAAATGCTTGCTTAGAAATCGGTGAGAGATCAATGCTGATCACTGTTCCAGATGGCGAACAGCAGTGTATGAGTGAGTCAAACAGGCAGCAGTTGCATGAAACAAAGCCCTTGCAACATAAAGAGCATTATGGAAAGCCAAAGTTAACAAGAAGTCAAGTTTTTCCTCCGAGAAGTGCAGCACAGACTGCCTTTCCAGTATCAGCCTCATAAGTCATTTGATGATAGTCTCATGAAGATAGAAGGATGCCACATATATATGTTACGGTCAATGTGATTATTCCGGGCAGTTTTCAAAATGCTTGGTCATTATAAATAATAACGGATAAAATCGGGCAATTTAATAATTTTGTATTTGTCTACAACAATCTAGGATAATTTATTACATTGCACGGTCATTATAAATACTGCTATTATTTCTCTAGTCACTTTAATTAATTGACAGCCATTTCTTTAGCGGAGCTAGATCCAAGTCAACATAATTAGGAGGAACTATCTTCTATTGATAGTTATGTTCAACCTTCAATTTTGTTATCTGAATCAAGTTCTGATTTCCATTACAAAGAAACAATAAATAAATGTCTCCGAGCCATCTGATATTCAAGTCTCCGGTCATGAAAAACGCGCGTATGAAGGTTATTAAGATTGCTCAGAGGCTCCCAATGTGAAAAAAAGAACAGCCAGCATATTAAAAATTAGGGAGATTTCAGCAAGCAATCAAAAAAAGCAAGCTGAAAAAATGCTTCAAACCTCTAATTCAAAATACCCGCATGCCGCTAAAAAGGGTGACACAGTTAGAGTTCGAGATGACGACAGAGGTCGCACTGAAGGAAGAAATATTTTTGAATTTGTTCTTAAAATAACAGATGCCAATCTTTATAAATTAGGCACGAAACATGGAATCCTAAATCAACTTTATGCTAGGAACCAATTACAATATGTAATGAAAAGTTTATGCCAAAGAAATTCCTCAGTCAGAGATTTCACTAAGAGAATGTGCAAGAATGTCATCCAAGACTGGGGGCCAAGGCTATAGTTGATGTGGCTGTAAATCTGACAAGTGCAAATGCCGTAAAGAAAAAAAGCTATGTAACTCAAAATATCACCAAAGTGGAAGCTGCTCTAATAAATAGAAACTCTAGGATTTGACATTTTGTGTGTATATTTATTTGTAAGTACATACCTAATATTTTTTTAAAGTTAGGCCTACGTATTTTTTATACTTATTTTATCACCACAAGTTTGTATCTTTATTTGTTTGTTAATTATTTTAAAATTTGTCTGAATATATAATATACTCTTTTTGTATGTAGAGAAATATGAATAAAAATTTTCTCAAACTGCCCACTCGATTTCCAGCATTATTCATAATGCCCGGGCAATGTAAAATTAACTACCACAAATGACATCCGAATGGCACTGAGTCAAAATGGACCCAGACACGCAGCGCTGCCATTCGCACCCGGATACCACTAGACTCAAGCTATTCGGATGTCATTTGTGGTAGTTTATCTAATTAAACTGAAGAATTAAGTTTACAAACATATAGTCCATTCAATTATCTTTCATTGATACCTCATTTTGTCTTTCAAACTCAACAATAAAATTTTAAATAGTTTTTTAATACCAACTTCTCACTTCTGATACCCGGGTACGAATAGTCGCAGCCATTAAAATATATGTAAATACAAATATTTTTTTAAAAATTCCAACATTCCTTTCTATAGATAAAATATATTTCTGTTTGAGTGTCTTTGTAATATGATAATATATCTTTAGTATAGGTTTATATTTTGGTGTGTTTCCATAATCAAATTAAGAGCAAAGCATTCTTTTACTTATTTTTCTGACAATCACAAACTTTTCCATCAATAAAATTAGCATTGTAAATAACTGATAATTTCTTGAAAAACCTTATATGACAATTTTGCTGTTTTGTCTTTCTTGATCTTGAGATAAATTTTCAGTAATATACAGTGAAGAAAGCACCTATTTTAAAAACAAAAAATATTTTGAATATCTTTGTGCGATTTTGACCCTTGTCTCAATTTTGCTCACTACAGTGCCTATAGTAAAATGAATAACAACAAATGCACGTGAGAGTAAAAAATAAATCGAGACAAAATCTTTGCTTTTAACAGGGCATTTAATGACAAAAATGTTATTTCAATGTCTTCACTGGAAACCAAGCACTTAAATTATAGACATCACTAGCCCAAGTTCAAAAGAGCCACTAGTTTTGGAGCAGCACTGACACTATATAAATATTGAAGAAATGAACAGACAAAGTTTCACAACAAAATATCTAATCATAATTATTTTGAATATTACGGCTTAGACACACATTCAGTACAGACAGTCAACAGAAACTAGCTCTATGTGAACAAAATCTAATAGATCATGAAAACACTTTTTAAAACTTAATCATCATTTACAGTTAGAGAACAGAAAAATAGGCTTTTTTTGTGCTATTAAAAAAATACGGTTGCCACTGTATTAGAAATTCATTTTATAGGTAGAACCAGGATATGTAAAGAAAATGAATTAACTGTGTTAGTGTTAATACGGATTTAATCAAGCAACTCCCAGCAGCAACCGAAAACGTGTGAATTGTTTTGACTGCTTTTTATTTACGCAAGCAATATTCAAAATATAAAATAAATGTGTGGTCCCATTGTAGATCTACATATATTTACAATAAGTCAACTCCATTTTTTCTCATCGTATCACCAAATGCTTCCCTGGAGGTTTAAAATTGACAAATTCACTCCCAACAACTGAGTGTTTCCTTAATTAATTCCGATAGCTTTTTAAACTTTTCCTCCTGGTTCACTGAATTTTCAGTCAATAATGAAGCCAGTGAAAAAAGAAATAGATAAATAATACAATTCTGTGGTTGAAAAACAGCATATTATTTTGAAATTGGTATGTTTTGTAAAATTTTTGAATGTGGGTTATCATTGATTCATATATTCTATGAACGCAGATCTCCGAGAGGATCAGTATGGAGCTTTTTTTTCTTTCCTTTATTAAATCTCTAGGAAATGGCACTACACCAGTCTTTTAAATGATTTTGAACAAATTTACCCCAAAATGAGGACATATGAATACTAACGATAGCTCAGATAATCAAATTAAACTAAAATAGAAATCTGCAGTAACGCATTTATAGAGAAACCTTTCGTTTACAATACAATCATAATTGCACAAACCAATGAATGCAGTCCATTTTCTCATGACAAAATTTAGAATAATTCAATATCCGACACAGTTCTGAAACAATTTCTCCAAAGTCTGCATTATAGTGACTTCACAGGAGCATATGCATCCATTTAAATAAATAAAGTATCTCCAACAAGATAGCTGAAGGAAAGAGGAATGGGGTTGGTCACAATGACTGACATGAATATCTCAGAAGCAAAATAATTCAATAGTTATAGGATAAGAAATGTAAGCAATTGTTATGAGGATACACAAAATTACACATGTAACAAAGATGCTGGCCTATTGAAAAATAAAACAGCATTTAATTGATGATTGTTTTTTCTTTGATTTGATGTTTTCCTCAAAACAGAGATGGAAAATAAAACTTAGATGGAAGCTTGAAATGTGTCAAAACCTATGTATAACAATAACACATTAAAAAAAAACTTTAATTCCTTTCATTCTTGTGGTTAAACAAAAATTACCAGTATGAAATGTGTTATGTTAACCTTATGGAACAATGTTTGAAATGACTAATAATATGAGTTCAGTTCCCTTTTAGACATGTGTCAGCTTGTGTATCTTATTAAAACTATTTTTGTTGTTTCAAAATAGAGAAGTATTTAGAATGAGTTCAAAGTAACATGGGGGATAAATGAAATAAGTAACAAATATGCAAAGATAATTCTTTTGTTTTTTAAATAAATTTTAACAAGATTAGAAAACTACAGTGAGGTAAAAGGGGGCACTGGTGCTGTGGAGATATCAGGCTTAATTTCATTGATTTTATTAAATAAATAATGATTGTAATTGTTCTAAATTATAAATTCATTAACAAATGCCTCCTTAATTGATTACCAGATGAAATATCTCCAATACTAAATACCTTGACTGACCTATCTGAATAATAAATCAAGAATATCATTTATTTAGTCATATCAGCCAATAAAAATAAAAATCATAATTAAAATATGTAGGGTTTCAACAATTCAAAGGTTTTCTTTCACAAAAACTAGCCATGGACAAATCATAATTTTTTAAAGAAAAAAAAAAAATAATAATTAAAAGACAATCACATTGGACGTTGTTTTTTTTTTTGTTGGTCTCCCATACCCACTTTTATTTTTCTTGAAATAGCAGGGGTGGGCAATCAAACGACATGCGAATGGAACTCACAAAATAAGTTAAATTTTTTAACGAGTTAATTACTCAATATTTATATTTATGTCTTACTTTAAACAATTGACAGTAAGTATACTGTTTTTTTGTTTTTTTAATTACAATTTTCTACTTATGACTCATTGGATGATGCCGAGTCATGAGCTTCTGTTTTGTAATTCTGCTCTCTTTTATAATCCTTTACCTTATTCAGTTATTGCTCTTCAGCAGACATTTCACATCTGGACATTTACAACTGGGGCAAAGAAATAAACACTCTTTTAATCTTGGATTGAAAAAGATATGATGATAGAATGATAGCTTGCAAGTCTTGATAAAAAAAAGGGAATATAATTTAATTATTTTTAATTCTTTGCCAAGTGAAGCATCAAATCAAAACTGCAGATCCTGAATTATTGATTTAAATTTAGAGGCAGAGATGACTTCTAAAAATAAGCCAATCAGCTATTTGTTCAGCAGAAAGGTGGTCAAATTTTACTTACAATTTAGGTGGAAATATGCATGTTTTTAAATGCCTAGATGTAATATAATAGCATAATTTTTCTTTTATATAAATTAGTTTTTTCTCCACACACTGAGGTGAATTTTAATTCTTATTGGCCACAACCATGAAAATCTGATTGTCAAATTCAAACTTTGAATATCAGGTTAAAGAGTGCTTGTATAATTAAATGTACCGAAACATTGATGTTTTCAGTCTACTTCAGTTAAAAAATATAAAATAATAAATCTAACTTAGCAAAAAAAATTAGTCCCTAGGACTTAAAGCCAACATTTAAACTACTTAATTAATGAAGTATTAAGCACACGCTCTATGGTAGACCTGGAATGCAGATAGACATTATGAAAGTAAGGATAAGACAACAATTTATATGTCAATGAGAAATACAAAGATGAATTGTTTGGATTTGCTTAACTGTATGCTTTGAAAGTGACCTCTTAATTAATTTTTCTAAACTTGACACTCTTCACATTTGAAAACTTAGTATTGAAGAACCAAGAATATCCAATAGAAAAATAAAAAAATACAGTTTTGGTACCCTCTTTCTTTTACACTGGCTGAGAGAATGAATATCTAAGCGTACATTTTTCAATGGATGACATTTATTTGGAAATATTTTAATTTGCTTAGTAGATGCAATATATTAGATGCAATAAAGTTTCCCTGACTGATAAATCTTTTACATTTTAACTTAAAATATGTTTATTTTGTTTTGAACTACATATGGTACCTTTCAATATTGCTAAATTAAGGATCCACCAATCTTCAATGGGCCAAAATGCAATTTAAGATATTTAAAATCCTCAAATCTTTAAAGGAATGGCAAAAGCCGAGGTTTATAATCAGAGCTGTGACTTTTATATTTTAAAAAGGAAAAGTCACACCTCTGCAATTTTTTCTTCTGCACATGAGCATTGTTTTCTAAAAAAAAAAAAGAAAAGGAAATCTTAGTAACAATGAACTGCTTAAGAAACACATTTTGAAGAGGGAAAAAAAAAAGCTTTTCAAAAAAAAAAGTTCATAACAGGGATCAAACTCTTACCTCCGCCTGATGACTTGCTGACTGAGCTAAACAGCTATTTAGTCAGTGGGGAAAATTTGGCTCAGTAAAACTATTTCAATTTTAATAGTATTCACACTATTTCTGATGCAGAGAAATATGTAGGTAGTATTTTTTAGCTACAATTCATACCAGATGAAAAAACTTCTACCCACCTAAAAGTAACGATGAGACTAAACTGTTGAGCTAATTTAAAGCTCTCAAATATTAGCGGAACCAAGACACATTTTTATCATGGATGTCTAAAATGAAGACATGTATTAAAAAATTTATAAACCAACACAGCTTAAGTCAAGAGTAATAGAAGATTTAAAATGATGAAACAATTATCATTTTAAATATAAAAAAGGGGGTAAAAAAACTGTATTTCATTTATAAAGGGAAAAAAATGAATATGTGCATTGTTTATAATACCAGCTTACTTGAGCATTCATTCAAATGATTTCAAAAAGTACATGATAATCACAAACAAATTAATAACGTATCTACAAAGTGATATCTTCTTCAAGAAAACATAACTAAAGGTCATAGATGATAAAAGAATAATAAGACTTTAAATAATCCCAGGTATTTAACAAAAGAAACAATCAAATAAATCCTAGTATTAGGTACATTGTTCACCACATTTTATTTCCCCTTGTCAATAATAGGTTTCTAAAATAATTATTATTTGGAACATACATTATAGAAAAATATACATTTGTATCTAATTAGTTTATTTGAAAATTGTGTGATGCTTTTGTTCCACAATGCTCTTGAAATTGGCTAAAGTATTTTTATTTTGGTTTCCAAAGTTAAATTTTTTAAAAATTATTTTCAACATTACTTTGACTGACATCAGTTAAAGATGTATTTTGACTTAAATGCAGTTTACTGATAATCACAATTAAATAAAAATAAAATAAAAACTAATAAAAACTTCCTTAGAATGTTAATGTTTAAAGTGAAGTTTTAGTGGGGTATAAAGAGTAAAAACCATGTTAAAAAATAATTTCTCATTCAAAATATTGAAATAAACACCCAAAGATATTTATCTCTTATTATCAAAAGAAAAAAAAATTAACTTGACCAAACTTTTTTCTTTTTAAATTGAGAATATTGGAAATGTTCTTTTTTTTTAAATTATAAAATTGTACCAAGGCCCACTCCACATGTATATCATAGACCTTACAGCCCGGTGACCTTTGCACAACATATCTCTTTAATGATCATCTCAGTAGCGATTCTCACTGCCGTAGCCAGACACTGCACCCCTGGCAGCTCCGGCAGCAGCATCCGCCGCCGCACCTCGAACAGCCTCATTCTTCATCACGCCAGAAGCAAACTCGGCCTGAGCTTTCTGGAAACTAGCACCGGTGCTTCTGTAAATGCGATGCACCTAGCAATGAAAGAAATCTTCATCAGAAATACTTTCACACTGATAAGAGTGCAATCTTAAAAAAACCTTTAGCTGGTAAAAAATCTGCAGTAATTTCATACTTATCAATTATGTATAACTTTCAGACATTTTTCAAAGCATAAATGTAACAAACAAATAGCTAGTCACTAGCAAATTTGGCAAGAATGATGATTTGATTATTTTAAAACATTCTTTAATGTGATTTTTTTTTTAATTGTCTGTATCTCTTATCATTTTAAAATTGAATCAATTCAAACTGTCTTAACAATAAAAATAACATTAAAAAATTCACCTATATTATAAAAGGTATAGTCATCGCAAAATATTGCTGGTTGCAGATAGATGTACATAAAATATATAAATTACTCCCCTATAGCTTTCATTCTTGTGATATGACAGTTAGTATACTTATTCTCTAAAAAAGCCTATGTCACAACTACTAAATATTACCAGTTAAGCCTGGTAAAAAATAACATGCATGAAATGTTGCTAATCTTCAGCTAAAAGGCAACAGTAAGCAATAATGACTTGACCATTACTAAAAGTTGTAATATTTAAAAAATTATTTTAAATAAATATATGTAAAGATCATGGTTTATTTATTTAAATTTATTACAATTTCTTGTAAAGAAAAGAAGCTTTGATAACTTAACTCCAATAAGTTCAATAATATGATCTATACTCAAAATTCTAACATATTTTTAATGCAGTTATTTAATTAACCAGGATGTGAATGTGTGCCTTTGTATTTTGAGAAGCCCATGAAGATGACCAACATGTTAAAAGCATATACGGGTACAGAGGTGGGATTGCATAATAGTAAACTTGTGCATCTACAATGAACATTCCAATCAAACTTTTACAAGTCTAGGAGGGATATTTCTCCTACCTTAATGAGATAAAACATGGATGCAACAGCCTCCACTGTAAAAAAAAATGCTATAACCAGCATAAAACCTCCAGCTGCGGCTTTTCCATCTTTAGTCACAATCGTCAGCCCATTGATCCAGCCTCTGTTCATACAAATCAACAGAGGTCTTAAACTTAGATCAGACCGGTAGTTACAACCCACAAGCATTAAATCAGTAGTTTCCAAACTGGAGTCACAAATCCGTAGGAGGGAAATTACACAAAAATAGGTGGGGTGGTGGAGTGGAATTTTTTATTTGGGTTGAGGCAATATTATTTTTTTAAATAGTGTGTGGAGTTAATCAAAGTTTGGAAACCACTGCTATAATTACTCAAATGTGTGCCTAAAGATATATGTCTCTAAAGATGAAATATATTTTAAACAGATTCATGACTTTTATTACCAGATAATAAATATGAAAATAAGATTTTAAGATTTCAAACTTTCCAATCATTCTAAAAATTTATATTGTGCATTTATTTTGCTCAACACAAATCTAGTAAAACAAATACTTCAGTATATGTCACGGCAAGAATTGTCATCTTTTTTAGATAAATAATGGATTTTACTAACCCTTAATTAAGCCCCACCCCCCCCCCCCCACACACACATTGGGAAAAAATGAATAGTGAGTCATATTCAAAGTTCAATAGCAAATACAATGTATTTTTATTTCATCTTTTCTCCCCTTTAAATCAATTATCTTAATATAATAGACACACACTTGGTAATAAATAAATAGCAATATGACCATACAAGCAGTAGTGAAAGGGGGGAGGAGGGGGGTGTTCCCGCCCATTTGGGCCCTTCTTTATATATAAAGAGACAGCATTTTTGACCAACTGCAGTTTTTTTGTGAAAAGAGGCAGCAAAAATCTTGGCCTATCCAGACGCCACTAAACCTAGCTATCCCACTACATACAAAAAAAACACATTTTAAATACCTCAATCAGCGAACAACACGAAATAAGCCTTTTCCTTTGATTTTAAGTATTTAAGTATGATAAGGAAATCAAACGCTGAATGAATGGCAATTTATTTATTTACCTGGATAATATAAATATTGGTTAGTAGTCTCATTTTTCTTAAGCGAACAGATTTAATGGCAATTAGATTGGCTTGGTTATGGCAGTCTACATAAGATTATCTTGAAGGAAGAATTAAACTTTGATGGACAGTTCAGTGCTAAATCGTGATTTTTAATTATTTTTTTTTGCCAATACAATTATTTCTAAATGGAAAACTTGTTTATTATTTAAATTAATATTTTTCCATTTTCTTAAATGGTGAGCTAAAAATAAAAAAAATTCTTTATTTATTATTCTTACAAAAAAGAAATTAAAGAAGAATGAACCATTTTGATTGAAAAGGACAAAGGAAACGGTTGCAATTTATTTTTGTAAAACTGTATAAATTGCGAGGTTTTAACTATATAGAATGCGAGGATTTAAAAAAAATTATTCTTTAATCTTGTACAATTGAGGAATGTTGAAACAAGCTGAAAACTCTTGATTACCATGTTAGTGTGAGAGACAATGGTTAGTTACAACACCAAAACCAAAATTGAGAGGATTCCCACAGAGATAAAAAAAACAACAACATATAGCTACTACTAATCTAGTTATACATGCAAAGATGCTGTCCAACGTTTGAATCATTTCTGTATACCTTGATGAGAATGGCAAAAGAGACCACTGCCAGAATGCCAAAAAATATGCCAACAAATACCATAATAAGTCCAACGGCAATATTTGATCCTACTACTTGCAAACCTGAGATGATTCCACTGGAGAAGGCATGCCATAGATAAGGGAGTGATTTTTGAGTGTATAATACAGAACAAAGATGTTAACAAAACAACATATTAAAACAAATTTCACCTTAATTATTCAATCACACAATTAACAAAAAATAATATTGTTAAAACTCTCAAATTAAAAAAAATAATATTGTTAAAAACTTCCAACTGTAAATTTTAATGCCACAAATGAACAAAGACACTACATTTTAAACAGGTGTTTATATAATCTTAGATCCCATACAGAAACACTATTTAACTTTTAAACTAAAATATGTAAATATTTACCAATTTAAAAAGTATTGTTTGTATAAAGAAAAGTGAAATACTTACACTGTAAAATCAGTTATTCCCAAACACTGCACCACATACACGCAGAATTGAAAGAAAAATATGAAGAAAAATACAAAAAAGTTGAATGAACTGTCACTCCTGCAGAAAAAAGAAACCAAAAAATAGTATCAACATATTAAAGAAAATGAGGGATTAAATAACTGAGGTATGAGTATTTTTTTTTTTATTAGACAATCATATTATAGTTCTTAAATTATTAAGGGCATTATAGAAACTGTTTTGATGACATATGAATGGTTGCTAAAAGTATAGATTTAAATTGCCTTTATAAGTCCTAATTTAAAATAGTTAAGTTAGTCAAAATATTTCACCTTAAGTTTTTTTAATGAAATGTTGCTTACAATTATTCTGTAAAATGCATTCCATTTTTTAAAATAAATAACTAAATAAATCCTAAAACTTAATATTTAAAAAAAGATTTTTTTAAGAGAAAATTTTATTTCAACCCCATCTAAATTATTTACTCTTTCTCCTTGAAATTTTAATCATAAAACGTGACATCACTTCTTTAGATTTTCTTGAATTACCCTAATGGTTCTTGAATTTAGCTTGTGTTTACTTGTAGAAATAAATTCATCCCTTGGAGCTTAGACTTAAATTTCTAATTGTACCCATGTAGAAAAAGACATTAGATTTACACCAGTGAAATAGCAATTTAAAATTTTTTGATGGGGCCATTAAAGATTAGGAAGCATCATTATCAATCCAACAATTGTGAAGTCTAATAAACATTTATTTTAAAAATTATTTTTTACCTAAAAGCCTTGTACAGTGGCCTGTACCAACAGATAAATGAGCATGGGGTAAACAACACAAGCCATAGAATAGATAGACCAAATGTAGCTGCCCCATCCTTATCAGCTATTAAATATGCCAAGCTCCCGAAGAGGTTCAGGATGAGAACTATCACATGAACTGAAAATTGAAGATTGAAAGAACATTAATCTCTGGCAAAAACACATTTTGGCGCCTAAAATGTTAAGACTTGTTTCTGGATAACTTTGAACTGCTGCGTGAAGGGTAAAAGAGCAAAGCCATCAGTAGCCCGTGCTTGTTTAAGATAGCAGTTTAAGAAATCAAATAAAATTCACTAAGTTCTGAACCTTTATTATGTACCTTCAGGTAGATCATTCTAGGCTTCTTTTATCATGATGTCAAAGAAGATAGTAAAACATTCAGTGAGTAAGAAAACACCCTCAACTTGAAACCATTTTCATAGGGAAAGGGTCTGACAGCTCACTATCCTAAATGTTGGCATGGCACAAGCCTAATTCTCTATAATACACATCACCGAGCATTTTCTTTGAAGTTATTATTTTTTTAATAGAAGAAAACTAGTAACACCTTTTAAATGTTGAACAAATCAAATTATGAAAAAGTCTGTTTCTAAAAATAAATTTTGAATACTTACAACCCCAAAGATAATATGCAAACTTGACAATCCTTTGGAATTCTAAAGGTATATCCACATTAAAATCTTGATAAAAGCAAGGACCGACTGGAAAAAACTTGGGCAGTGGTGGCCAGTTGTTTTCTCTTTCTATCAAAAGAAATTATATATTTAAATATAATTTTAAACCTTAATAGTACATTATAAAATGTATTATGTGTGGATTTAGACAGATTTATTAACAACAATATTAATATCAACAACACCCTCTTGCATGCCATATTTTATCATAACAATATTTTATGAAAGTAAAAAATATTCCCCCAAAAAATAAGATAATGTAAACTGTAACAGCCCTAACACATTTGCCCATGTTTACTTTTTACCATCACATATATATTGTTGAGACGAAGCAATCTTACTTTTACTTATTAAATTATTTTATTTTAGTTATTGTATAGCCCCCCAAACAATAGCGGTAGCAATGCCTTAATTTCCCATCTATTAAAGTTACTTGGAAAAACATGCATTTAATTAAAGCACTTTATGAGCAATGTTCCCTCTAAGGTTTGCTGGTTCGTGTGAAAAATCATACTGTTGTGTGCAAATTTTTACCGCATCAATTTTTGTGTGTGCAAAATTTTACAGCCCACAAACACAAACATACACTTACATGGAAATTTGATGCGCGGATACTCAAAACTGCTGCACGGCGTCTGTGAGTGAGCTGCCGCGCAGCTTAAAGGGAACATTGTATTTGAGAATCCCAATTAATATCTATTTTTTCCCACGCCCCTAAACTATATTAAAATTCTTATGTCCCATCCCCTTTTATACCTCAGATTTATTAGATCATAATTAAATTGAGACTATTTCGTAAAACAGAAAATATTACACAAAAGACAAACTTGCTATATTTTTAAGAATGTTATTTAGCAAAGTTATAGGGAATTTTATTTTGCACTTTACTGAACTCACTATCACACCATACATATGAACATCATAACTAGAGAATTATTAGTTGTAATACAGTATCATATTGCAAACTATTCAGGATTTGAATAAGGTAACTGCAAATCATATTCAAATGTCAAAGATAAATTGCTTGACTTAATAATTACTAATAAAAAGTACGAAACCACGATTCACTCACTTCCAGAAAAATTAGCATTTTTTAATTCTTGTTCTTTTCTCTGTAACTCGGCTGCTTTCCTCTCCAGTTCCTTTTTAAATAAAAACAAAAATAATTTTAAGGTTAATGAAAAAAGATTAAATGTATTAAATAAGATTCTTTTATGTTTCAGAGATTTTTTATTATATATTATTAAAAAATACATGTTACATTATGTGCGTGACTCATGTTTTAATAAGAACTCTGCAAATATTGGGGAACCCATTAATTGAAAGTTTTATGCATAAGTTTAAAATTTTAAAAAATTATTTTTAAGTTTAAAAAGTTCGGCAGAATTCGATTCAAATTATATCATAGTCAACGTTAAAAAAAGCAATAATCAATGTCGAGGAAACATTACAATATAAATATAATGAACAAGAGCAATAAAACGAAAGTTTATACAATCTTTTAATATAAAATAAGATACATAGTTTTATTCAATTTCAGATTAAAAAACAATGGAGGGCAAGGCGTTCACCACAAAAAGACCATAATTAGAAGGGTGGGGAGAAAAATGTTTATTCGAGATAATGAACAAACAAGCGACCCCTGGTCTCATCCCATTCAATGGAGGTAAACACAGGGTCACATCAGATGTATGCAGCATGGCTCTTTTTTTCTGCATTAATACACCAGCAAGATTGAAGAATGAAAACAAATTAATTGAGATTTTTTGTACCATAATCACCTTATGGAATCAATCAAACACTCTCTTACTAGTGATCCTACATTTCTCTCTGTTTCTATTCTCATTTTTTTGTAGTTTAAAATGTTAACTTCACATTATTAATACTTCAATTCCCTTAACAGTATGAAAAACAGAATTATATGAAAATCATTTTTTGGTCTTAAACTTCTGTTTTTATAATGTGCTTTATTTTATCAACTTTTACTTCTAATAATTACTTAGAAAGCTTTCTGTTCTACAATGAGAACTTTGAGTTACATAGACATTAATGAGATCTTCAAAAGCATCATAAGTTTAAATTGGATTTAACTTTATATGTTGTTTTTTATTGTCTGCTGAAGAATACATCTCTGAAACATCCATTTAATTGATATATATTTTTTTCAAGTCTAAACATATCTCGTTACACTATTTGTCTACTTCGTATGGCTTGAATACAATCCTTCATATATATAATTGATTATTCTTTGGAAAATTACATCATTTAATAATGTAAATTTTTAAAACTCATATTGTCTGAGACCCTCTAAGGCAGTGTTTCCCAACCTTTTTTGTACCATATCCCACCTAAGCCTTTCTAAAATTCTTATGCCCCCTATGTATCATATACACAATTTGTAATATTCAAAAATAGGGTTGTTCACTGAAGAAACTTAAATGATAGGTTTAGGAAGAAATCACTAGGAAATTGGTGAGGAAAAACGGTAAGTAAATTTTCAAATCATAGAACTGAAATTCATGTATTTTAATGAAAGATTTGTCTGTATTTTCTTGCACATTTGGTTGAATTTGGATATTTGATTTCCTTTTCCTCACAAAGCCATGCCATCGCTCCTTTTATATTAAATAAAATTTTAACTGACTCATCATTTTGCATTTCTGAGAGTTTTTCTTGGCGATGCATATTTGAAGTATCAGACAAATAATCCCCTAACATCGGCTGCATCATCCAAGTTGGAAAATAAATTTGTTTCAAATCAGAAATCTCTCTTTTAAATCAGCCAATAGAATTTTGAGATGATTGACAATGACAAGCATAGCGGTATCAGTCACTTCACATTTTTGGAGCAAATGAAACTTTTCAAAAATTTTGTCAATATTTTTCTGACTTAATTCAATAAATGTAATGAAATCAAATATCTTTGCTTTTGCATCGACAAGAGTTTTATTTTTTCCTTGACGTTGGCTATTTTATATATTTAGTTTTTCAAAGATATTAGTTAAATAACTCACTAATGCTTTACTATCGACTGTTAACAGATACTTCAGTTCAGGTCACTTTAAAAATAGCTAAGAGTATAAAATATTTCCATAAATCTTTTCAAGAAATTTCCAGAGCCGTTCTAAAGAGTTTGGGGGCCCTAAGCATTAAGCGTAGGTTGGGGGCCCCGGAAAGAGGGGGGGGGGGGGCTTCCCTTCAATGTGAAGTAAAAGTCTCACATAGTCTCCACTTTGTTCTTCACAAAATAGCTTGAAGAGATGTTCACATTTGGCATTAGCTTTTAAGAGTATAAAATATTTCCATAAATCTTTTCAAGAAATTTCCAGAGCCGTTCTAAAGAGTTTGGGGGCCCTAAGCATTAAGCGTAGGTTGGGGGCCCCGGAAAGAGGGGGGGGGGGGCTTCCCTTCAATGTGAAGTAAAAGTCTCACATAGTCTGCACTTTGTTCTTCACAAAATAGCTTGAAGAGATGTTCACATTTGGCATTAGCTTTAATAGCGTTGATACACTTTATAACTGAATTTAGTACTTCATTTAGAGCAGGCGAAATTTTTTTAGCTACTAAGTTTTCCCTATGAATAACACATTGCACAAGTAGCATTTCTGGATTCTCATCTTTCATCAATTTTAAGCAGCCATTTTACTGCCAACTGAGGTTATTGACTACATTTAAAATCAACATATTTTTTACAACACTTTTAATAAACACTTTAAATTGAGAATTTAACCATTCTTCTTTCAAAATACAAGTTAAATCACTGTAGAAGGTTGGTTTTCAAATTCTAGACATCTCATTTTCAAATTGCCCTCCCTAAACAATCATATTTTCCTTATGTTGGGGAAACACCACTCTACGGTAACCAGGTAACCCACTCCATCCACCACTGACGACATACATCATTTTACTTTATAGGCATTTACTGACAACAATTTTCTTTGCTTGGCTTTATTAAATTACCTCAATAAAAATGGATGTAAAATAGCAGTCAATACTTTCTTCTATTTTTGTAGCAGATACCTTTTTCTAAATGTTCAAACACTATTACTTCTGAAGGCTTATTAAGAGTTAACTCAATTTTGAAGAAAATCACAGGAATATGTTGAACTGGAAGCAACTATTGGAGGTGCTTTTTTACCTTTTAAAAAAATCGCTTAATTATCCAGCATATTGAAATCAATAAAAGAAAAATAGGTCTATTTAAATTTAAATGACATTTCTAAAAAACTTTTTAATGAAGTGGGGAAAAAAAGGTGTCAAGCGTTTTTTGCTATCTCTTTAAAGGTTTAATTATTTATTTTACTTAGTGCAAGTCAGTATTTATGAATATGATTTTGCTCAGAATCACCTATGAACGAATTTGTGGGATCCTAAATATGGCACATGGCTGTAATTATGTAAAGAGCTCTCATACTCCTCATGGAGACAATAGATATATATTTTTTTGTATAAATATTATTATATTGGTTAGGCTAATCCTGATTACTAAAAAGTTGATCTGGAGCTGATTCACCAGCACACTGCCCTAATCTTATTGTAGCAACATAGGATAACATTGTAATTATAAGCAAAATATAATTAATTTTTTGTGAATACAATAATTGTACCGTACCCGGGGATATTATGTGAAGAGATACATTAGATTAAGCCCCTACAAACACTAATTAAATAGTTCAATTTTGTTTAATCTCAGCACATATTTTTTAACAATATCTCAAGTTAGCTTTTTATTAAAAGCAAGGTAGGGAAAAATCATTTTGCTAGGGATTTGGAAAAGGTGAAAAGCTTATAAAACATAATCATCTTCCAGATTTGCATTATCTTTTTCTTCAACAAAAAATATATTTTTCTGAAGTCTTTTTCACCTCATTATCCAGGGGAACAAAATAATAAATATTTATATCAGCAACACTAAATCACAAGAAATCATTAAACAATCCCTTTTTTGCATGATAAATAATATTTTAACAGGTTACATTCAATTGACTGGTACGGAGGCATGGTCTTAGGTTGTAGTTGAAAATGGGATAACTAAATAACTGACCTCCTCCCTTTCCTGAAGAGTTGCAAACTGCTCAAGCAAGGGCGCATTCTATCACAGAAGGTAAAATGACTAATATGTTCATAGCAACAATTGCTGCTCACAACCTTTGGTCTATTATCATGTCTTAAGTAAATTTTGCCTGATCTAAAATATTTATTCACTTAATCGCAAAATGAAGTAGTGGCAACAATTTAAAAAAAAAAGTGTACAACAAATTCTAACACTCACAGTATCAAAACTTTCTTAAGACCGATTTCTAGAAAATGCCATGTCTGCATTTTGGAAAGACAAAAGGTTGTTACAGCTTACTTCTAAAAGGTGAGGTGTAGCAAAGGACATCTAATAAAATGAATGTCAAAACTGACCTCTCCAATGTCTTCATGAACACCTGGACTTCCAGCAACAAGAGACTCTAACTAATGGGAAGGTTTGGTTTGTTTTACCTTTAGTTATTTTAAATCTAAGAAATCATTGCCTTTACCCACAAGATTCAATTATTAAAGTTCTAATCAAGCCAATGGGGTTTATACATGTTTGAAAAATGATGATGAAAAATTATCTAAAAATAATTATCTCTCAATGTATGTAGTCTAAGAGAAAAAATAAATTAAAATAAAAAAATATAGGTTTTAATTCTTTTAATACCATAGAGTGGACCCTGGCTAGCTCTGGATCCCACCACATTATCAATATTTTGAGGTACATTTATTAGATATTTGTATTAATATGATTACCAGTCCAGTATAATCAAATGACAGTTAACACTTTAAAATGAAATCTCTATGTTTTTTTTTTTTACAGTCAAAGCACAAGATTTTTTTTTTTAACTAGGGAATTTTTAACAACCTTAATTTGCATTTGTTTTACATTTAAAATTTTAAACGCCACTTTAATAATCAGCCAGACTATTAAGTAAATAACTACAACTACATACTGTCGGTGTGTCCTTCCCTCAAAACAAAAAAACAATAATTAGTCCATGAGTCTCATGTCTAACTAATACTTGGACCCTAGCTCCTTGCTTCATCATAAGGGTTAGTCATAAAGTTTTAAATCTACACAGAGTATGTCCAAAGCACATGATACTTAGTCATGAGTTGCGGAGGCTTTTTTTATTTAGCAAAAAAGCTAGAAACAGGCCGATGTATAATAAACCTTCACCAGACCCTGAATCCCACAGATGGTGTTAAATAGACTTTTATGATTAACAATATTTTAAAGTAGCTTCTGACTATACAGAGAATTTTACATTCATATTGACTAAACATACCTCCTGTCTCTTCTGCAGTTCACTAGTATCAACTTTCTGCGCGCCAGACTGTGAATATGGTGGAGGGTCATCAGAAGGTGTCATAATAGCTGGTTGTGTTTGGGCAGATCGTGGGGGAGGGACACCAGCACCCTGTAAAGAAAGTAATGAACAAAATATTTTTAGAAAAAGTATTTAATTAAATCTATTACTTACATCTATTTAAGTATTACTTCAAAAGTTTTCACAAGGAGTTTGAGTACCGGTACCAAAGTAGGAATTTTGAAAACAATTAATTTAATTTTAAAATTTGTAGCTGAATTTGTTTCTGAACCTAAGTTATGCTTCCCCTACCTGGTTGGCTGGGCGAGTCTGATTCCCATCAGCAAAAGGATTAAAATCATCTAGTGCTGCCTGTCGGTGTCCACCACCTGCTGCTTGCTGCACTGAAGGATCCTGAGACAATGAAAAGAAATGGGTTTAATTTTTAAAATTATATTATTTATTTAAAATATTTAATTATACATTTTAACTTTGCAAATTTTAGAGAATGCTGCTAAATATGTATAAACATATATTTACAACCTATTAGCAGTTTTAGAAATCTGATTTTTACCTATTTGTCAGTTTTATTGGCTTACACATAAATATATTAGGTAGTTTTATAACAGATGGGTATTGTTTAGACAACAGCAGAGTCTGCAACTTAAATAGTTTATAGTTTGAAATTGGGCGTGTTAATATAATTTTTATTGGCAAACCAGTTATATGTTTTATGTATCCGGTTATGGAATTTCACAATGCATTTTCAACACAGCTAGATCAGACTGGCATAATACATGCCTGCAGTCATCTATTTTAAAAATGACCTCAGTACCCTGTGTTTATTTTTACACCAGCCTGACCTTGAGCAGCATGTTGAATTTTTACACAGAGAAACACAAAGCGAGTAACTATTTCATAAATTATGTATGTTTATTATTTTAAAGCCTTTTAAAAAACTAAATCATAATTTTTTTATGTCCAGTTGTTTACAAAAATTATCTGTTTCAAAATTGATAACCTGAAATCTGAGTATCATTAAAAATCTTTCAATAAAATTTAGTTAAATAAATGTTTGTATACCATATGCTTAGGTTGCATATTTTTTAAAAGGTTAATTATTTTAAAATATTGTCACTAAAGTCATATATAATTTCTAAGTCGTAACTGAAAAATAAACAATTATATAAGAAAATTAATAAAAAATAATTCATTCAGCAACAACAAAAATAATTTAATAAAACTATAATTCCTTTTTCATAAACAAATTTAAGTTATTAAAAAAATAAACAAAACAATTGCAAGTCTGAAATTAAACATTGAGGAAAAATGATTTCCTAAAATAAAATATTATACTTGAGGCATGATGTGATCTTAAAAGTGGAGATACAAAATAAATTTCTCGAGTCTCTAATGAAAAAATAGAATAGCCATCTCAACGGGCAACAGAAGCATTCCTCACATCTGCATTATAAAAATAAAAATTTTAGTGACTTTAAACGTATGTTAGTGAATAAATATTAACTGAGACACATCTGGACAAGAGCAAATTTCACTTTGTAAAATGAATGACTCAAAAAAAATATAAAAAATTCATTATTTTATTTTCACTTTTAAACTTTCGGCCGTGGTGCAAACAGTAACCCACTAAGCAACTGCTGTTTGCAGTTCCAGATGGTGCTTAGTGACCTACCTACACCTTATTTTTATTTTTATCCAACCCTTATTTTATTTGTGTATTCGAATTGTACATGTTAGAATTCGACACAGGGAGCCTGGTGAAAACGTAGTGTGGCATAGGCGCAGGGAAATGAAAATTTTAGAACCACAGAATTATAGGTAACACTTGGCCTTACCATTAGGTGCACTAAACATTACTGCAATTTCTGTACTACTGAGTTTAGGTATAGCTAGCGAGTTCACTTGTGAAAATACATCTTGACAACAGCCCGACGGTAATGCCTTCTAAAAATTGTCTGGTATTTTACAGCATTAGATATAAATGTGCTATTTTAGGTCTTTCAGAGTTTCAGGGGATGAATATTGTAGTATTTTTAAATACCACATGTAAATTCTGCCGAGGAATATCCTCCCCCCCCCTACAAACCCCTCAAACTGACATTACGAAAATGTAGGTGGCGGAGTTGATTATATAGATTTAAATATTTAGACCCGCGCCATTCACACTATCTCCTAAATCCACACCACTCATTTTTCCTCTGATTGCTACTGAAAAGTCCGACTTGCAGAATATGCAGTGCGCATATGATGGACCCTTCTATGAAGACCTCAACACAGTAAATTGTGTCTTATATTCAAGCAAGAATATAAAACTTATATATATCGTAAAATACTCACTAAGTAAACTAAACTAGGGGACTGAAAATAAAAAGGATAGCTGATTCCATTAATGGTAACATTAAAATCAGGCAATGTGCACATCCATCAATGTAGTCAAATTCGAACCCAAAGCTGTTTGGGTAATGGGACATCCATGTATAACATACACGGTACGCAAAACAAACATTAAAAAGTTTTTAAAAATATTTATACCCCCCCCCAGCCGAACCCCTGTCAACGTAAAACAAAGGGCCATCTAACTATTACGTAAAACAAAGGGCCATCTAACTATTACGTAAAACAAAGGGCCATCTAACTATTATGTAAAACAAAGGGCCATCTAACTATTACGTAAAACAAAGGGCCATCTAACTATTACGTAAAACAAAGGGCCATCTAACTATTATGTAAAACAAAGGGCCATCTAACTATTATGTAAAACAAAGGGCCATCTAACTATTACGTAAAACAAAGGGCCATCTAACTATTATGTAAAACAAAGGGCCATCTAACTATTATGTAAAACAAAGGGCCATCTAACTATTATGTAAAACAAAGGGCCATCTAACTATTACGTAAAACAAAGGGCCATCTAACTATTCCGTAAAACAAAGGGCCATCTAACATCTAACTATTATGTAAAACAAAGGGCCATCTAACTATTATGTAAAACAAAGGGCCATCTAACTATTATGTAAAACAAAGGGCCATCTAACTATTACGTAAAACAAAGGGCCATCTATTATGTATTATGTACGCGCTGAGGATGTGTATGAGGGGGGGGGGGGCAATAGACTGCACCTACATTTATGCATACAATAATTATCCTGACTGTCTCTTATAAAGTCAACTGTCATCTGAAAATCCGTGAATTCTAATTTGGCCTTTTATTATTATTATTAAGGCTATAAAAAATATTACAATATTTCGCAGTAAGCATATAGGCCTACTCATATAAGCTACTTATGCTTTGTGTTTTTCATAAAGAGATGCCTGTAGTTGTAACATTGAACATGTCATAGTGATAACACACTGCAGTCCAGTAATTCGTCTTTCCGTGCTGGTGAGTGCTGGTGTTTAAAGTTAATTCAACCGGGCAGAACCACCCCCCCCCCTCTCATTACTGGGGAAAAATTGAGCTGTCTGATTTTTTTTCCGTAAAACAAAAGGGGTGGGATATGGGGGGGGGGCAGTATTAGTAGTGATACCAAACTGTCGTATTACGATCGCTGAGGGTAAAGAGATGCTTTGCGAGTTCTACACATATTTTTTTAAATGCCGCTGACTAGCTCTTATAAAATATGTCCACATCCAACGTTCCAGTGCAGAACAGTGGGATCATGTATTTTAGTGTAAAAACCGTATCGTCTCTAGTTTTCTCCGTTTTCACAATCGCCGCAGTTCAAGGGAACAAAACTACGTCACACGCTTGGAAGGGGATGGCAGTGGATAGTATAAATATTACCTTTTGAGGGGGGGGGGGGGTTTCAATAGAATGCACCTACATTTATGCATACAATAATTATCATGACATTCTCTTATAGAGCCAACTCTCATCAGAAAATCTGTGAAATCTGTGAATTCTAATTAGGTCTTTTATTATTATTATTATTATTAAGGCTAAAAAAAATATTACAATATTTCACAGTAAGCATATAGGCCTACTCATATAAGCTACTAATGCTTTGTGTTTTCATAAAGAGATCCCTGTAGTTGTAAAATTGAACACGACATAGTGATAACACACTGTAGTCCAATAATTCGTCTTTCCGTGCTGGTGACGTAATTATTTCCACCGGGCAGAATCACCCCCCCCCCCACCCCCGTCATTACTGGGGAAAAAAATTGAGCCGTCGTCTGATTTTTTCCTTTAAAAAAAGGGGTGGGGTGGGGGGGGTTAGTATTAGTAGTGATATCAAACTGTCGTATTGCGATCGCTGAGGGTAAAGAGCTGCTTTGCGAGTTCTAAAAATATTCTTTAAATGCCGCTGACTAGCTCTTATAAAATATTAAAATATGTCCACATCCAATGTTACAGTGCAGAACAGTGGGATAATGTACATTATTTTAAAAACCATATCATCTGTAGTTTTCTCCGTTTTCACAATCGTCGCGGTTCAAGGGAACAAAACTACGTCACACGCTTGGTAGCAGTCAAAGGGGATGGCAGTGAATAGAATAAATATTACCGGTGACGCAGCTAACTAGTTCAGTGTGACACACAAAGCAACAGTATGGCAATAATCACCATCAATACGATACTTTGCGGTGATATTTTTATAACTTTGACACTCCAACCAAATCCCCACCCATGTGCCGCAAATCTCCTTAATTAACAGCCCCCACCTCCCCTCTCAGTGCGCACATAATATAATGAAGGATGGTCCCAACTTTAAAAAAAATTACAACCAATCGTTTTTCTCGTTTCATTCACCAGTACATTTTTATTGGAAAAGGCTAAAACTTCAGCAAACGAATTTTAATCGGAAAATATTTTTTTTTCAACGGCTCTCTGAAAATCGTACTTTTGGCAGGTCTCTGCGTACAATCGTAAAAGACATCTCAAAATCGTACATTGTACGCCAAAATCGTAAGGGTAAACAGGTCTGAATTTTACTTAGTTATCTTTTACTCAAGAATTATTAAAAAATATATTTAATATACAAATCTGTGAGTTATGAGGCCCATTTTTTAAAAATATATTATATGCAAATCATAATTTTTATTCAAACAAAATTATACTGCATTTTTTTTAGAAAAAAAAAGACAAAATATAGATTTTGCTAAAATATTGACAACTTTTGTATTTTTCATAGAATGTTTGTCATGTTTGACTATGGATTGCATTAGATTATGAAGTATTTTATTTAAATAAATTTTAAATCTTTTATAACAAGGAGTTTTTTTCCTTCATACTGTATAAACATTTTGTCAAAATTTTGTTTACAAAAAAATTCTCCAATATTATCTTTAATATTTTTATAACTCATAAAATAAAATATACAAAAAATATCTATTAATAGCTGAATCAAAGATGAACAAGTTAATATATATAACTGGTCAGATCAGAGCTATTTCAGATGAGGTAATTGAATAATTTTTTTAATTACCTTAATATATTTAACAAAATTGAGAGTTTTAAATGACAGTGAAATGTTCATTCATGGATATTTATGGTATCATATTAATCTACTATATATTATAATATATATGACAAAAGATGTCTGCACTGCATACATTTTTACATGGATTAATGGATCTTCATCAAACTTGGGATCAACAGTTGTTTCAATTAATTATCCAGATACAAATGTTAGAAGGGGTTGAATCTCTTTAAAAAAAAAAAAAAAAAAAAAAAAAAAAAAAGTTAGAAGGGGTTAAAACTCTTTAAAAAAAAAAAAAAAAAAAAAAAAAAAAACTCAGTGTTGGGACCCTAATTTCATATTTTTAATGAGGTTTATAAATAAAATTATAATCAAAGGATAGATCTAGACCAAGTTAAGTACAAATGCACTTGAAAATATATATTTAAAAATTGGAGGGTTATGAACTCATTTAATTATTCATTATATTCACCACTGTTTGGGTCAGGGAGGCTAATTTCAATCCTGATATATACTATATTTATTTATACTGATAGATATACTATACGCTAGACTCACTGTTTGGGTCAGGGAGGCTAATTTCAATCCTGATATATACTATATTTATACTGATAGATATACTATACGCTAGACTATATCTCTTACTCTTACATTTTAAAATCATTTTTATTGGGAAAACTTTAAAAAACTTAACACAAATTTTTGAATAACCCTCGCTGAAGTGGTAGATTACCAAATTATCCTTTAAACAAGATTAGTGGAATCGGGTCACAAAATGTGGAGGTGCTGTACGTAGTATAGTAAAAATTACAAATAAACCCTTCAAAAATCATAGCTCAAAAACTTTCAAAAAGTAAACTAGAAAGTTGATTCTGGTTTCATTTTTTATTTGAAGTTTGCTCCTTAATCTTAACTTTAATTTTTTATTATTTTTTTTCGGAAGTACGTATACCTAGGCTACACCGACTACAGTCTCAACTGAGTACATTGCAGTAGTACTAATACAGTCACTAATTAGTAATAAACTAATAATTAATAAGACAAGAAGAGTAGGTAAGTGATTGTTGAGCCAGTGAGTGCGAGTGAGTGAACTGAGCTGAGATGATTACGGCTACGCCTTTCCTTTCCTTTTTTTAATTTTAATTTCTACATCAGACTGATGTTATAGAAAATAAAGGCGTTCTCGTCTCAGCTCTGAGTCACTTCAGATTCATTCTTCGTTGACTGTCTCTGACTTACAACTTTTTACACTCAATCTTACTAATCTTAGAATTAGAAGGCGTATCAGACTATACTGTTTTATACTTATATCTGGCTTGTCCAACTGAACTAAAAAAAAAAAAAAATCAGAATAAGCCGCCTATAATACCGGACTAAAATTGTCGTTATTTTAAATATGAACTTACCGAAAATGGGCTATTGACCCTAGGATCAGCAAAAGGGTTCGAATCAAAGTCGGACATTGCAGGTGTCCTAGCACAATAACAATTTTAATAGTTATATTTATTTACAAAGATGAGTAAATAGGGCATAAACATTACAACCTGAAACCAATTACCGGAAGCTAGAATATTATTTATGACGCATGCGCACCAGTCAAGATCACATGAAATGACATCATAGTATTTTCTTTTTGTCCATAACACGCAACTATTATCACTCTTTGAAAACGGAATGATATATTACCAAATTTACTTAACTGTTTTGATTAGGGTTGCACCCATTAATTGACAGATAATCGTTTTTTCGCCGATTAATTAGCATATTAAAAATACTATATGTAAATCTAGATTGGTTTAAGTTTAAACAATCCCTTATCGTCTTGTCATGATTACAAGGCTAGGCTTGTAACATATTGCATTTTTATATGTGATTAACATTTATACCTAATTTAGGTACGTCTAAGGCTCTAGGTGTGCTATCTAACAACTCCCCTACCCAGACCTGTTTAGTGTCAGCGTAGTTTTTAGCTCACAAAAACGTTGTTTCAAGCTCCGAGGAGTAGTTAAGTCAATTAGCGCGGGGGGGGGGGGGGGGGGGGGGCAAAAAAAAAACAAGTTGGTTAAGGAACTCCACTCAACTGCTTATGTAAGTTAATGCAAATAAATATACAGGATAGAGTCATGCGATTTGTTTCTTAAGGATGAGAAAAGGTCTTCGGCAAGCCCATTTCAATTGGCAGTAAGCATTAAAACGCAATTCTCTAAATGGTAATATTCTTGTTGGTTTATTGAGATCTAGACCGCAAAGGCCAATCACAGTAGTTATTGGATTGCTTACGGTGTTAACACAAAAATGCGGTAACTTTTTACTGAAAACACAATTATTATTTTTTAAAATTTAAATTAAACCAAACAAACGAAAAAACTCCCGAAACTGTAGGTTTGTTTTTTAGGCTCGTTGTAGTGCCATATTCTTGAGCTTAAAAACATAGCTACTAAGGCTAAAGTGTAGGGGTACAAACAGGTCTGCCTACTGCCTACCTTCTCCATTTCTTGTCATTTCTTTTTTTTTCTTCTCACTTTGACATCGTCGGTGTTGTTAACAATGACAATGACACGGCGAACACAAATATTACGACTCTTTTCACTAGCTGGATTTTACAACACTTCGGTTTTTTTTTTTTTTTTTTGTTTTTTTTAAAATTTATTTACCACTCATCGTCGGTGTTGTTAACAATGACAATGACACGGCGAACACAAATATTACGACTCTTTTCACTAGCTGGATTTTACAACACTTCGGTTTTTTTTTTTTTTTTGGTTTTTTTTAAAATTTATTTACCACCTCTACGTTATAGATGCTATTACATGATCTAACCCTGGGTTCTCTCTCTTTCTTTACAACAGGCTTAACAATTTTAGTAGTTTAAAATATACATTGTGCGTTTACAATGTACATTTAAATTGCTGCGGTGACTTAAATATAGATTAGGCAGTAATTAGCTCTACATGTATTTCTTAATTTTATTTTATTTTTGGGGGTGTAGGGCGAAGTTGCGTAGGAAAAGGGTTGGCAGTCTGCCAATGGCGTCATTTTCTGGCATTGAAAAAAAAAACCAAAAAAAAACCCAAAACAACTCAATGCAATGATCACATTTCCAAAAATTCAGACATCTTAAATTCTGAAATTTTGTTCACAAAATTCATTGGAGAAGGATTCTTGGTTTTAAAGGTGACAGGATCAATTTGTTTCAAATGCAAGATTTCTTCCTACACATCAGTTTCAGAAACATAAGAAGAATATTTCCTGGAAAAGATAGTGCTAAACATTGCTGCAATCTCTTGAACTGCTTTGAATGAGCTGTGAGTCACGCTATAAATATATAAACAGAAGAAATAATAGGGTAAAAATTTTATATTAAAAAAAAAACAAAAACATTTCTAGCTTCTGATATTGTCCTCACCTGGTTCACATGATATTTTGGAGTGTACACAACCTGGTCACCATGGGAATTCCCCCCCCCCCCTTACTGTTAAATGGTACAGTCCCGCTGATGGAGCTGGTTATAAATATACCATCCGGGGCTTTAATTAAGTGCATAAGCTCAAGCCTCAAACATAATATGATTGTATGTTAGTAAGTACGCACTGGGGGTCGATTTTGTATGGTTGGGGGGGGGGGAGGCAAAAAGTTCGTCCATTTGTTCAAGAAATAGCATATTTATATTTCTAATGCTGTAAACAACACATCATGCAATATTTTTTATGAATTATCGTCATAATGTTGTTTTGTGTTTTCACAAATGAACTCGCTGGATATCGCTCAAATAGTTCTCAGTTGTAGCAGTGTTACTGTAATATTTAGTCCACGGTATGTTAACGTGCGTGTGACATATTCCCCCCTCCTCCCCGGGCTACGCCAGTAAGTCCTAAATAGATCGATTCCCCGTGTCCTTTTGTAAGGCTTACCAAATTTAGATTTTCACCAGGCGCCCTTTGTTAAATTCTAACACGTACAGTTGGAAGTAGCCAATAAATAAACAAAATAAAATAATGGGTTGCGTAAAAATAAATAAAACACGTATGTAAGTCACTTCCGACATCTTGTAAATACGAACAGTAGCAACTCAATAATGAAAAGTGTTCCTTTCAGGCATCGCAAGGGGGGGGGGGGGGGGGGCCCCCCCCGAGAAAAACAAGTTTCCCCCCCCCCCCCCCCCCCCCCCGAGTTGGCCAAGCTGTTACGATACAGTGTTTAGAGCCCAACACTGTTTTGGAATTTGAACTCATGGTTAGGGTATCAAAACATGCCTGTACGGCTTCTCCCCCATCGCTTAGCATGCTTAAATATATGCGTCTGTGTATCAAATTTTCTTGATTAGAATCCAGTAGACACATTTTTTTCCCTTTAAACCTGATTTTGTCGCTCGCCACAACCGGAGCATATTTAGTTTATGTATGGCATTTTTTATGGGAGCAAAAATTTATAATTTGTATGCTGATATATGCTCTTCCACCCCCCCCCCACCCTCCACCCCGGACACTTACTTGAAAAATCATTTCGCCCGCTCAAATTGCATAATAGAAACACCGAATTCAGGTATACGCCAGAAAGGACCTGCGGATTGCCACAACCGGAGCATATTTAGTTTATGTATGGCATTTTTTATGGGAGCAAAAATTTATAATTTGTATGCTGATATATGCTCTTCCCCCCCCCCCCCACCCTCCACCCCGGACACTTACTTGAAAAATCATTTCGCCCGCTCAAATTGCATAATAGAAACACCGAATTCAGGTATACGCCAGAAAGGACCTGCGGATTTTGAAAAAAAATTAAACATCTGAGTTGGGGCTCTTAGTTTCGCCCAGGAGCCATCATTGCTCTCGATTCTGCCCCCCCCCCCCACCGTTTTTCCGATAAAATGGTAGTATCCTTGGTCGCCAATTTAGGCGCTGGTAGATATAATGTCTAGTGGCGTACTTGGGGTAGTGCGCGCCAAGAGTTTTTTCAAACTCTCTTCCACAATAAAAACTTTACAGTTGTCCGAAAATGCCGCCCTCCAGCTAAAGAAAAAAGTGACACCTGGGCAGGCAACCCACTCCACCCCCGCCTTACGCCAATGGCACTGATCATCTGAATATCTGAAATGCCCTACCGGAAGAAAATGAAAGAAACGCTACCTGTGAGAAAGCCGAAACAACCCAGGACAGAGCCATGCCAAGGAAAAAAGTGCTCCCGAAGTGGAACAGTAAAAAGACAATGTTTGGAACCCATTTTCTTTCTGAAGTATATGGGATTTTATATTTAATATCACTATTTAGACCCCCATCTAAAGACTATTTTAGCGCCCATGATGTTGGCGCCCTGTGTGACTGCCCTCCTCTCTCCATTCTCATGGCTCTGTCCGAGGGCAACGTGAAGCCAAAAGTGACGTTTGCATATGTTACGTGAACCAATGGGCTGGCCAAACACTCAGCGTCGTTAGCTCGTGAATATTCTTAAATTATTTGATTTGGTTTTTTTTTTTTTTTCTTTCTTTTTTTTTGTGTGTGTGTCTGCACTCCGAAAGCCTCTGAACGTACGCATTGGGGTGTGTTACTAAAAAGTACGCGTACAAAAGGGGTGTGGGTGAAAATTTCACATTTTTGTGTACCTGTACGTACTAAATGGATGGCCTCTTGTCTCAGTCTCTGGACGGCCCTGTCCATAAGCAATGAAAAGGGGAGGGCTGTTGATTTAGGAAATTTTGCGTATGGGAAAGGGTCTTGGCAAAATGTTAACCCATTTTTATGCACGATTTTTGCGACATTCCTGAAATTCTGAAGTCAATAAATAGCCTATTTATAGCTCTAAGACAGCCAACTGTCATCTAAAATATATAAAATCCACGATTTCTAATTATTTTCTAAGGCTATAACTAAAAAAAAATCACCCCAATTTTTGGGGGCAATTATTGTCTTATTGTTAACGTGTTTTCAAAAATGAAATCGTTAGATATTGCAAACAGTGATATTGGACCTGGTGATAACTATAGTACATCGTATAGTTTCGTGCCTGGTGACATAGTTAATAAAAATGTTACGTTCGACTGAACCAAAGATTTTCAATAAAGACACAATATAGGTAAGTCGACGTATATGAAGGTCTACTGTAACTTCTTTTAATTGAATATGTACGTTATAGTTGACTCTATATTGTTTTGGAAGGAGAAGGGGTTGGAAAGCTCATTTTTACGTACGAACGGGGTGGGCTTCAGACAATTTATGGAACTAACAAGGGAATTGAGCTATGAAAATGTGACACTCTCATACCTAATATACGGATGGCCTAGTAGCGAAGCAAGGTTTTGACGCTAGGATGCCGAGAAGGAGCGAATATTGTAAGGACATGCCAAAAAAGAAAAACCCACTCGAATAATAAGTAAACATTTTTGTTGTTAATAAATTCAAAAATACAGGGAAGCACTTTGGCGTTTATTGAATTCAGTTTTCATTATTATACAAGTAATCGGAGATCAACAAAAGAGATGCTAGTGGATTATTAGGTTTCCTGGCCTGAACGTGAGGATACACAACCTTTATTTTTAGTTGTTAACAAAAATTAAATAGCAATGCTAATTATTTTC